GCTGTTGTGCGGGCCATACAGAGGGCAGCTAGCAGCTAGCCCGGATGACCACAACCGCGCGGTGAACAACGCTCTCGTGAACAGCTACTGGTTGCAATTTAAAGAGCCAACAAAGTGGGATTTTTGGTGAGGAGGGGGAGGGGGATGATGGACAAAGGAAAGAAGAAAAAGGGGGGGGGGGGGAATAATGTAGGTACGCGCTGTAAATTGCTACGGCGGTCCGTGACGATTCCGTTTTCCGATCACCACAGGTAGTTGGATTTTTATGAGAGACATGAGGTCTCTACGTTTCGATGTTCCCGTATGTACGCCGCAACCGTGAAGTTCGTACCGGCTAGGCCCGGGGGAGGTTCAGGCTCAGACAATTGCCATATTACCTGTGTACCATATCTCTAATAAAAAAAACCCTCAGAAAAAAAGAAGAAAAAACTACGCACAAACTAACCTCAACTCTTTTCTATACTCTATGGGCACAATGTAAGAGAATAGAACAGTGCACGGACACAACACCACATGCCGTCCCTGCTGCTCTCATATACCTTAGCGAAGAAATTCATTAGAGGACTAGTTAGCCAGTCCAGTCAAAAAGGTTTTTTATCGAACTGTGTGTGTCTACCAACAGATTTCAATCTGATGGGGTGCGTGGTTTTTTCCCCTTGCCCCTTCACCTTCTTGATCTTGATTAAATTACCGTTCAGGTACCTGTTACCGTACCGTACCGCTTCCCAAACACCTGTCAACGCAAGATTGCGGAGCTCATCGCATTTGCGAGGCCTATGTGGTTGATTGGGGATTGAATTCAAGCAACGACTGCTTGGGGTGGGGGGAGCTAGTTATGTAGTCCAAGTACATGTAGCTACTCTAGAAGAGGATCTTCTTCCAGACATCGAGAAGCCAGCTCATACGGGCCTAGATCCTTACTTCTTCCAGATGTTCTTTTTTTTCTTTCTGTTACAGCTTCTATGATAGTAGATAAAACCAGTGTCTCACCACGAATTATCTAGATGTAGATGTAGTTACTGCCGTCGTCGAAATGATAATGCAATTATCATTCACTCCCAAAGCTGTCTGCTTCCCTATCCCGCCAATGGTACCCCGCTTTAGGCGGGGCTGCAAATTGTCCTTTGTCAAGAAGAGGAAGAAGAGGGGGGGGGATTCCCGAGAAGCTTAGCGTAGCAGCTCCCTCCCTCAAACCGCTTTTGGGGTGGAAAGGGCGTTGTTGACATGAATTTCAAAAATGGCAATACTTCTGTTACATGCTACTACGTGTACCTACAGCGAGGTGTAGGTACTCAATTTGAATCCTGCAGGGTTTCTGGGACTAGCTAGCTGGAGTAGCGACTCTACGTGCTAGGCCAGTCTTGTAGCTACGCAACCAGCGCAGACGTGCTTACATGTAGTAACTAACCTAACCCACACACAGGCTTTACATGGTCTCTACTCGGGGCAGGCAAGAAGAACCTGAAAATGACTTTTTATGGTAACGACCTCTGATTCGCGGCTGGCAAAAAGCTACACCAAATTGAGCCCCTACTTGCAGCTTACATTTTCAGGTTCTTCTTGCCTGCCCCGAGTAGCAACCCACGGCAGGATTCTGATTCTGAACAGGATGGATACAGATACAGATACACCGCGCAGTGCAGTGCACGGATCCGGGCAGTTGGATGGGGCGATCTGGGTAGAGTAGGTGCTACAGATACATGGCGCCTGCCTACTTTACAAGTTTACGCTACACGCCTAGCTACCGCGCTGCTTACTCCTCCTGCATAGAGTAAGGTACGGAAAGTGAGGTAAGAATTAAGTTACCCTAGGGCAGGGGGATGTGGGATGGGATCGTATCGTATCGTAGGGGGATGGAAGGGATTCTCGTACTCTAGGGAGTGCTGGGCGACCGTTCAAAGACAGCAACGTAAGAGAAGTGGCCATATTCTTTTTATTTTCCGGGAACTTATTTTGATTACAGTACTCTGCCTGGGTAGGAGTACGTTGCGTTGCGTTGCGTCGCTGCGCATGGATCATCATCTATGTTTTATTTTTGTTGTTGAATGAGGTGAGAGAGGGTCGAGGTTTCCTTTCCTTCTCGAACAATCATTAAAAAAAAAGTCGGCAGTGCGAGTGAGACCTGATGCAAACAAACGAGATAAGGTGCTCAACAGGGGGTGGACGACGAGGGGGCCGATCAGGATCAGGATCAGGGTCGCAGAAAAGTTTTCGGCCCTGCCTTCTTTCTGCCTCTGCCCTGCTGTCCTGTCCGTTCGTTCTGTCTTGTCTCTCTGTCTGGACCTGTCCCTGTCGTTGTGGGTGCCAAGGAGGCATGTTGCAGATCTCGGTGATGGGCAAGAGAGAGACACAACATACCCTAACCCTGGATGTATTAGGAAAGGCAGACAATGGGCGCGATAAGGCGCTGGAAGCTGTACGTATGGCCTTTATCAAATTATTTTTGTTTTCTTGCCCGATGGAGTGTAGAGTTGCTGGAAGGGTGAAGAAGACAAGACACGCCCGCGATTCAGACCCTACGATTCGGGCTCTTAGAGGGCAGAAGCAGGCAGAGGCACCTCGTACTCTACCTCATGTAATGTAGAGTACGTACATGTACCTACCTGGGGTGTAGTCAGTAATGGCTGCGGTGGCAAGACGATGTCGGGCTGCTGCCAATCAAGCCACGATGTCCGCCCACTCACTCGTTCACTCGGGCGCTCACTCGCAGCAACGAGTAACTTACTCAACCACCATCAACCATCAACCATCAACCACCCACTACATGCTCTACGCAGTCAGGAAAATGAATCAATCTAATATGCCTAATGACCCCCACACCCCGCGTTATTAGAATCCCGTCCGCTTAGGACGGCAAACCCTACAAATTCCAACGGTTTTTATTTAAATGTCTTTTTCTATTTCCATTTAATATTTCTGGATTACAAAAAAAAAAAAAAAAAAAGAGAGAGAGGACAATCATCATCATTTTCTCGCTCTGTAATGTGTGCGTCAAGTGTAGCACGCATGCCATGCCCGCCGCCGCGCACATTGCGCCCTGCCCTGCCAACTGAACTGAACTGTGATGTACCGGTGCCGGACCATCCATGGAAGAACACGGGGTTTCCTTCTCGAATATCTCATGTATGTGCCTAGGCATCTGGAGTATGCTGGATCTCTATCTCTTTCTTTTTTTCTTCTTTCTTTTGTCGTCGCCTCCCTGCATAGACATAGATAGAGTACTCTACATAGGCTGCGGTAAGTCGGTGGAAGGAGGCGCAGAACAACAAGAAGCACTGAGTAGTTCAGCGCCAGGCGTGTTTCCCCATACGCAGCCACCATAATCTGTCCCTTAGTCCCATCTCTTATCCAGTAGCTTAGCCAGGTAACCAGAGAGAGACTCTGAGTAGAGTGAGTGAATGGAAGACAGGCGGGAGACGACATGGAAGGTGAAGTAGATACTGTGGGTAACCAGGCTAGGTATGCGTATGCTTCCAGTCCATGCTTTGCGGTGCCTCTCTTCCTTCCCTTCCCTTCCCTTCCCTTCCCTTCCCTTCCCTCCCCTCCCCTCCCCTCCCCTCCCCTTGTCTTCCCCTTCCCTCCCTTTTTCTGGGGGGCGGCGTCTTTATGGAGAGTGTATGTACCCTGCTCAATCGCAAGCAAGGTACCTGTCTGTCTGGAGAGTGCTGTACTGACGAAACTCGTGCCGTGATTATCTAAATAACTTCTACTCTACCCCCCGACCCTAGCTGGCCTAGCAATCGCAATCTACAGTACTGTAGCTAACTGAAACAGCGTGCCAAACTCTACTTGCACCCCTTTCACACCTTACCCTAACTACCACTATTACTACTAGACGATTTTACGGGGGTGTGGTCAATACAGGGTATGGCCAATTCCAAGATTTTGTGTGGAAACCAACTCCCTGCGTATCATACATCACTCCGGCGTATATTTGAGATTGACCGTACCCCCCGTGTTGACCGTACCCGTGAAAGTGTCTACATGTAGTACTACAAGCTACTAACCACATCCACTTACTACAATTTATAGTAGTAGTACTACTGTTACATCGTGATATGCGTCAAGCGGAACATATAATCAAAACTGGCCCAATACAGAATTTTTTTATGAAACACCGCAACAATTGAGATTGAGATAAAGTACCAGCCAACCTGCCCCCCGGATAACTGCCTGGCTCGGATTAAGAAACATGCTCTGTACCCCGGGAACTCGGAATATCCGCGCGCGCGCAAGCCCTGGATCGGGGGATGTAGGAAGAAAGCGAGATGATATGGGTGTTTTGATAGTGAGAAAGTGAGAAAGTGAGAGAGTAATGCTATTGTTCACTTACGTACATGCATGCGCTGATTACGAACTTGAACTCATAGGAGAAGGGCAAGAAAAAAAGCAAGCTCTTACTACTATTTTACCCAAAATTTGGGATAGAGTAAGCAACAAAAATATTGGTGAAAAAGCAAAAAAGAAAATGCCCTCCCCCCTATCCATTATCTTTCGTCTTTGGAGCGCATCTCATTCTTCCAGCCAGATGTGGCCAGATGTGTGCGAAGGGGCCAAAACAGGGAAGGGAACACATGCAAGAAAAGAGATTTTGGGGACAGAGTGGATATTTTGAAAAGGCCCGCCGGGGATATCAGTTTTTTTTTTTTGCTCTATTTCACACACAATTCGCCAAGGAAAAAAATACACTGCATCCAAAAAGACTGACAGAACGAAAAAAAAAACCCATTATAAACATAATTGTCATCCAATAAATAAAAAACCTATATGCACCCCCAAAGCAAGAAAGAAAAGATCAGTCGCACCCGTTAATACCCATAGATAAACAGCCGGACCGGCAAGCAAGACGAAAAGGAAATGTCCCAAGCAACGGGAGGAGAATAGATGGAGATAATGAGCAGTCCCCCACAGCGTGTGTTTTTGGAGGCTCAAAGAAAGAGGAAGAAAAAAAGGAAAAAGAAACTTGTCGACAATCATCAACGGGTATCCCTACGCACCTATTAGTCCTCGGAGCTGATACTTCCTCCAGCATCAGTGCTCCCAACAAAATCTGGGGGAGTACTCCAGCCATGTACACAATCTCCCTCGCTTTTGAAACAATACATCCTGGCTTCGCCATCTTCGCCTCCAGTAACCATGTTGGAGTCGCTTAACCCGACACATGTTACCGGGCCTTGATGGCCCGTTATTGTCCGTAGACACCGTCCTGTACGGACATCCCACACTTTGGTCATCCTGTCTTGCGACCCGGAAATAACCCGGAGGGAATCGGCGGCGAGAGCCCACACGCCCTCAATGTGGCCGAAAAGGGTTTTGGTACATTTGCCTGTAGCCACGTCCCAGAACTTTACGGTAGAATCGAGAGCCGCGGTGATCATCTTTTCCGGTGGTGGTGCCCGGGGGCGTGTAGTCGGATTTGGCGAGTTTTTATCCCGGTATTCCTGCCAGTGCTGGTGGGGCGGAAGTATAGAGTTTTGAGAAGAATCCTCTTTAGTCGACTTAGGAGACATATATCCGGGGAGTTGCATGGGTATCACTTGTTGAACATGCCCCACATGGCCCTCAAAAATCCGGACACAGGCTTTGGTATCTAGATCCCACATTCTTACCGTCTGGTCATCAGATGCCGAAAAGACCATCCGGGAGTCTGTATCTATCCGAACCGAGTTGACCCAATCTTTATGACCTCTCAACGCATAACAGCTCTTATCCGCAAAGTTCCAGATTTTGATTGTTGTATCTACCGATCCAGATGCAAGGAGATTATCGTTGAAATGGAGGCAGATGACACCACCGGTATGGCCCGGAAGAGTAGACAAGCACTTGCCCGTCCTCCAATCCCATATTTTCAGCTTTTTGTCTAGGGAACCTGATATAAGCTTTCTGTCATCAAACATGAGGGCACGAACTCCAGAGTCATGGCCGGTCAATGTTCGAATCTCTTTGCCAGTTTCAATGTCCCATATTTTAACCGTACTATCGTAAGAGCCTGTTGCTAGAATGGCATCATCGAATTGTAAGCACATAATGCCATCCGTATGACCTTTAAAAACCTTCTTTGTGCATCGTCCACGTCGCCAGTTTGATTCAACTTTGTATCTTTCTGAATATACATCTTTCCAGGGCCTTGTAGGAGGTACTTCAACAGCACGTTGACACGTGCGTTTGGGTGAAATAACCGGCATCATCTCTACATCCGGCGAGTTACGGCCGCTGGGACGCTTGCCATGAATATTGAGGTCCTTAGTTCCGCTTGTGATTTCGGTAGTGAAGATGTTGGGCTCTTTTGCTCGACGTTCCATCTGCCTTTTCGTCATCCGCAGTCTCTTTCTTTCCAATAATGGCAACCCCCAACCGCACTTATCACATTTCCGGTCAATGTGCTGCTCACACATCTTATGCCAGACTACATCATCATCGGCCAACATCCTCCATCGGTGACTTACTTGTGCAGCTTTGCACAATGATGCTGTGTCAAGATAACATAGAACTTTGAAAGCAATTTCTGGTGGAAGTGCGCTGAGGAAGTCGATGCGTATTAGCTCTCGTAGAGCAGCAGAAATCATTGAAAGCTGGGGGAAGCAGCATTGCGTCAAAATGCCCCTCAGCATAAGGTTACGATGTGTCGCTGGAGCGGCAGAAAAAAGTGACCAGACATCAGTAATTGCCTGTTGATCTGCAGATGGAAGTGTTTCCATCCCCTTAAAATGTGAATTAGTCAACTGTGCATGCACAAAGCAGCAGGGTAAGCTTGGCGGGCAAACCTTCTGCAGCTCTTCCATGGTTGGCTCATCAGCTTGCCTCCTGCATTTGATATCTGGCCTGTGTCTATAACAAAATTTGGTGTTTCCTTTCTCCTCCAGATCATGTTGACCATCCTGCTGCTGCTGAGATCCCTGCGGCGCATATTGTCCGGGGATGTGCTTTGAAAGGAAGGGGGAGACATCCTTTCTAACTGACTCAGCAGTATCCGCCGGAATGGCAGCAGCATAAAGTTCTGGCTCACTGCCGTCCATTTCGACGGCGGAATTGTCGTTAAAAACCGATGATCTTTTGAGCCTTTTAAGAGGTCTCTGTACGTTCTCACAAGGCCTTGTCAAGGACAAGACGTTTGTGGAAAGTGTGGGGGCGCTTGCGAATGGCCGTTTGAGTGATTGAGAAGGTGATATTGGAGGTGCTGATAGTATCGGTTGTAGTGGTTGTGGTAAAGGTGAAGCATGTCGTGGTTGTGGGGCAACCGTCATTTTTGTTGATTGTGGCGTCCAACCAGGTTGTCCAAGTGAAGTGTGTAACAAAAGGCCGGGCGTGGGGGGAATCGGTAGGGGAGGGATTCGGTTGGTAAGAGAGTCGAAAAAAAAACGATATGGGGGTGGATAGCTCCGGATAGAAAACAGAGACGTTGGGACGTCTTCGAGTTGAGATGACGGGATGACGTTGTTTTAGTTGACGTTACTGACGTTCCGATATTTTGAACCCTTTCTTTCTTTCTTTCCCGGCCCGACCCTTATTTTCTTTATCACGAACCCTCGAATATACACTCACGCGCCGACTGACTGACTGATTGAACGGTAAGTAGTATCACTGCAATGAATTGAGAGAAAGAGAAGAAGGCGGTGATGAGTTTTTAATGATGTGCGAACCTAGCACCTAGCTAGTTGACGAGAAGCACATTAGAGGCCCGCTACGGGCCTGGGTTAGGGTTATCCGAGGTTACTTCAACGTTCTCATCATTTTCTCGGCGATGGCACCATCACTCGCAAGCTACTTTCCTCAACGCTATCCGATGCAAGCCAGAGCCTGACGGTACTACCTGAATATCGACAACTGAGCGGACGAACGAACGGAGGATCTGACTGATACAATAGATACCACTGGTTGTGTATTATCCCGCCTGTGCTACAATTTCAATCCTGTTGGATTACGTCTTCCTGCTACTCTGGTCTTCTACTTGCGTGCTTTGCTTGAAGATCTGAACATCTCGCAGCCTCACCCAAATAAACCCTAAACGCAGTGACGAAAGGGAAAGGCTAGGCAGCTATTGCAGTCATAGCTCCATAGCTCCAAGCAAGTACCCAGCATCTAAAGCTAGGAAGGTGGAGATACCGGTACCTGGGACAAGCTCTCTCTCGGCTGGGGATCTAGCCTTTCCACAGCCCCTCAACACCCACATCCCCCAATCATCTCCTCAATAATCTTCTCTCCTTTCTGCTATTCCCAGTACGGTTCATCTCTCATCCCTCCTCTCCTTTACCCTTCCTTGCCCGGACAACGGGAGAGAGGGAGCAGGAAGGAGGAATCATTCCCTCTTTGATCTTGGATCCACACCCCCAAACTTCAGTAAATATAAAGAAAAGAGGCACCAGTAAAAGATCGGAGCAAAAAGCAGACCACAGCGCAAGAATAACATAACATAGCATTGATCAATCTATCTGCGTTTCAATACCGTCCGTCCCCTACACTGATAACCATGTCTCCTGCTTCGCCGGCGCTCCTGCAGCAGCCCAATCTTCCTCAAACCCAACAGGCTCTTCCACGTCAGTGGATCTGACCACATGGTTTCTCGATGCTAAACGTTCTCTATCGTCGATAGGGCTTTGCGCTCGCGCAAAAACCTTGGTAAATTCCGCAAGAGTTGCCTTGCAAGAAGCTACGGTCATCTCCTCAAGATGCGTCTTCTTGCGAAATTCCCTGAAAGATCAGTTGAATGTTGCGATCCAAATAAACAGGATGATGCACAGCACTCGAGATACTTCTAGAGCCGAATTTGAGGTTTGTTTCATTTTTTCCCTTCATTGTCATTCTAAAAAGCCCCACATGTATTTTCCAGTTCGATGACACTCATCGATTGTTCTTTCCCGATTTTATGGGCTGCAGCGTGGCAAAGCTCAACCAGCTAGAATCTCGATTTCGTCTTTTTGCTGGCAGAAGGCGTCAAATGTGTGTGTGAATGTATGAATCAACCGAGACTGACCCGGGAAACCTAGAAAATGTTGACGGGTTTGGATAACGCCGACAACAGGCTCAATCAAACTCTGGAGGTGCTCCGGAATTCTATAGTGGATCCGGCCTTCAGCATACCAAATCCCGAAAACGAAGACCCCACCTCGATGACAAAGGCTCGCACGTTGCACGATTTTGTCGATGATGAGGGGATTGAAAATCTTAAGTCTAGATTGCGACATTCGATTGACCAGGTGCAGGTACAGATACACCCTTCTTATCTGTGCCCTGCGTCTGTCTAAATTAGGGTCGTACGAGATATTATTTACTGATCTTGGATCTTCGGGAGTGTTTCTAGGAGTCTCATGACACTCTCTCCATGTCACTTGCTGAATTCGATGCCGATCTGACTGCCCTGGATACATCTCTCTCTAAGCTTCCCGATCCTAGCAAGCAAGAGGATGGCTTAGCTGAGCCGATACATCCGTACCTCCATTCTCTTGAAGAACAAGCCGAGGAAATGGCGCAACTGCTAGAGTCGCTGACGCAGCATTTTGATCGGTGTTCACAGGCACTGAGGGATTCCGAAGCCGTAAATACCCATAACCAGGAAAGCGGTATGACTGATGGTATGTCCCCAGAAGAAAAGGTTGAAATGTACAAAGTACTTGCAAGAGATGCAAGGGAAGTCGATGATGTTGTCGCAGAGCTCAAGGAAAGACTCGATACAATGGAGAATATCTCAACATATGTTGGAAAACATATTGAAAAATTGCATGGGTTGTCCGGCAAGGCCCATGATAACTTCTTGCTATTTGAAGAATTCCAAGGTAACTTGGGAGGTTATGTTGGGACGACTAGAGAATTTGAAACACAGCAAGATGGATACTTTAGAGCTATGGAGGAAAGACTTGATGAGCTTTGGCAACTAGGCGATTTTTACGAAGGGTTCATGGGTGCATACGACGCCATGGTTATCGAGGTGGGGAGGCGTAAAGGAGTGGCTGCAGGAATGGATAACATAGTCAAAGACGCAATGAAAAAGCTACAAGGACTTTATGAGGGTAAGGGTTTCTTGACAACCTAACCAATCCCTTGGGTTAGGTTTGGGAGCGAAAGCTTAATTAGCTAACGGCATATTTCTGTAGCGGATCTTGCGGAGCGGGAAGTTTTCAAAGAGGAACAAGGCGACCATTTACCGATGGATATATGGCCTGGGATAATGGACATGCCCATTCGATACTCTATCGTGAAGGATCCCCAAGGAGGCAGCGAACTGCCGAATATCAGCAAGGAAGCACTTCAGAGAGCCTTGGGAAGACGAGCAGCAAGAGAGGGTATGTGATATTAATTGTAATTTTTCTCCCGAAGAGGTCGCCACATGCCGTGTCTAGAATGCCTTTTCTTTTTGGAAAAAAATTGTTATTTCATGTCTATAATTTATTTTTGGAGAGGGGCTTTCGATTTCTTTTGCTTTTGCTTTTGCTTAAGGATTATTGTCATATACGGCTAGTTTTCCTATTAGCTTTTGAAAATGTCACTCCGTTTTCGCAGGGGTCATTTTAGAGTATAACCGCCGAGGTGTAAAACATCTAGCACATATATCACTTCTAGAGTATCTACTCTAGAGTAATTAAGTGCAGAGTAGTTATACCTAGTGCATATATGTAGGTATGAAGCATAAAAGCTGAATATATTACTTGCTCGAGTATGGAGTAATGGTGTACTATTTTTGATTCGCCTTTACCTAATGCATCCGCAGCCTTAGACCAGTCCAGTTTACACTTACCTGCATGTTCAGGCCTTCTCCTTCAAAGTTTCCTTGCAATTGAGTAATGTACATGTAGGTACATCAGTTATCATCACATTTCCGCCCTACGATAATTATCCGGGATGAGATGGGGAGAAGAGTAAATAAAGCGGAACTCGTTTACTGGGGGCCCTGAGGTTCATTCCTTCATTGTATGGTGTTTATTATTTTATGCAGCCTTGATTTCACTATTTTCCTTTCTGTTTCGAGTGGAGGAAGAGAAGCAAGGAGATAAGAACAGGTAGGTATGTATGTACGTATGCCTAAGCATATAGTAGCCAAGCACACGTGCTTTTCTCAACCTCAAATCGTGAAACTTTCAACTTGGACCGTGCGACCATCTCCCGGGACGAACTCCTATCAGCTCAGCACATTGAACATTTAGTGGGCGTACCTCATGCACGGAGCACTGCACAGCACCGCCACATTTCAAGCAAGGCTGCCATCTCCCACTGCTGATATGATGATGGTAGCTTATCTTGCTAACAGATCTGTAAGGGTGCATCCATCCCATCCGAATATCAAGAAAAAACAAATAACAAAGACACGAAAAGTCAAAAAGGCGATAGACTTGTTTTGGTTGGTAACCACAACAATAGCTACAAGGGTTTAAAAATCACAATTCGCGGAGAAACTCTTGAGGGCAGGGGGGGTGTGGGTTCGTTGTCGTTGACGGATAAACTCAGTTTATCGGAGATAACGGGTGATTTGTTGAAGGGGAAGGGTATGGTGTGTGCATGGGCCAACGCGACATGAAGTGTACATTTTACTTTGCAAGGGGCACAGAGAGGAACTCGAAGAGGGTTAAGCAATCTGAGTAAGGATTCACTCTTTTAGTGATGATGATGGTGGTGGTGGTGGTTAAGGTGGAGGGTGGGGTGGGACTATCAATCGCTGGTCCCAGGGAACGAGACATGTTTTGACCTATAGGTTTTTTGTTTTTGTTTTATGTTTTGCGCTTTATTCCTACTCGCTGGATGGCTAAAACCATGATGATCTGTTTGTGCATATTGTGACAGAGAAACAGAATAGGCATATCGTCATTTATGTCGTTCGTATACTACATGATGCTTGCCTGTCCATAGAGTACGCACTCTACGTACAGCTGCAGGGAGAAGGGAGAGGCTTGAGATGGGTGGCTGCTGTGTGCAGAGGTAGGCACTCCGCCTTGATTGTCCATACAGAGATACAGATAGCTACTTCATGTAGGTACATACAGATACAAGGGCCTGATGGTGGTAGTAGCGGCAGTGATACCATCATGCAAGTAGGAATAATAGAGTGGTCTAAGTACTTGTGTGCCTGCTCATGTTGGTAGATACATGTATGCAATTCTCTCTCGTCCCTCGGTATCATAGCTACATGTACCGTACTTCACAGTGAAGATCAGGAACTAGGAGTAGGTACAGTACGTATGACATGCCTAAATTATACGGAGTGGCGGTTAGAGGATATCACATATGCGAGCTGTCTCGTCTCCTCTCGCGGGTGTGTCGGTACGCGGTGCAGGTGGATTTTTAAGACTTAATTCAGGTCTATAAGGGATGATGACCAGAATAGAAGCGATTGTTAATAGAGCAGAGAACCTACATATCCATGGAAGGCAGACATATGTATGTACGCCCATGGAGCCGGAGTACATCAGTCTTGACTCTTTAAAAGAGCACCCTGCATACCCGGGGTGGGGTATAGGGCTAATACATGTATCTCGCCTGCTGGGTATATATATAACTTCGAGCAGGAGGTAAAATATGCAACGTTGCGTGGAGAGGGGTACTTGTGCGTTTTGCAAGCAGAAGACTAAAATAAAAATAAAAATAAATATTCGATGGATCTAGCTAGTTGAAGTGAGTGAGAGTCTGTGATGAGCCTGTTCCGGCAAAAACCTCGCGCATAGGCGATGAAAATGTCGACGTGTTTAAAACTCTTAATTCCTTTCTTTCTCGGCTTGGATTCCGGAGTCATACATAGACATGCTCTACCTTAGTGTTCTACCTCCTCGCCGCATCTTGTAGAATCTAAGGTAGAGAGATACAAAAGAGAATATTGCATACCCGGTGCACTTCATCGTAAAAGTACTGGGTAATATCTCATGCAGAATCTTGACGTTGCAGTATTAATGGCTGACAGCGCTTGATTGTGTACATAATTCATCTACTGGTATCTCCGGATCCTCTTACACGGACCATTAGGATATCTTAGATTTCGTACTTCATGCCTCCTGCCGTCCAGGCAGATGGTCGAGATCGATCAGGTATTCCTTACCAGGGCAATCTTTAACCCGTATATATCGTTTCCGGGGATCGATCAAGAATTGCTGCACATGAGGGAGATATATCTGTAAAGGGGATACCGGTATACCTATAAGCAAGTTCATGGTAGTGAGCAGTTAGCTATCGATGGGAATGAGAAGTGCGAGATGCGAAATGCACATAGATGCATGATGCCTATTTGACACTGTCTGTGGTGAAAAATGGTAACGGCTTTTGTGCATATCGTAGACAGACGGGAGATCGCACCGGGGCCGGGGGGAGACGGGCTCCTCACGAAAGATTACGTGCTTTTGACGGCTCAATGTCTTTGAGTTGAGCCGTGTGCATTGTAGATCGGGATTCTCGGATATCGTGCTGTGCAGTGGAATGTCTCTGATTCTGCAGTACCGCAGTGCGTACCCGTGAATTGTGTTTATATTATATTCACGAAATATCACTCGGGATATTGTGTAAACATCTATGGAAATAATGTATGTAGCACCTGCTTCTGGAAGTATTATGAAATTGGGGTTCTGAGTACGTTTTTTTTGTTTTTGTTTTTGTTTAGTTCATACTCGCATGCAGACCGTAGTCTATGGCGGCGTACTACAATCTTCAGTACAAGTACAGGGCTTCACCCTTTATGCCTACTAGTCGCTTCGTTCAGCAGGATGTGGAATACCCCAACCGGCTCAAGGCCAGCACTCATACCTTAGCCACACTCCTCCGCATTTTTCTCTGCATGTCCCATTTGGGCGCCGGGTGCCGGGAAAACTCTCTCCACGAGCAGAAACCCACCCACATGTTCTGAGTACGTTGATATATGAAGCTTAGTACTGCTATTCTTGGAGTCAAAGAATGTGCTTTTTGCGGATTAAGTAGATCTGGAAACGTGCATAACTGAAATTAGGACAATGCCTCGGCCTGATCTACCTTTATATATTTGGTTTGAAAAACTTCACTCTGGCGTGAGACATTCATACTAGTTACAGGTTGTTTACCTGCATTGTGCTCAAGATTTTGAGGGATAAAATACTTCAGATAGAAGCAATATGTATTATATATCTATGTTTTCATACAATTAATGAATTATCAATCAATCATAGTCATGTTTTTGTTTTCACTGATTGAAATAGAATTAAGTAAGCTAAGCTGAAACGTCAAAATAAACTAGGATTGAGGTTAACATGGCATTAAATATTAAGAACAGAAGAGATCTGGGCCTATAAGTAGCTGGCTCTTGAGAAAAAGGCCTGTTTATATCCGCAGACTCCGAATGGACCCTAACCCTACGAGTGATAATACATGATTGTAATTGGCTTTATGTAACGGAATGTGTCCCTCGATTCCTGAAAGATAAAATGTAACGCCTGTCTGTTTATAAATGGTGTTTGCGTTGGTTGAGCAAGAGTTCATATCTCTTCGGGTCCCATAATTGAGTTTCATTCACCTCTTAAGAAGACCCAACATCTTGTACCTATAACGGGATGATTAGATTTCATGCTATGCTATTTTGTAGTCATTAATATGAGTGTGTGTGTGGATTCTTTTTGATCATCTACTTAATTTTTTTTAAAGAAAAAAGAAAGAAAAAAAGAGAAGAAAAAAAGAAAAGAGAAGGGGTCTGCAAATGCATATAATATGGGTTTTAAGTTCCTGGGTTCTTTATTGCAGTAATTTCGAAATACGGTAAAATGTCCTGCTGGGGTTATAAGTTTGAATTAATAAGACATTGAATTAAACAAAAAAACAAAACAAAATTAATAAGACACTACCTAGCCGCTACTGCTGTATGAGTGGGTACTAAGGAGATGTAGCGGGTGACTCTCAAGTCGACATAACCACGAGCTGGCTCGGCTCTTGGAGATAGAACTCGGGCTTCTAACGAAGGCTCGTAAAATGGTGGCCAATGATTAGAAAGCAAGATTTCTTTCTGCCAAGTGTCAGGTATGGGCATTGTTATTAGGAAAGTAACTGCACTAGACCGATGAGACAAATAGTTGAAATAAGTGTTGAAAAGGGAGGAAGGTCTTTGGTAGCCCACATATCTCCTCCTCACAGCCCCATATATATATAGCCCCCTGGGCTCAGTGAATTAAAGTACAAAGTTTGATCAATTGAGCTCGAGGATAAGCTCGAGCCTTACTGAGTGGTCAGGCTCGCTCTCAACGACCCTAAAGCTTAAGCTGGCTTGACTCATGGAACACACTTCTGGCGCTGTATAGTGTGTTTTTGTAATTGGGGAATAGTAATAGTACTGGATTGTTTTCTCTTTTCTGAATACCTCTTTGTGTTTATAAAAATATTATCACTTCGTTCTCCCAATACCTTCACTGGGTCTGATAATTGCTCATATATCCGTACATGAAGTGTGGTCTCCAGGCAGTAATGGGTACGAGACAAGTTGTCTCGAGACTGTCTCAAATCCTTTGTTAAAGAAAGGTAAGACGAGATAAAACCAGGTCTGAGGGTCTCGAGAATTTTTTTAACTTCCCCCCCCCCACTTTAATATACCATAGATCATCAATTGCAACCCCAGTTTCAAAGGCTTGAACCCTTGGTCTGCATTGTTGTAGATATTCCCTAGCTAGACCTAAGGTCACATGGCGGAAAGTCTCAAGAGTTTGATGAGACTAGGCTATTGTCTCGAGATCTTCAGTACCCAGTTTAAAGAATACAAGACGAGACGAGCTAGACTTTCCCAGTCTTGCCCCTTGCCCATCACCCTACTATCCGATGGATGAGACTATATATATTCGTGTATTTTGGGCTTCAAAACCTGCTTATAATTAAGTTATTATATTAGGATTCGATATTATCTTTTTAAGGAGGTCGAGAACATCGGATAGTGCAGGTTTATCTGTATAAAGATTTTTATTTTTAGAGTCCAAAAAAAAAAGAGTCTGGGTAGGTGATCGAGATTTAGACATGCATTGTAAACCACTGGGTCTTGTCTCCTGTCATATTAGACTTCACAAAGTCTTTAAAAGTCGGCATGTTGTCGCCATATAAAGTATCTAATACTGAAACTTGTGACTTGTGTTTTTACGTGTATTGGTCGCTAGAGTATGGGAACGGAATTCATTGTGAGTTTATACAAAGTTTAGATTCATAGTGCTACGGTTAAGTATACAGCGCCAGCAGAGGCGACTCTTTTAGAGGAAGCGTTAAAGCAGACAGGGTGAGAAATATGTGCTGATTTCAGTCTGTACTAGTATATCTCACTAAGTTCAAAGAACTATGTGTAAATAATTGCTTGCACACTTGCAAATATTCAGCTACGGTGGGGGATCCGTCCCGCGACTAGAAGTTCAATAGTAAATGAAGCCAAATTGGAGACTAGCAGAGTTTAAATGTTATCCTAGCCATAACATCCATGCTCTGATGGCCAAGTTGGTAAGGCGCAGCACTAGTAATGCTGAGATCCTCGGTTCAACTCCGAGTCAGAGCACATGATGCTACCTATTCTCCCGTGCATCTTGTCCAGTGGGAAGAGTTTGGGAAGATGAGGGGTGACTAAAATATTTGTTATGGGTGGCGCGAGACGCTTGTTTTTCATTTTTTCTCGTTGCACTATTTGAGTACATATAGAGTAGCTGAGGTGTTTTAGTGTTTATATAGTATCAGTATCTGTATTCCTGATACTCACATGGCCCGAGTAATAACGATTAGTGTAAGCAGGCTCAAAAGTATAGGTCGATTAAGACCATTTTGAAGGAACTATAGTCGGTGATAAATTGTCTGAATTAAAGAGCCTTTTAGTTCGATACTAGCCATAAGCTTATTAACCCCGATATGGCCGGAAGTATATATGTGCCATGACCATGATTTCGGAGGGCACCAGAGTAATTCCGAGGGTGTCTATTTTTGTAGAATTACTATCCTGATTGCTCAATATTAAATTTGAATTGATTGTATTAAATAATTTGATATCGTTCCTATATCTCTCACTTCAATTCATGACTCAATAGTTGTGTGCAATTAATTAGAGATTATAAACGCAAGTGGCTGTAAATCTTAGATTGTATACTACCGATGGAAACTCGTATTGATAGTATTCAATATCGTCCGAACACATGCAGTGTCTGTAGTCTGATTCTTGCCGATACGGACCACGTAATCTCCAGCGAGTGAGATATACTTGGAAAGTATGTTTATGTCTAGGTATACATGTATGGATACGTAGTACAGATCCTGATATACGTTAGTAAATTAGAGGCTAGACTTTATTTGATGATGGACCAGGCTACTTGGTGTCCTCCTGATCTTTTTATGTTGCTGCGAATTAGATTCGAGAAAGACTATAAACAGTTACACCTAACGTTCTTTCGTCGATTAGTTACACTGAACTCTCTAGCGAGTAATGAATCGCCACAGGCTTAGGTGGTTTGCACCCGGGAAGGGTCTCCATTGTCAACTACATGTATATGGGGCGGTAAATGTGTCAAAAGTAATTTTACCACCGGTGGTATAAGCATTGAATTTCAGCCCTTGTGCCAGTATCAACACTGAATTTCAGTCTTTATACTGCGCTATACTACATAAGTAAATGTTCAAAAAACTTATGAAAATTTCCCACTGGTGGTGAAATTCCCCACCAGTGGACAATGTTCATATATAGTGGCATTATATGGTCCCTTCTGGCCATATATTGGCATTCTATGGCCCATTTTGGCCAAAAAGGTCTGTGCTTTTATCATAAAAGTTTGTATTATTTTCACCACCGGTGGTAAAATAATTTACTACCGTTGGTAAAATTACTCTTGACACATTTACCGCCCCATACATGTAGCTGTGGATTTCTTTCGGTATGTGTATTCTATTCTTAAAATGATAAAATTTTCTTGTGCTGTGAGTTAAGTAGAATTTTAGAGAACCTTCATATTGAGCTCAGAGTCATAGGCTTCGTTATTATGGGGCATAATATGGTGTAATCAACAGCGGGTTAAGACCGTAAAGCGTGGTTCATGAAGTGCATCGAGGTGGGGGAGATGGGATGCATCGAGTTGCCTCTGCCTCTGAAGAGATATGTTTTGGGTTGCATCGAGCCATATACATATATGTCTTTAGCTGTCTCGATACTCCTCGAGGTATGTCTTGACAGTGGGTTCTCAATAGTCCTTGTCTGGTTCAATCAACCGGGATGCGTATTACACGAGTATCTCCGTTCTGGAAGCCTGAGGATATATATTGAGTTGACTCGACTCGACTCGAGTCGAGGAATACATCATGTTTCGAGGTAAATAGGACTCGTTGAAGGGTATACCTCGTGCCATCTCGAGGCACAAAGGGCTTCGCCATCGTGGACCACACTAAGACTATATTGTGGTGCTCGAATCAGTCGAAGGAAGATTATTGTGGTATGGATGTGCATCGGGCTTCTGGCTGGGGTCCGCCCCTCCAGAACGTTTCTTCATTAAATATCTATGCATTAGTACTGGTGATAATTGCATAATCCAGTATCGGTAGATCTGGAGGGCCTCTCTCCATACAGCGGTAGATGCGCCTGCCCACAAAAGAAGGTTCGGCGTTCATGTTTATGGGTGAGACCGGCACATGCCTACATTCAATAGATATAGCGATACAAGTCTGGATTCAGTCATGCATCGAATACAACAATATACGGCCGCGGGTATTATTAGGGTCACAATGGCTCGAAGGTCATTGCAGCTGACGGATCATACACCCTTGACCGCGGGGCATCATCAAAATGCTATCAATGAAAGGTTAAACGACTCACGGAATTGCTTCTTATAGTTATGTTCGCGTTCGAGTCTAGCATTAGAAGTAGGAAGGTAGATTGTGTGGGACTTATGGCCTTGGTTATTCAATAAAGATAGAAGGATTGGAAGGAAGTGGCCATGCGCCTAGTGGGGTTTTTGGGATCTCTAGGCGAGTCTTTTGCCTTAGTAGGTCAAGAAACCTAATATCAACTACATATCCGGTGTTATGAGCTCTAGATTAGAGCAGGATAAAGTAGTTGGAGATCGAGTGATATGTTATGATGTATGCTATGATGTATCCTACCGTCAGACACAAGCCCCCATTTGTTCCCTGAACTTTTTCTTTTACTCTTCTACCCCAACCACATCACTTCTTCTTCTTTCCTTTCCCATCATCCACAATCAATATAACCATCATCTCTACCTCCATCAACACTGCCATCCAATATCAATGGCTGATTACTGGGGGAGGCCTGCTTTGGATAGCCCCGCGGCCTACCAAGAATTCCTCTTGTTTGTGATACCCACTAGATGTCTTTGGGACAACAAGGCAAAGTATATAAGTATCACTAACGTAATAAATAGGATCGAAGATGATATGGGGAGAATCATAAAGCTGGGATCCATCCACGAGCCCGATACTCTAGGCATACGTATCCAAGAAAACCTTCTAAATACCGTTTCGCCTTCACTCCACGCCGAGGTCAAACAGAATATAGGGGTGGATCCGAGGTACACCTACACCTACCTGATGAAGGAGAACATACAAACCGTCAAGCGCTTTGGTGAATGGGTCACAGCTGGTGACTACGAGTTGACGCAGAGGACCTTCGATGGCTTCAACCTCCTTGTGCTACATGGTCATATCTACACCATGGCCGCAAAGTACATGTGCACCGAGCTTCAGACCTGTGCCACGATTCACATTCACCGTCTTCTGGTTTATCAGCACGAAAATATCCAACCTTGGCACGACATCGAGTTTATGGGTTATCTCGCTGAACACCATAGTGTGGGCGATGACCACCTTCGCAAGACAATGGTCAAGAAGATCGCCTTTGACATCAAGAGATATGTCCACATGCCCCAATACGAGGCGTTGTGCATGAAGTTCCCGAGGATTGCACTCGAAATCACGAAGGAACTGATGCCAGCAACCATCGATCCGATTGCACCATTGGTTGTAAACCACGAAAATGTGTTCATCCTGGTCGACTCTCCTCTAAAACGCCTGATCGCTAGGTGTCTTGTAGAGAGGCGGGAGAAACTGGAAAGGGAGAGGGTTGAAAGGGAGAGGGTTGAAAGGGAGTGGGGAGGCCAGGCTGCCCAAGGCAATTGGTGAAGTAAAGAAAGGAGGAAGTCTGTTTCGGAAATGGTGGATGGCTGGCTGGGAAGGTGCATTGGATTTTGGCACTTTCAGTATGAATCAGTTCTCTTTCACTTTTTGTTGAAGCATGGCATCAAATTGAAATCGAGTCTATTTTCTGTTCCTTTTCTCTGTGAAATTTTGAAATGATAGAAACTTAAGGAAAAAAATGCAAGATAGCAATGATATAGGGTAAAAAACCAAGAAGAAAAAAGTGAAGACGAAGTGCATAATAATCAAGCAAAGAAAAGAAGTGAAGACAATGTAATGAAACAAAAAAAAGTAAAGACAAGCAATGAAACTAGGAAAAACGCAAGGAAACATAATTAAAGAAAGGCATCCATAATTTACCATCACCCACTCTAATTAAATAGACATGGACAATCATAAAATACCTATCAGAATTATGGACAGGATAAATGCATACGATATCACACAGTACAGTGATAACAGATTTGCGCGAAGGGTTATCCACAAACCCTATGGACTCTTTGACCCAGCTAGTGCCCTAAGGACTTCTTCACGCTCCTTCTCACCGAGCTTAGCGAGAGCAGCAGCAACACCCTTCAACGCGCTGCTGCCATTCTTCTGGATGAGAGATGCAACCTGGTTTGCGACGCCGTCCTGCCTTAGACCCTCAATCTTGGAAAGCACGTCCTTCCTGTTCTCCTCATACCAGCACGCAACCAAGCGGTCGTTCTCATCAAACAAGGTGCTCTCGCCATCCGCAACAATGAGCATCTTCAACCTCTCCAAGTTCTCAGTCCTGGTGGAACCCTTGTCCGCAACCGCCATCTTCTTCAAGAAGAGCTCCTCGTTTAATCTACGGCGGATACGCCAGTAGAAGAAACGTCTGGCATTCTTCCATTGGAGGGGCATACGGATAGCACCCTTGGCTTGCATACGGCCGGGTGTGTCGTGGAGATCGGCGAATTGGAGAGAGATTTGTCCGTAGACGGGCATGAGCAGCTTCTCACGCTCGACCATCTTGACCTTGAGGGTGGATTGCTCGTCCTGGGTGAGGTTCTTGTCGGCGAGTTGGCGGCGCAGGTCACCGTAGACGGGGTCAAGGCGGGCCATGGTGTCGAGCTGCTTGTCACGGCGGTACTTGATGTTCACAATACCTTCGGGCTCGAGAACACCAGCGCGGGCTTCCTCATCGGCGTACATCTCCATCATATCAGCATTAATAGTGGGGTCAACGACAACCTAGTCACAATGATTAGCCATAACTCTAAATATAATGTGAGAATGAGGAAACATACCCAAGATCCACCACGAAGCTCGCCGTAAGGAGGAATGTACACGAAGATAGGCTGCTCGTATTTGACGAGAGCATCAACGATGAAGGAACCATACTTGAGGACCTCGTTGTACATATCCCTCTGACCACCAGAGAAACCACGCCAGTTGGCAAGGATCATTAAGGGAAGTTGCTCTCCACGGTTGAAGTCGCTGATGGCCTGTGCAGTCTTGAATGCAGAGTTGGGGTACCAAACCTGACCAGCCTCGAGAGTAACCATCTCAGTCGAGTCTGGGTTGGCGGGGTCGGCAGGAGTAATATTCTCAACTGAGCGAGTCTCGACAGCAATGACACCAACAGGGATACCAGCAAGACGAGCACGACCAACAACGACAGTCCTGGCCCACCCACTAAGAGTCTCCTGGAAGGAGCCCTTGTCGAAAAGACCGGAGAGACCCTCATCATCCTTACCGGCAAGAAGCCATCTGACATCGTAAGGGTTCTTCTGTGGTGGCACAAATGTGATATCACGGTCCCAGGTATCGTTAGATGGAGAAACAGGCACAGGAGCACCCTTTCGCTCAGGAACGTATGCCATCCACTCAACAATCTTCTGCACACCCTCGAAATCATCGTTGGCAGTCAAGTGAGAAACACCATTGCGGTACATGATCTGGGTGCCTCCCAATTGCAAGTTGGAGGTGTAAACCTCACGACCGAGAAGCTTGTTGATGGCGGGGGCACCAGTGAGAATCTAAAAAATGATTAGCAAGTGATATCGCACAGCAAGCCACAAAATCCAAACTTACAATAGGTTGTCCTTCAATCTGGATTGCGCGCTGACCCAACCTAACCAAGTAGGCACCAATGCCAACGGAACGGCAAGTGACGAGGGTAAGCGTGAAGATGTCCTCATAAGCCTTGCTAGTTGCACCGGCAATCAAACCAGACCCCTTCAAACACTCAACACCCAAACCATCCTCCTGACCAACAATGGTGGTAATCTTGTATCTCTCCTCTTCATCGTCAATGATACGCTCCGTGATGACGGTCTTCTGCTTCCTGTCCGCGAACTTCTTGTGCATCTCAGGAGTGAGGTAAAGGTACTTGAAACCAGCCTCAGGCTTGTCGACATCATTCCAGGCAACGGAGAAATGGGGAATCAACTCTTCGGCCATACCAATTCTTGCACCAGAGTTTGCTGAGAGGTAGATCCTAGGAACGCCCATCGCTCTAGCGAGTTCGGTACACTTGTGGAAGAATCTGTCCTCTGCAGGTCCGAAAGAACCAATCCTGAAGGTGATATCGTTGGCAATGATGACGAACTTCCTGCCCTTGGGATACTCGGGGGTCTTTGCAGTTACTACCCAACCAACCATACCGTGTGTGTTGGTACCTGGCTCCCTCTGGACTTCGGTGAGGTCGCCCTGATCATCCAATACAAGCTCATTGTAGTCAAGGCACTCGGTGAGCTGAGGAACCTTCTCCTTGAAAGCAGACACCTTCTTCGCGGTCTTCAACCAGCTCTGATGAATTGCCTGTCTGAAGAGCTCGGGGAAATCATAGACGTATTGGGTTCCCATAAGGTGGGCCTTGTACCTCTTGGGCTGAAGCCACTCCTTAGCAGCATATGGGGTGTTGACTGGACGAAGGTGCATGGAGCCGGGCTTGGAGCCAATGCTGTGGAAGACCCATTGGCCCTTTTCGGTCTTTCTCTCTGCGTACATCTCGACCTGGATAACATAACCTGAAACGTTCTGGATGATGACACGGAGTGGATAAGCAAGGCCGCTCTTGGGATCAGTGCAGATGATACGAATCTCAGCTCCAGTGACACGAAGCCTCCAAAGACGTCTTCCAAATCTCTCAATAAATCCACCAAGAGCAGGCTCGATCTCCTCGGGCTCAGAGGGAACACAGGGGTGAAGTTGATGAAGATGTGGTTGAGATCAGAGTTGTTGTTTCCAATAATTTCCAAAGCGTCAAGAATATCATTGACCAGGCGATCAGTCTCAGAGATGAGGTAATCCGCTGTAGGGATTTCATCCCGCAGACGACCAGCTCGGACAACAGCACGGGTGAAGTATCTCTTGTCACTCTGGACCTCCTTGCCGTAAGCCTCATAGACGTGGATGTTACGGTTCTCAGTGAACACTGGCTTGATCTGGAAGTTCGACAATCTGCCAAGCTCAAGCTGGAAAGCCAAAGCCGGCTCAATGTGACGAATGCTCTCCTCTTCCCTGTACTCGGGTCCACGGAAGGTGAAGTAACCTGGGTAGGATCCATCCTTGTGACCGCAAATGAAGGTGATTCTTCTGACGTTGCGCGAGAGAAGCTCAGCCTTGAAATCGTTGATGAGAGGGAGAATCCGCTCCATAAGGTCCTTGTCATCCATAGACTCGGCATCCTGGACTGCAACGTTGCACACTGCTGAAAGAATCTCCTCCTCATCGATCTCAATTGCGCTGAGGGTCTGTGCCTTTCTGCGTCCCTCGAGGCTAGGCATGTGTCCTTCCTTTGTGTTCTTCTTACCTCCCTTTCCGCGTGGGATGAGCTCAAGCGCTCTGCCAAGTAGTTCTTCGGCTTCATCTAAGAAGGTGACGGGAACAATGACACCCTTTCGCACAGGCTCGGCCTCAGATTTTCCAACCAAGAATGAGAGATCACTGATGGAGCCAATACGCTTGAATTCGCTGCGCTCAACGGTGGGGGTAGTAGGAGCTGATGGCTGGGTCATTCCATACTCGGTAACGCCAACCTTTCGGAGCTGGAAGTCCCAGGTAACCAAAAATGGAGGCTCTGAGTCCAGGTTGTGGTAGTTGACGACGTGCAACTCGTAGGCCCTGTAAGCCCTGCGAACGTAGACTTCCAAAGCAGCAAGAGAAACCCAAGGATCGGCGTGAGCGAAGAATGTTGGAAGGACATCGAAGACTGTGTACTTCGAGTCAATGACTTCCTTCAAAGTGTCGAGCAGAGGAGTTCTGTGCTCCCATCCAGTCTCTCCATATCTTGATTCAACAACGGAAGAGCGGAGGATGTGCTCCATCTGGGTGGCTCTCTCTTCCAATGATGGCAAAGCACACTGGATGAGGACCTCACGGGCCTTGAGAGCAACCTTGGTGGAGGGGCGGGAGTCCAGCTCAGTGAGCTTCTTGAGGATTGGGCGGAAGAACTTGACGATTGGTCCATTTCCAGGCTTGTTGGGGCGGTACTCCTCCAAGATGGCGAGGATAAGGTTGTTCTTAGAACTGATCTTACTGTGTGAGAGAACTGCCTGGACAACCTTGTTGATATCCTCCTTGTTCTCATCACGAAGTTTCAAAATGACGTCCTCATCTCTAGTGTTTGCGCCCTATATTATTTTGTTTAGCATTATTTCCGAAAAAGACAAATTAACAGGAATTCTTACAGAGAAAAGCTTCTCAATGCTCCAATAATGTTCAAGAATCTGTAGGAAAACGGAAAGCTCGTGTGCCTTCAAGCCCTCGGCATATGCATCCATGATAGCCGTAAGGGGCGCCAAAGCCGACTTCAAAAGGTCAACATCACCAGGCTGAACATGGTCATCCAAGAAACGCTCGAGACCCTTGCGCAATGCCTTTGCAGGGAACTCGGCCTTCCTAGCCTTTGCCCTGTCGGTGATTTGGGAGAACAAGGCATCAAGCTTCTGCGGCATCCTGCTGTGCAAGGCTGAGAACTGAGCAGACCACTCACCGTAAGGGAGCTCAGAGTTTCTTAGAACCTCGATAAGCTCCTTGAGTGTGGTAGCCATGATAACCTGGTTGTCATAACCGTCGAGGATATTGCGCAAGATAGTGTTAAGCTGAGTGAACCTTTGGGGAGGCTTGTTACCTACAACCTGGGGAGCACCGAAGTTGGGAAGCTGGCCATCGAAAGGTGTAGCGTGCTTGACACGACTGGGGTCATCAAGAGCTAAGATACCAAGAATATCACCAGCTTCAAGGACGGCACCCGGCTGCTTGATGAGTTGCACGTGACCATCTTCTTGAGCAAGGAGCGGCATATACATCTTCATAACCTCGACTTCCGCAAATGCCTGGCCCTCTTGACATGCTCTCCATTCTCTACAAGGAATTTGACAAGCTTTCCGGGGGAGGGCGTCCTCAATTGTGTGGGATCGTTCTCCTGCTCCAAGAGACAGGTCATGCTATCGACACTCACTCTAGTAGCACCAACTTCCTCCTTCCAGTAGACGTTGTGACTTCGTCCGCCCAACAGGATCAAAAGACCACCGTCGGACAGTGCTCGAACACCGACACTGCACTTTGAGCCGTTGCTGAAGAGATGGTACGAATCCGAGCTCGACCTAGTCGCTGTGAACTTGAATCGCTTGCCTTCATAGATAAAGTCGATGGGGAAAACAGTCTTGAGAATGTCCTTCGCCGGCACCTGACCTCTCTCCAATGAAGTCCTGTATTCAGCCATGCATGCCTCACTGGCAACGTGCGCCTTAGTAACAGCTCCGCAAACGACAGCCAACATGGTGTCTGGTCGCTCGGCGGTGAGCTTGTTTGTGATAAGCTCATCGAGCCATCCTGTTGTAATGGTGTTGTCCTCGAACGCCGGAGTCTCAAGAAGTTTGATGAGGTACTCAACGGTAGTCCTGAAATCACCACGAATGCTCAATTCCTTCAAAGCGACAACCATGTGCTTCCTAGAGGCGCCTCTGTTCTCTCCGTATGCAAAAATGTGTCCAAACTGTGAATCTGAAAAGGAGTGGATACCACCGGCAGTACCAACTGAGAAATAACCCCAGACATTCGAGGAAGACCTGAAGTTGAGCTCGTGCATCATACCGCTGGAGGGCTTGAAACCTTCGCCAGGATCCTCGGAGGTGATACGGCAAGCTGTGGTGTGTCCCTTGGGGGCCGGCTTGCGCTGGGTCAGGTGTGAGTTTTCCTTGGAGAAGCCGAAGTCAATCTCGCCGGTGGATGCAGGGTCGACACCGTACATGAGACGAATATCGCGGATTCTGTGCAGGGGAAGGCCCATGGCAATCTGGAGCTGGGCAGCGGGAAGATTGACACCGGTAACCATTTCAGTGGTGGGATGCTCGACCTGGAGACGAGGGTTAAGCTCGAGGAAGTAGAACTTGTCATCTGAGTGGGAGTAGAGGTACTCGACGGTACCCGCTGAGACATATCCGACAAGTTTACCAAGTCGTACGGCGGCCTTCTCCATAGCATTGAAAGTGGCGGGGTTGGCAACCGTGACGGGCGCCTCCTCGATGATCTTCTGATGTCTTCTCTGTACTGAACAATCACGGCCAAACAGCGAGATGTTGTTTCCGTACTCGTCCGCCAGCAGCTGCACCTCCAAATGCCTAGCATTGCCGGCCAGCTTCATGATAAAGATGGGGGATCCGGGCACCTCGTTGGCAACCTGGCTGTAGAGACTGGCAAAGTTCTCATCAGTCTCCGCCTTCCTGATTCCCTTTCCACCACCACCCTCTGATGCCTTGATCATGACTGGGAACCCGATCTCTCGGGCCTTTGCCAAACCCTCCTCGGCAGAGTGCGTGCAACCCTTATCGTAGATCTCGTCGGCCACCGTAACAAGACCCTCCTTGTCGACAACGACCTCCTTGACGCCGGTACCGCTCCAAGGAATACATGGTACCTCGGCGTGCTGCGCAACAATCGTAGACGAGATCTTGTCTCCGAGCGATCGCATCGCCGAGCCGGGGGGCCCAATGAAGACAATCTTGTTTTTTGACGCCGCCAGCGATTCCGGCAGCTTTGGGTTCTCACTCGCATGTCCCCTGTTATCCGAAAATCAGTAAACTGCAATTGCGCGGAAGAGTAAGTTGGGGGGGGGGGGATTTGGCCCACCATCCTGCCCACACAGCGTGAACCCCAAAACGCTCAGCAACGTCTACAATCAACTCGACATTTGCGTAATTATTATTATTTGTGCCACCAGGGACCTGTAGGTTGTAGTTTTTTGGGGTTAGTATCGCAATTGCTATTTCACCCGGATATGGGGCCGGGCCAAGGGAAGATGGGGGGTTGTTGAGGTTGAAGTGGGGCGGGGGCGGGGGGAAGAGCTGGATACTGACCTCAACGTACTGGTCCGCCATCCTAATGTAGTCCGCGTTCGCCTGCAGATCCTCCGGCGTAGCCATAACCGTGAACTGGATCGCCCTCTCATCACCAAATGTCTCGTACGCCCATTTGCGCACACTTCTAATCTCCTTTACGGCCGCAATACCATTGTTTGCAATAAGAACCTAGAACACACACACACACACACGCAACCCAATTAGCCCCAAGTCCACTCTCAAACTTTCCCCCTCCCTCGATATTTAAAAATCATTGGCGCTCCCAAACCTTCTCAATGACAGTGTGTCCGTCGTGGGACGCAACAAAGTCCTTGACCGCGCTCGGGGCCGCAACCTCTAGCGAATTGCCGCCGATGAAGTGTGCGGGCAGATTGAACTTCTTTGAGTAGCTCGGCGTCACTATCTTGTCCTTCCCCCCCGGCTGGCCCGCCGTTCCGGTCGTCCGCATAATGGCGGCCACGGTGGCAGATGAGTCTGATGCCATTGTTTTATATATAATATAGATAAAGACTCGGGCGTGAGTGTAGGTGTGGGTATAGATATGTAAGAATAGGATTGGATTTTTGAGTTGCTGGAGTTTTTTTTTTGGTGGGTATCTTTTTTTTTTAGCCTCGGTGCTTTAGGGGTGTAGGCACTGGGGAAAAAAAGAATATTATTGCGCAGCAGGTAGATGGTGGAGCTTTCTTCTGGATGTTCGTACGGCGTGAGGGGTAGGATCGTCGGCGTCGTTTGTCGTGGTAATGGGAGAGAGAGAGAAAATCTAGAAGTGTGAGGATAATTCGTAACACTAGTACTACTCCACTCGGGGGGAATTGAGGTGGAGAGAGTGAGTGAGGATGAGGAGGTGGAAAACTTACAGGATGGCTTATTGAAAGAGAACGATTAAGAACACTTTGCAGATGGGCGATGGAGGAGGAATGAGGGTGGGAGAGGGAGGGCGGGGGGTGGTGGTGAGGGTCCTGTTGAAGTACTAACAGTCTAACACTGTCTTCTCTCTCTCCGTTGAGGGAACAAGAGCTAGCTAGGCTAGTTAATTGGGGCCCAACCAACAAAATGATAGGGAATTGTTTTTTGCGGGGCTCTGTTTTGTACGGGCAGGGATCTACTAACTGGTCCACCCTATGCCACTGCTGGGAGACCCGAGAGAAAAAAAAAAGAAACATAAGGGAAATACTCCGGCTATGGGGATCGGTTGGTTGGACGTGGTACCTTTTTTTTTTTTTTTTTTTGATTTCTTCTACTCTGCTCTCTCTCTCTACTTGCGAAAAGAAAATACAGTCAGTTTCTACTTGGGGTAATAATCCCAATCTCAGATAGGCAATTCCCCTTTCCCCCACCAAAAAAACGATCCTCCCCCCTCCATTAGCTCGGCGAGACCTCTCTAGATCGCTCAACCTCAACCCCCTCTCTCTCTCAGATCTTCTCTTTTCACTCTTTCCCTCAACTTACCTCCACAACCCCAAAACAATTCCCACCATCGAAAACAGGACTAGGGGCAACGTGTTGGGAAGGGCAATCATTAATTCTCGCGCAGCAAAAAACGTTGGGGATTTTTTCCGCCCGCAGGAGGGGAGGGGAGGGGTGGTGGACCGTGATGGTGGTGGGAGGGGCCCCTGTACGGGTGTGCTTGGCAAGAAAGACTTGAAAGAGGCCTAGTGGCATAGTAAGAGGGATCCGCGTAAAGCTCTCTTTTACTCTACCATGGAGGAGAGGACCCGTAAATAAACATACATACATACGGTACCCAGTTGTTCCTGGATGGCCCGAGCTACAGTATCGTATCTATCTAGAATGCGCGATTTGATGGCAGACAGATATGGTGCCTATCAGCGCCCAGGGGCAGAAGAAGGAAGCATCGGGAACATCTGGTCGCTGTCGCTGTCCGAGATGGGAGTTTGTTTTTGGCATGCGGCTGCTGCTGCTGCTGACGTAAGGCAGTAGAGAGTAGATGGAGAATTCAATGGAGTGTAGAGTGCAGTGCTCTTTCCTTCTTTCCTGCCGGCGCTCGATCTTTTTGCTTTACCCTCGATTGATCTGCTTTTTTGTAATTTACTTTGCTTTACTTTGCTTTACTTTACTTTCTTTGTCGGCGCCGGCGCCCGGCCCTGTTCTGTTCTGTTCTGCCCTGTTCTGTTGGGCCTCCGACCTCGCATCCTCACGCACTCACTCACTCTTTCATAGCACTTCCTGATATCGGTCGGTCGGTCGGTTGCTGTGCTGTGCTGTGCGCTGCGCTGGGCTCAACAACATTGGTCCGAGGCCTACCTAGAGTAGGTCTCACAACCAAAGCCAAAACCAATCCCCCACAACAACTACATCCAGTAAGTGAGTAATCACCGTCACCCCAAAAATTTCGCAGCCGGGTCTCCCCCCACCACGGCGAATCAGATCAGCGCGGACCCAGAAGCAGAGTAAAAAATATTACTAGTGCTACTAATATTACCGGGGGCCCGGGGTAATGTTTCGCGTATATACCTACATATATGTCATACTCTCTGCCCAGTGATGATGGTCATCACTCGGGTCGGGGTACATACTACATACTTACACGGAGCTGGGAAGGAAAACCCGGTACGGTTTGCGATTTTCAGGGACCCAATACGCGGGCGCGGGACTACATAAGCTTCGGGGTGTCGGGGTGTCGGGGTGTCGCGGGGGGGTCTGATTGGGTGCCCGGCGGGGGGTGAGACATTGCGAGTGATTTTTGGTGATGCGTGGGAAAAAACTTGACGGCCCTTGATTTGCTTTGCTATATATATATATATATATATGGCAAACCTGAATCCTGTCTGCTCCGAGGGCTGAACGGATATGAGGCGAATCGGAGGATCGAGGTGCACTGCACGGGGAGCGTGTGAGATGGCCGTCGATAGAGTTTGAGTTTGGGTTTGAGTTTGCTAATTATACATGCAACTACTGTACTTGAAGCTTAAGCTTGTTCGTGTTCTTGTTCTTGTTCTGATGGGCTCGTATGTCACCACGTCATGTCATGGCATATGTATGTACGCTTTCTTTGACTTATGTAGCAGGTGCTTAGCAGGTTCTTTTCCTGTTCTTTCTCCGGCTAGCTAGCTGGGTTGGTGATCGTGTTGTTTGGTGGGTTTTTTTTTCCCCTTCTCCGGCCTGGCACGAGTGCAGTGTGTTTTACAACTCTACACGAAATGATGGCCCCGTGTACTTAAGAACAACTCACACAATAAGCAAGGCAAAACAAGCAAGAAGCCCCGGATCGATCTGGAAGAGGACTGTCAAATCGTAGCTGTATTGCGGGGGCTCGATGGTGTATTCTCAAACCACGGCCATGCGTGGCTAGATATAGATATAGATACAGATACTGTATCTGCCTGCAGCTAGCCATGTAGCTATGTAGCTGAAGCTAGCTGCGAATGTCAGAGCAGATCTGGAAGAGGACGACTGCACATGTCAAATCATAGCTATATTCACAAGTCTCGGTGGTACATGTGAAACGCGGGGTTATTTTGCCTTCCTGGTTGGTGGCCTGTCTTCAAGACTGCGAATATTAGATCAGTCAGAGCTTACAAAGCTTTATAAGCCCTAACCCACGCGGGCCCTAACCCACACCGGGGGTCCGTTCCGAGGCTAACTGGCCCTGGAGAGCTCCGATAAGATAAGTTCATGCTCAGTCATCGCGGCTCTTGTCGATAACGATCCTCTGCGTGTGTGTGCCACTGTATGGATTGCTTGCCCGGCTATCCAAGGCCCAAGAAGGCACTTTCTTCCTTCCTTTGGCTGTCACACGACTCTGGTGACTGATGACTGGTGATCACGGGAGGGAGGGTCAAGGGCATGTGGGCGGGGAGCGGAGGTGAGCGGCGCAACTCAACCCCAGGCTGCCACGCGGGCTGGGCGATTAGATGGGCAGGTAGGGACAGAGAGACAGTCTACAGGGAGACAGAGACAGACAGACAGACAGACAGACAGTCTACAGGGAGACAGTCTACAGACAGAGACAGACAGGAAGGCGGCGGCTTCCATCTATCTACAACGGCTTTACATATCTACAGGTGCCGTGGAGGTTCGTTCAAGGGCAGTTCTCAAGAGCTGTATATAGGTACTCTACTCTATCTAAAGGGGTACATGTAGTTGTAGCTTTGAGAGTGCGAGTGAGGGGAGAGAGAGCTTTCTCCACGGTTTCGCCCGAACCCCTCCTTTTGGAGGCCTCTACACATGATCTCGTAGTTATAGACAGTAAATGTTTGTCTCTGATTACACAGAGCTGGAGAGATAATCAATACAAACCTCCTCTCACATGAACTATCAGCATTAGTTAGCGCTGTCAGATATCTCCATCTCTCTCTCTGTCTCTCTCCCCGCACCCCTCCTCAGCTGGAGGAGCTCTTCCCTTCCTTTTCCCCGCCCCTACTTACCAGCCTGCCCGCATCCAAAAAGCACCCCCCGCTCGACTCAAATCCAGCTCTCATACCTACACCCACACCCACACCCACACCCAGCCAGTATGAGCACCCGCTCACCCCCCTCCCGCGTGCGCTTCTCGCCCGAAGTCTCGCGCTCCCACTCGCCCGACTACTGGGCGCCCAGCCCCGACAGCGACGACCCGCAGCAGCAGATGCTCGCCAAGCCGCTCTCGCTCCCGCTCCCGCTCCCGAGTGCGCGCGGGCGCCGGCGGAGGGCGGACGACGATGTAGAGGTGCCGTGGATGCGGCTGCCCATGACGATCATGCTCGTGGCGGTGCTCATGGTCTTTGCGGTGGGCTTTGGGGTCATATTTTGGGAGAATGAGGCCGAGGGGAGCGGTGAGTGCTATCTTGTTATTCCGCGGTGTTGAAGAGAGGAAAAGAGTGCGGGCGGGAGGGAGGGAGGGAGGGAGGAGAGGGAGAGAGGGAGAGAGACGGATATCGATACTGACTGATGCCGCGGTGGGGGCCGTGACCCAGACAGGGACATCCTCGTCAACGCCCAGCACGGCGTTGTTTCCTCCGACGTCGACGTCTGCTCCGAGATTGGCGTCGGCATCTTGAAGAAGGGCGGCAACTCCATTGACGCAATCATTGGTTCGTCTCCCGTCATTCCCGCCCTCCTCCTCCTCCTCCTCCTCCGGTAGCTAACGCAGCACTCACTCACCCGCCACAGCCACCGGCGTCTGCATCGGCGTCATCGACTCCTTCTCCAGCGGCATCGGCGGCGGCGGCTTCCTCGTCGCCCGCACCGTCCATGGTGACTCCAAATCCTTCAACTTCCGCGAGATGGCGCCCGGCGCCGCCACGCGCGACATGTACAACGGCCAGCCGCTCCTCGCGCAGATTGGCGGACTCGCCGTCGCGATCCCGGGCGAGGTGGACGGATACGCGACGGCGCACGCGCTGTACGGGAAGCTAGCATGGCACGAGCTGTGGGTGCCGAGCGTCGAGCTGTGCCGCGGCGGGTTCGTGGTCACGGCCACGCTCGGCTACCACATACACACGCATGCGGCCTTCTTCACGGCCAACAGGCACAGCTGGGAGCACCTGTTTTCGGAGGAGACGGGCGAGCTGCTGCGCCCCGGGGAGATTATGCGGAGGTGGGCGTACGGGAGTACGTTGGAGGTTATTGCGGCGGCGGAGGAGGCGGGCGAGGGGGGTGATACGTATAGGGGGGTGCGCGAGTTCTATAATGGCACTATTTCGAGGCAGTTGGCGAGGTTTGTGCAGAATAATGGCGGGATCCTGACGGAGGAGGACTTTGGAAATTTCTTTACGGTGGTGGAGGAGACGGCAAAGACCATTATTGATGATATGGAGGTTATTACTTGTCAGTCGCCCTGCGGGTATGTTCTCTCTCTCTTTCTCTCTCTCTTTTTGATAGGAGTGATATAGCGGATTACAAGGCTGACATTTCCTCAATATAGTGGACCGGTGCTGATCGAAGGCCTCAACATCGCCGAGGGCCTCGACATGCGAGACCCCCAAGACCCGCTCTCCTATCACTATCTCGTAGAGTAAGTCCACACCCAAGCACTCCCTACACCCGCAGGCCCACTAACACCCCGCCAGAACCATGAAATGGCTCTCCTCCGGCCGCACCGAACTCGGCGACCCCACCGACCCCACCGTCGCCGCCAACCACCCACGCATCCACGAGCTCACCACAAAGCACTGGGCCGCCTCCGTGCGCGCCAACATCTCCAGCACCCACACCTACCCCTGGGCGCACTACAAGCCGGCCTACGAGCCCACCGAGCCCCATGGCACCTCGCACATCTCAGTCTTTGACCGCCACGGCGGCGCCGCGGCCCTCACAACCACCGTCAACCTGCACTGGGGTGCCATGATCCACGACCCCGTCACCGGCATCGTGCTCAACAGCGAGATGGACGACTTCTCCATCCCCGGCCGCAGAAACGCGTACAACCTCGAGCCGAGCGTCTACAACTACATCCGGCCGTACAAGCGGCCGCTGTCGTCCACGGCGCCGACTATCGTTGTGGAGGGCGATGGCAACGTTGGGCTGGTCATTGGCGGCAGCGGCGGGAGCAGGATTGTGACGGGCGTGTTTGAGGCGGTGGTGAAGACGTACTTTTGGGGGTGGGATCTGCTGGATACGATTAAGAGCCCGAGGCTGCATCATCAGTTGATACCCGAGACGGTGAGCGCGGAGTGGGATATGGAGGCGTGGGTGGTGAGGGGTTGGAGGAGAGGGGGCATAGTGTGGTCATGATGGGCGGGGGGGAGAGCGCGGGGGGGAGTGTGATGCAGGCGGTGAGGGGGCGCGGGGGACGGGTCGAGGGCGTGGCGGATTGGTGGAGGAAGGGGGGGAGGGCGGCGGGGTATTAGGTGGGTAGATATAGATGTAGGGCTAGAGATGTGCTTTACTTGTATTATGGTAATGTATTGTGGTGTGTATGATGTGTTGGGGTAGAGGGGGATGGGTGGTGGATGGCCGATATGGACCTGGTCTTAATTCCTCTCTGCTTTTTCTTCTCTTCCTGTATGTGGTTGGTTTTGTGTATTGTTTTTTTTCTCTTTTCTTCTTTCTTGTTGGTAGATTAGATCTCGTGCGGTCGTGGTTTAGCTAGACGTCGTGTGTGTGCGGCTAGATGGCTAGAGATATATAGATCTTCAACTCCATAAATTAAATGGAAACTCTGTTCAGAAGCGTTTGTTTAATTTCCGGCCTAGCTAGACATCTCGGCGATCATTGACCCCCAAGGAGGCAAGGAGGCAAGGATTGAATATCTAGCCTGGTGTATGAGATCCTTTCTGCGTTTTGACTTTTTCTTTTGTGGCTGCGTGGGCGTTGGGTGTATGGTGCTGTGGTGGGTTGCTGATTTGATTGATGTGGTGCGTCATGGAATATCACTCGGTGTTGAGGTAAGAATTAAGTCACCTAACTGTCTCGCCCTACTTTTTTTCAACAGTCGCACGTATCTAGGGATCTGGTGTGGATATATGGGAGTGTGTGTATCAATGAGCTCAAGTAGAGTAGGATGTGCTTTATATGGTGTTGGGTGTTTGCTTTTTCCAAATGATATGGCTGTATGTAGTAGTATAGTATACCCCGATCCCGACCGCAGCACACCCACTCGGATACCTGATCTTCAAACAGCTATAGGTATCGCTGTATTATAATAGTTTGTCGGGCAGTGGGATATGGGGGGTACGGTATTGGTAGAGTACGGGATTAGTGATAATCAGGCTCGAGGAGAATCAAGAGGAGTCGTCCTCCATCTAGAAGAACTATCTTTTATGATCATACTCTTATAATTAGGAGGTTCAGAGAAGAGCTCGTCCAATACTCCGCTATCTTTCCTTTAGCGTCACGTTAATTGATACCGCGTCTCCACCACGATCGGTATCCTGAACCTCTATTTAATACATAGCTGTAACTACTAACAGCTCCCTCTTTCCTCGGCTGGGCCAAATCTCCCTACACAAGTCAGTTTCACTCATCATCTTATGCTGTTTAAACACCTCAATTAATGAGCTATCAATCAATCAATTTATTAACACCTGGTCTAATGCACAAGATGGAGCGAGTGATATCTCGTGACCAAGATACCGCGGATTACACACCTGGTTGTGGGAGGTTTTATTCAGTGCGTGTTGGGTGTTCATTGTGGTAAGTGGATGAAAATTGCGGTGGGAAACGTTGTCAACGGTTGCATAATTAAACACTTCATGATATATGTAGTTTGGATGTCATGGCCAAGCTACAATACATAATAAAGAGGGAATCCTCTCCCTCTTCTATCTTCTACCCATCATGCAGTCCATACAACACACCTCCTACGCCCCCGGTTCCTTACTTTGCTTTATACGGGTCTTCTCTGGAAACATTGAAGACATGCATTCACATCGATTCTTGAAATGTACCGTTTCCGGAATATAGAACTGATATGCTAATCAAAAGACAGGAATCATATTATCAAATTCTAAAAATACCGCAAATTAACCAACGGTAGATCTTCTTGCTATCTACAGTCTATATAATATCATATCTCACCCCCACCTCCTCTATCGATCCTCATCATCCGTCGTCTCCTCCACCCACTCCTTCTCCTCCCCCTTCGCCTCCACCCCCGCCGCCTCCCTAATCAACCTCTCCGCCCTCCTATACAACGCATCCACCCTCCCTACCCTCTCCTCATCCCTCAATGCCGCCACAATCTCCTCCCCCGCCTGCAACACACTCAACAACCTCCGATCCCCCATCGGTCCCCTCCACACCACCGCATCCACCACGCACCCCGCCCGCTCAAACGCATTCCCCGGCCCAAACCCAGCATCCTCATCGATCAGCTCGGGCGCTAGCGTCCCGCTGTTGTACGCAGCGATGATGGCCTCGATCAGCGCGGAGAGACACACCTGTGAGGCAACGGGGTCGTCGATGTTGCGCGTGATGTCCAGGCGCAGCGTGTGCTTGCAGAAGGTGAAGCAGGCGTAGAGGCAGGCGCGGTGCAGCGCGGAGAGGAGGCTGCGCTGCTCGGCGAGCGGAATGGTGGTGTCGGGGTGTGAGGCGGTGGAGGAGCAGGTGGAGTGGGAGTGCGGGTGGGGAGGCGGTGGAGGAGGCGGTGGTAGCAGCGGGGGTGGGGGTGGTGATGCGAGGCTAGATAGAATTCACCATATAAGCCTATACCCGCATGATAGATCCGGTACATCTAGAGCTGGTTATCAAAACCCACCTCCCGCTCATCCCACTCCCTCTACACCTCCTCCTCCTCCTCCTCCGCCTCGACGCCAACCGCCTACTCAGCCGATCTCTCTCCAAATGCGGTATCCCCCCGCTATCCAGCAGCTGATAAAACATATTCGACACCTGCACGCGCGTGGCCGGGAACCGCACAAAATGCAGGATGTCGTCGGATACATCTTCGAAGATGTCCTTGAGCTTGGAGTGCGGGCCCGTGAAGTGCAGGATGCGCCGCACGCTGGTTTTGATGGCGTTTTGCAGCGCGGCTTTGGTGCTGGTGCTCATCATTGCTGGCTATAAAAATACTGGTGATAAAAATGATAGTGATGGATATGACGGCGAAGGGATGTACTGGGGGAGGGTGTGTGTTTTTATATACCGCCCCGTACACACTCCCGTATCAAAGAAGCGGCGGCCTGCAGGAGGGGGAGGTAGGGTGCCGTGAAGGGCTTATGAGGCGGGAAAGATAAAGCCGGGTGCGGTAAGAGTCAATGCCTAAGTCCATGGAACAAGGGGATGCGGCTTTGGGAAGTATGAGTGGTTTGATCGTGTTTTGCTAACTTGGCAGCTGGAGGGCATGCTTTGTGGCGTCATGAATACTGAAGCCCTTCCAATTGGATAAAGCAGAGCTGCTGGGGTGTAGACTATTTTTACTTGTGCCCATATGAAGGGTATTAACTATATGTATTTAGAGTAACGGAGTTCTAAGAGGTTCTAAATTACGAGGGGACTATTATTCCACCCGAGCAGGCGGCACCTACACATCATCGAGGAGCGCAAACATACATGTATTTGTTGGAAGATTAGTATGTCTCTCTACGGTTTAAAAGGACCAGCTCTTGAACCAGACTAAGTAGCTAGCTATAACGAGATGGATATTTACTGCCGAGCTTTGGCGCTCTGAAAAACCCTCCCCGTTTGCAACTGAACTTTGAAGAAAAGTGCCAGTTACCACGTAGTTATGGCAAGCCAACTATTTACTGGAAGATCGGGATTTGATAGTTGTGGTTTTCCTAGATTCCAATCCATAAACCCACAAATCAGGTCATAAACTATCACTCGCCAATGTACCAATGACCCAACCGACCCCTTTTTCGCACCCCCCGAAAACCCCGCACCAATCAATCACCCACAAAGCGGCCAAACCACACCCCAATCCCAAGAACACCCCAATCCCCGGTCCCCGATCTGCACTTAGCACTCCAGCAGAGGCCGGAACATCGTATCTCCGAGATGCTATGTGTCCTGTGGGGTGGACCTACCCATGTGGGCGATTGATCTACGGTTGTTGATCAGATAAGATAGCGCACTCGCCCAACCCGCGCAAACGTCACTTTCACTTTCTTCTCAACTCAACCCAACACCTCCACGCCCACCACCACCCACCACCTCAATCGCACTCAACACCCACAACCCTCACCACTCCCACCACAGCAGCAGCAGCAACAACCACAATGGCAAACGTACCTCTCCCCCCCCACACCCCACCCCCTTCCAAAACACCTACTAACCCCCCCCCCAGAAAGCCTCCAAATCCCTCGCCCGCGCCAACGCACGCACGCTCACACGCACGCACACCATCACGGCCTCCCTCCACGCCCTCTTCATCCTCTACCGCCTCCTCTTCCGCCACGGCTCCTGGCGCAAGTACCTCGTGCTGTCGCTACCCAGCCTCGTCATCGAGTACTACCTCGAGCGCCTCGGGCGCCCCACCTACACCGCCACAGGCGACCTGCGCTCCCCCGGCGAGGACATGGAGGCAAAGGGCGTCACAGAGTACCTCTGGGATGTCGTGTATGCTACGTGGGTTGTCATGGGCCTCGTGGGCGTGGCGGGAGAGTGGGCGTGGTGGTTGTGGGTATGTTGCGGTTTTTTTCTTCTTGTTCTCCTTTTTTTGTTTTTGCTGCTGGGTGCTAATGGCGGGGTGGGAAATAGACGATTGTGCCAGCGTACGCTGGATACCTAGCCTTCTCGACATACAACGGCATGAGGAACGGGCTGATGCCTGGGATGCCTGCGGCGCCCGAGGGCCCTCCCAGCGCCCCAGCGGCGGGAATGAGTAATCGCCAGAAGAAGTCTGAGAAGCGTGGGGGACAGAAGATTAGGTACCAGTAGTGGTAACGGGGCTGATCTGGGACTTTTTTTTTCTTCGTGTTTTTGTTGATCCGCTGCAGACCTTTTTTGTATGAAATGACATGAGCGGGTGGGTTAGTTGCGGGTGCAGTTTAATATACCATGATGGCTAGAAAAATATCTTGGAGCGTAGGGTAGGATGGGCTTCGGGGTTATGATACATAATGGGTTGGGTGGGTTGGATGGGTAATGCGAGCAATTAGAATTGATACAATAGTAATTGTTTACAATATGGTGTTCTTCTACCAGTGATTTGGGTTGCGCAATTGTAACGTCATGTGCAGCGTGTAATGCGTGGTGGAGCTTTGGCAATCACCAGACAACGATAAGAGAAACATGGAAGAAGATTGGGGACAGGCGATTAGATTACATACTACGAAACAGATGATTTTTATAAGTTTTCGGGGTCTACGGGGATCCCACCTTTTGTTTGAAGGATAAAAAGTGGTTTCAGGGACGCACAAGAGTCTACAGTGACAGCGAACAGAGCAGGCAGGCAGTTTTCATATCCAGGCATCCATTCAAACTAGCCAATTACACGAAACACAGAACAGCAAAAAAACACCACCCCGCACCCCCAAGTAACCAGTAACAAGAAAGGACAGGACAAAAATTGTCAACAAAACAAAGGCTCCGACTTTATCATTGTCTTTTTCCAAAGCTCACCTTTTACGAGAGAGCAAAGGAAAAAAGAAGGAAACTATTAGACAAATACAAGAGGCCATTATTCGCAATTGATTTATGAGATAATGGGAAACTACAACTGGTGGTACACGAAGAAAAAGTAAAAACCCGATCCTTCCTCCTGTGGTACTTTAACCACCGAAACCGTAGAGGGTACGGCCCTGGCGCTTGAGGGCGTAGACGACATCGAGGGAAGTGACGGTCTTGCGCTTGGCGTGCTCGGTGTAGGTGACGGCGTCACGGATAACACCCTCGAGGAAGGTCTTGAGGACACCACGGGTCTCCTCGTAGATCACTAATTAAAGGAAGATTGGTTAGTATGTGTTTACGATAAATGATAGCTTGGTAGAGGAGGGGGTACGAACTAGCAGAGATACGCTTGACACCTCCACGACGAGCGAGACGACGGATAGCGGGCTTGGTGATACCTGTGAAAAGAAAGGTTAGAATACTAAAATTATATAAATAGAACACATGATGAACGAACCCTGGATGTTGTCACGAAGAATCTTCCTGTGACGCTTAGCACCACCCTTTCCGAGACCCTTTCCTCCCTTTCCGCCTAGATGGTAGAGACATGTTAGCAAGCTGTTGATATTATTGGGAGCACTGGGGGTTGTTGAGAAGCGACGCGTCGTGACGCCGAGCTTACTCACGTCACTGTGTGACTATAGCGACGACAGCGACCACGAGCGGCAAGATGGGGATGAAGGGAAGAGGGAAAAGAAAGAAGTAGTAGAGATAACTTACGTCCAGTCATGATGAATGTTAATTAGTTGAAGCTTGTACTACGTTGAAAACAGTTTTTGTTGCGAAAAAAGAGACGCGTTGGTGGTCGTTGGGTTGGTGAGTTATCGTGTGTCGTTGGGCGTAAGAAGGAAAGGGAAGAAGAAGGGGACAGTCAAGAGGGTGGGTATTAGGGTATTTATACCTGTCTTTTAGGGCACTGCCAGATCAACGGGGTACGAGGGAACAGCGCAGGCGAAAAATAATGGGAGAGGCAGGAAGGGAGAAACCGCATGACAACGGGCCTGCCCTCGCCGAAAAAAAACCATCCTACAAACCCCCCTTGAATCTCGCTCACTTTTCCCAAGAATATTTGTATGGGTTTTTTGGCCCAAAATCCGTCTGTTTGGCCTTAAGCCTTGGCCGGCTTAGTCATGTTACCACCTCTTAATTCTGGAGAGCAACGGCGACCCGCGACAACAGGAACACCAAAGACAGAACACTCCACTATTCTATGAGCTTGGAAATATCTATTACCTTAGGATAGAGACAAGAGTTGCGTCCATTTCTATACGCAATTCATAATGCTTCTTGTCTTCTATTGAAGACTAAGTGAGTTTTTGGATACAACTACATGAATATGCGAGGACTTCCTACCCGACGCATATATAAGATGGTACCGGCGCATACGTCGACAATCGCATACTTTCGCAAAGAATAGCAGAAGATATCCTGCCTTGTTTTTTCGCTTGAATTCGATCGAGCGAGCTTGTCTATCGGATATCAAAAATCACCTCAAGAAAAATTCGAAATAGAAGAGTTAAGCTCTTCAACTGAAAATTCAAGACAGATAGACTACCTGCACTCACCAACTGGCCGAAACATCACACCACTGCGTCCTTTGCAATACATGTGGTTACATTTCTGGATCCTCAAATAGACAGGGTTGGTCAAGCCAGCTTTACTCGGCAGGAGAATGTGTGCTGAACAAGAAAGGTGGTGGTCTCGGTCGTTAGCCATTGATCACTCAATATTAACCTCCAAGCAGCTTGATATCTGTTTAAGTATAACCTAGGATATTCTATGACATTCCCCACTTTCTACTCCTATCTATGAATTATGGTTACCAGACAACAAAAAAAAAACTTGACTTCTTGGGGCCTTTGTGCCCGGGAACACGCATACGGTATACCCATACACCCCCACAGTGCCCCTCTTTATTCCCATATCAACCTATACGATCTGGTGACCTATCTATTGCTGATCCTCGCCCGCTCGCTCTGGATCCTCATTTATGAGTCTTGAAACACAATCTATCACTCGCAGCACTGTCCCTGCCCCTTCTCCTTCTCCAGTTGGCCAATTCCTTTGATTTTTAGCCCATCACCCTCTACTCCAATTACCGACTTCAAGAACTCTTCACTTGCCCCCCTGACAAGCACATGGATGTGCTCCACGCTCCGCACACTTTGGATGCTGGCCCAGTTCTTAAACCATAGTACATTCTCCTTCCCCAGGTGTTTCTTGAATGTCTGATTGACATAGCTATCTATTATTTCTCTCGATTCAGGCGTGAGGTCGCCCGCGGGGATTGAATCCGGTTGTGTCGCAATTGGAGCCTTTGTCCAGCAGACAATGTGCACTAGAGTATGATGGTATAATATTAGAACCACTTATAAACCCGAACTAGGGTATAATTGAGCTTACATATACCCGGCGCATTCCCGTACGGCCAGTCGTTAATCAGCACCTTCGTATCCGCTATTGAAGCCTATTAGCTTCATCTCCACATAGCTTTTAGTAACACGGTACTAACCTTCACATGCGAACGGCGCCAAATTTTGTGGTTTCAAGTCCTTCCAACCCAAGCGTTCCTTTAAAATAAACGCCAGAATAGTGCCATACTCCTCCCGTGTTTTTTTGGACCAGGAAATATACCGTCTCAAATCCGACGGGACTCTTTTCAGATCCTCAAGCCTATTATTCTCTATCGATATTATAATTAGCTCACGCCCCGGTTAGTAAAGTCTGGTAGCTATACTAACCGATAATTAGTTTCAGGTCCTCCCATGTCATTAGCTTGAAGCTCTCGTCGGGGGTTTCGAGCTGCTTGGCGTCCTTGTCGGTGAGATGATAGCCATCGTGGGAAGCGTCGGCACCTTTAGTTTCTTGTACCGTCATTCTATCGAATTTTATCTGGGAGAATTATGAATAAGGTTGTCTATGAATGAGTTGTGAAAGTGGGAAAGAGAACAGGTATTATTTACGAAGCTAATCTATCGTGGCTGATGAGGGCCTGTCGGAGACTTGTCCCTGCGTCCGACTTGCCTTTTACAGCGACACGTGGCTGGAGGGCTGAGCGACATGGGCGAGTTGTGACGAACAAGTCAAGATACTAGAAGTATTCTGGCTATGAAGGCTAAATACATGTATGTCTTGTAATTAATTCATACTGATCGCATAATCCTGAGAGGATCTCGTGATTTGATAACACTCTTTCGCTGCTGTCAACTTCTTAATCCTGTTCCTGGACCAAGGGTTAGGTTTATGCGAAGTGAGTAACTTCTGGTGATCTCGGGGAGCTTCTTTAAAGCTTAATTCAGCCTCTTCCTTGTGCGATGGGTCTTGGGGCCTTTGGGACATCAATGCTTAATATCGGCTTGAGTTATTTGCAGGATCAGATACACTAGGGCCTAAGGTTTCACAGGCACTTTTATTTCTGGGAGCTTCTGGTTGCCTTCTTTTTGATGACAAGTCCTATTTCTAGAACCTGGAACGGATCGCAATATCTTCCTGCACAAGGGCGGAGTACCTACATTACGTATAATACATGTACCTACATGCAAGCAAGAGAAGGAACGTATCTTTAGGATAGATGCTAAGTTTTCTGGGCGCCAGGCTAAAGCTGAATAGGTGATGTTTCTATCAGATTGGCCTTTTAGTTTTGTTCAGTATAATCACAGCACTTAGATACATGTATTTCAGCTGGAGTAAAACCTCTCTCAAGAACCTGCCATACATGAGCGTGGATCTGGATGCGCCGGTTATTAGTCTGCAAGATACGCATGCCACTGGTTGTGTCAATCGAGGCGTCTTTGGGGACTACCGAGCTGGATCTACTCTATCAATGTACCACATTGAAATATCTCCTACAGACGCTAGATGGCGTTTTGGCGTATGATAATGATCACGATCGGAGATTTAGATGTGTACAGCGTGTACCTATGTAACTTCTCCGAGGCCACGATTCATGTCTCGTTTTAAATCCACTCGAGGTATTCACAGCTTCAAGCCAGCTCAATACATACAGGTACCTTTTACAATTCAGACAAACGGGCTCTTAGTTTTAATTTTGGCTTTTGCTGTGCGGCAAATGATGTAATGTAAGCACGTCCCTATGTCTCGTCACGTTATCGCTCACATGCTCATGTTTAATGTAAGACATGGACAGCACAGTCCAACCCTACATAGCATCCGAGAAACCTGAGCAACCCACGAACGACAAAATTCTCTGCCGTGTGTGATGAAGCTCGTATATAATAGAACCTATGATATGGCCCTGCATTTGCTCGTGTCAAGCAGTTCCTTTCTCTTCTTCTCATGGACTCGAGAGACGAAGTGAGTACACTAACCTACCACAATGGGGAACCCCGGCTAGGCCAGGTCAGCTGAAGCTGGGGTAAATGCGTGATATCAATAGGTCTAGAATTGAGATCCAGACGACCGATTTTCAAACTTGCAAAGTATATGAAAAGAACAATCTCAGCTGAGAATTTGCATTTAGGTTTGATGTGCGCATTTCTGGCCGACCGATCGAGATAATAGTTGCGGTGAACGTGGGTTACGAACCTATGCTACTACTCTAGGCACTTTCTCCTACCACTATGATACAGTAGCTGTCGATTTCTCGCGTGCAGATGATGCAAGGAAGAACCGGTTCTTGGGATTGGAGGGAAAGGAAGCAGAGATTAAGCTACCGAGCGGAAGGAAAGTCGAGCTCTGGATGGGATAAGAATTGCATGTTTAACTCACTGGCTAGGTAAGGATACATACGGACCATTGAGCCCTCTTCTTGAGCACGCGTTCCCCCTGTCACAACAAACAATTGCAAACGAATGATTTTCCGCATCTCGCGTGTAACAGGGAAGAGGCTGCCGATCTATGTAAACTTTGAAAGCCGAAAATCCATTGGTGGGAGGACGTTTGTGATATCGGCCTCCTTGCCTTTTTGTTTTTCGTCTCCAGCGACTGAAGAGCATCAATTCTGTTATTTTCTTTTGTTGCCCTCTTACTCTGGCTCACCGCATTTCAGTGGCAGCAGCCACTTGTCTTTTCATGCTCTTAAGCCGCTTGACAGGGAAGCCTTGGATGTTGGTGCTGATGCGAGCTCGCTACGGCCTAGTGGAGCTCGTGGGGAAGAATGCCGCGGTGGGGTTGATATCTACATGAGGTAGGAAATCACCCATATGCAGCTAGTGTCTCTCCTGTCTCCTTGTAAAGACTGTAGCTTTCATCAATGGAGTACTTGATGATTCAACCTTTCGGTTTGAAGGGTGGACTGCTATGAGAATAGGTAATCTCAACGATATGGGTTACAAGAAGTTGTCCTTAGGCGCCTATCGACCCACCCACAAGCATCTTCGGTAGAGAAAGAGAAACCACGATAAATATATATCTGGAGGCTGGGGCACAGATACAATTGATTTGCAATCGCGGCTATTGTTGACGTCGTCGTCCATCGTTACTATAGTAGGTTTCACATACAGCGAGCAGAAGCTTCAACTTTGGCCGGCCCAGCCATCCAAGAAGCCCAGAACCAATAATTGCGGCCAGTGACAAGAATCAAATTTGTATCACACACCTGCACGCTTCCCTCTCGCCGTGACGTGGGTGGTCCACTCCCCGGCCTCTATGCGCCCTCCCTCCTTCCTCTTTGATTCGCCGCGCAAACCCATAAAGGAGCGGGACTGCCCCGGCCCTGCCCACTGGTCCACCTGAGTTTTTATTTACAGTGGTAGTTACATAGTTACTTGCTGCAATCGTGAGCTCTACTTTGACCTCGACTTCGACTTCGGTCGATTGTCTGTCTGGCACTCTACTTTCTTTGCGACACAAATTGATTTGTTTACATCTCGTTGTCACGTGGAGGCTACCGCCTAGCAAACATGGCTCGTTCAATTCGGAATTACGAGTCTAACGAGAGCGTTATTGGTACTGGTCATGTTAGTTTCCTCCTTCACATCATATCACCCGGCGCTGCCAATGATTTTTTTGGTATGCAAATTCTAACGGTATTGCGCACAGGATGATTACGACACCTATCATGTCAAGTAAACATATCTTCTTCTTTCCATCCTAATGCGATTCTAACAATTCCTAGAACGACAGAAATTATCAAGCATGGCGACTCTCACAACAACCACCTCATCCACTCCCCAGGTAGCCACGGACATGGACATGGACATGGACTTGGTCACGGACACAACCGCACATACAGCCACGACCATACGGAGCACCACCACCGTCTCGGAGAGAATGCGGTCCCTGCACTCGTCCAGGCCTTCTCTGGCGCCGTTGGCTCTTCAATCGCGGGTATCGCGACCCACCCTCTCGATATTGTAGTCAAGCGTCTCCAGGTCCAGCGACATATCCACAACCAGATCCGTATGCAGAAAAAATCGCGCAGTGGTGGTAAGTCTCCCCGACACCACGGACGACCGGGACGGAGTAGAGATGATTCACCAGAACCTTTGGTTCTAGGCCCAGACGAGAGGGGCGATGACTACAACAGACAAGGCGGGACTCGGAGGACTAGCTCAAAGGGTTCAAGGTCCTATACTACGGCGGATGGGGTCAGAATTGACGAAGACTGGGAAGATACAGTTGAGGAGTATGAATATAATCAGCATTATGACGGCGTGATTGATTGTGCAAAGAAGATCTGGGAGGAGGAAGGTCTAGGAGGCTTTTATACAGGTGTTGTAGAGGAGACCATTGGTACATTGGGCTCTGCATTCTGGTATTACGCTACCTGTAAGTATTCAAGCCCGCCGATTCCCCGAAAATCTCGATGCTAACAGTTAATAGATAGCTATATCCGCAACAAGCGCCTTCACAAGCGCCACACCCAAAAGCTTCCAGTCCTAGAAGAGCTCTTGATCGGTCTTGTTGCTGGTTCCGCATCGCGCCTCTTCCTAACGCCCTTCAACAATATCTCAACTAGGAAGCAAACCCATGCAATGCTCTACCCCAACGCAAAAGCGCCTGGTATTGTGCAAATCTACCATGATATCATGCGGGAAAAGGGCATTACAGGGTTCTGGTCGGGTTACTCTGCCAATATGTTCTTGTCACTGAACCCGACAATGACATTCTTGATCTACGAATCGCTCAAGAACTTTGCAGGCGGAAATAGGAGGCAGATGAAGGGCGCTGAAACATTCCTGATTGCTGCGGTTGCAAAGGCTATCGCAACGGGTTTGACATATCCGCTTTCAGTTGCGAAGAGCAGGGCGCAGGTCGCAAATGAGGAAGACAATTTCCGGTTCCAGGACCTCACTAGCGTTGGGAAGGCTGGTCGAGCGATCAAGGACAAGCTAGCAAAGCGGAAGAGAAGTGCTGGGAACCTCATTCAGGTATTGGCGGATATCTTCAAACGTGAGGGTATCGCAGGGCTTTATGAGGGTGTACTTGGGGAGCTCCTTCGAGGGTTTGTATCAAGCGGTAAGTCCAGTTGTACCCCCGAGCACTTTTTAGAGAAATTATAACTAATGGTGACATAGGAATCACAATGGTAATCAAGGAATCTGTTCATCGCACAATCCTTTCGCTCTACTACTTCGTGATGCGCGCCTACAACCGTACTGAGGACCACAGTTTCCAGGCAACTACCAAGCTTATGGCAAAGGAAGCATATGAGAAAGCCGGCCCCCGCCAAAAGAAGATCTTGAACAAAGCTATTGAAGGTGGCCACAAAGTCACACATCTCATTGAAGCTGGGAAGGAAAAAGTTACAGGCCACCACTCAGAAGAAACCCGTCGTCATGATGGCATGAAGATGAAGGCTGCTGCCGCCACTGCTGTTGCTGGTCTCGCGGCTGGGGCGGTCCATCATGGACGTAACAGGAGCAGGGAGAGGCACGATGAACATGGAAACGCCTTGGTCCACACCGCTCGTGAAAGGGTTGAGGAGTGGAGAGAAGGTGTCGGCGAGGACTCGCACAGACATCGTGTTGGGAACGTCACACATATTGATGACCGTATCCACACCGGCGAGACTCACCAGAACCTCCACCAGTCCCACAGCCACTCGGGCCACAGGAATGATCAGTTTGGAAGGAACGGTATCACCGAGCAAACCTACATCGAGGAGAGGATCGAACATGGTCACAGCGGCTCCCACAGCCGCCGCGGATCTGCAGGTGTCATCGGCGCTGCTGCTACTGCTGGTGCCGTCGCTCACAAGCTTTCTAGTCACTCCCACAATGAGCACGGTCACAGCCACAGTCACAGCGGCCATGCTCACGATGGAGAGGTCATCACCAAGACTACCAAGGTTGTCGAGGAGTTTGGCATTGTCAAGGACCCCCGTAGCACTCATGTAAAGAATATCCACGATGGTCACCAAGCCGTCTCCGACTCTCGCAGCCGCTTCGGTGAGACCACCCACCAGCACAGCTCGACCCATGAGGAGCGAGGCCGCCACGGAATGGTCGGCGCTGTCACTGAGAAGATCGTTGGTCACGGCCACAACAGCCACAGTCACGGCCGCTCGCACTCTGGAAACCGTCACGGCTCGCACAGCCACAGCCACAGCCACAGCCACGGTCATGGACACGGTCACAGAGAAGGTCATATCGACGGAAAGACTATCATCCATACCACTGAGACCGTCGAAGAATGGAGAAACGACGCAAACGCTGTAGAAGATCTTCGTCAATTTGGCGTTGCGAGTACAATCAACGAAGACTCCCGTAGTGACTTTGGTGAGACCCTCCACAAAGGGCACTCGATCGTTGGGCACGGCCATAGCCAGCGATTCGGTGACGACTCAGTCCACCTCGATCACGGACGCACGGTCATTGAGAAGACCCAGGTCATGCGTGTCGATGAGGGAGGACATCACAGCCACGGACACAGCTCCCACGGACACTCCCACAAGGACTCACGCAACAGCTTCGGTGGTTCCGCGCTTCACAAGGACGGCCGTACCGTCGTTGAGAAGACGGAGATCACCCGCATCAGCGAGAACATCCACGATGGAGGGCATCTCAGCCATGGCCACAGCTCCCATGGTCACAGCTCCCACGGCCACAGCTCCCACGGCCACACCTCCCACAGACAGGGGGGTGTTGTTGGCGCTGTCGTCAGCGCTGCCGAGAAAGTCGTTGGCCACAACCACAACCACAGCCACAGCGATTCTCGCACCAACTTTGGTAGCTCCGGGCACAACGACGGCCGTACCGTTGTCGAGAAAACTGAGATCACCCGCATCAATGAGAATATTCACGACGGAGGGCACCACAGCCTTGGCCACAGCTCCCATGGCCATAAGGACTCACGAAGCAACTTTGGCGGATCTGCACTCCATACAGATGGCAGAACCGTCGTCGAGAAGACTGAGATCACCCGCATCAGCGAGAACATTCACGATGGCGGACACCACACCCACAGCCAGAACAGCCATGGAAACAGTTCACACAGGCAAACCGGTGTTGTCGGTGCCGTCGTCGGCGCCGCCGTCGGTGCTGCCGAGAAGCTCGTTGGCCACAGACACGGACAAAGCGCTCACCGCCACAGCGAGTCTCGCACCAACTTCGGTGATGCTGCTCTTCACTCCGATGGCCGCGTTGTTGAGACGACCCAGATCACCCGCATCAACGAGAACATCCACGACGGACACTCCCACTCTACCCTCGGCCGTACACACAATGACTCTCGTAGTAACTTCGGCGTTCACAACGATGGCCGCACAGTCATCGAGAAAACCGAAGTTATCCGTCAAAACGGACACACCAGTAACATGATTCCCACCCGAAGCCCTCTAGATGCCGTGGTCAACAAGATTAGCTCCAGCTCCAGCCACAACGCTCACAACACCCACAGCCACCAGAACGGGGTTGTTGCAAACGGCATTGCTGCTGGCAAGGCTGCTCTCGGCCTTGATAACCGAAACACCAGCACCTTCAGGGAAACCAGCTCCAGCTCTAGGCAGTCTGGCTTCCTTGGAAAGCAGGCACTCGCGAACTCTACTGCTGCCACCGCGGGCTCAAACGGCGTCGCCACTGTTACCCGCACTGAGGAATTCTGGCCCGTCGATGAGGATGCGAGGAGCTCGGTGTACAACTTCCAAGAGGAGAGGGAGTCAGGCGGTGTGAGGATTGAGACCAAGACTTGGGGTGAGGAGAGGAGGGGCAAGGGTTACAACTAAAAAAAAATCAAAATATTTGGATATGGGAGGTTTTCTTTTTTGGGGTAGGGATGGATTGGTGCGGGGGTAAGGGAGGGTTTATGCTTACGAATAACAACGACGTTCCTTTCTATTTCGTTTCTGGCAGGGTAAGTAGGCAGCAAGTTGCCGGACTCTCATGTATGGTTGTTTCTTTTTCGTTTGTAGTTTAATGCAGCCGGGCGAGCGCGATTATACCATAGTTACATGATTTTGGGCGAGGGATTCCTATCTTATCTAGCGTTATACCATTTCTATCATGTATGTACCTAATAATCGGAGTTCCTGGCTATTTGCAAACAAAATAATGACTTCGTAAATCTGGCATAACATGATGTTCTTTAATTTCTTCACAGGAAATCACTCGTACGTGGTATATCCATTCTCCTATTTAGCCCCGTTTCTTCCTTCCACCCTTTCTTACTTCTTTGGGTTCTCTCTACGATATCTAATATATAAACAATAGCTAAGGGATTCAAAGGTGAAACAAAAGCTATGCTGTCCTCTTCTTTAGGTAAGATATGGTGCCTGAGAGACGCGACCTCTTGCCAAGGGAGATAGTTTGTTACATGTATTTTGGCAAGCTATTGCGGTTGTTTTTGGTGATTACATTGTTGAAGTTTTATTATGTAGTTTGGGCGTGATCCTAGGTTATCTGTACTTTTATCTTAGAGCCACGAAGTTCTCTAAATTGTACCTACAAAGATGGATCCTCTCTCCCTCTTCCTTGTTTTGATCATCAGCTCATGCAATACACTGACTTAATCAGTTATTTCTTGCGGTGGGACCGGGATTATAAGGGAACAGGCTCGATGAAGACTTGGGTGATTAAATCCCTATGGTTCATGACATGACTTGCAATATTTGACCAAGGTGAATAATTCAATCAAGCTCCCAAATTCTAGTGCTCTCCATGAGATCTTTCCGGACTATGCAAAGACATATACTCGTCTCATCTCATGGAGCGGGGACGCCGAGAGCCGTCTCTTCATGTCGGGAGCAGGCCTATAAAAACCGAGTGAGTATTCGTGAGCCAAGACCCAGCACAATCCTCAAACCCTCCCCCCACCAGTTTTTTCCTAACCTCCCAACCAGAAGGCCCATCTCAGAGGCTTGCTTTGACAGAAAGCTAGAGACCCACTCTTTCCAGATCTCTCTCCCCTCAGGCCGAATCGAAACATGACGTACTAGCCTGATTAAGTAAGTCTTATGTGCAGCACCTTAGACAACGTCACCTCGACCCTGCCTTAGAGCTAACAGCCCGTCGTGCCCAAGCTCTCCACAGCTTACAGGAACCCAACACCACTCCGTCCCAACACCACCGCTGACGGAATCAACCCTCAATGCCACCAAAGCGCAAACCCACCGCCAAACCCCCTCGCCGCAAAAAACAGCAGCGCAGAACGGTTGATGAGCTTGCTGCAACAACCATTAAAGCACACAATGAAGCACCTACCATAATAATAGCTCATGGCGATAGCGGTGATGGGGATAATTCACCGTCGCCGCACCCTGCCATCTGTATCAGCTTTACTGCCAGTCAGTAGGATAAGCATAAACACCTCTCCCGCCTAAGCTACTTAATGTGATGGGGGAATTGTGGCTAATTGTGGTGTTATGTGAGTACATGTAGTTAATACGAAAGCTGGCGCCCAACAGAACAGAAAGATGACGCCGCCAGAGCAATGCATAGAGGAGAGCACTGCGGCGTTGTCAAAAGCACATGCTGCGCGCACTAGAAACCGGGAGTCACTGAAGCAAGGCAGTTTGGGAAACGTCGAGGAGGGCACTGAGCTTTCGGCGAAGATGCGTTCGACCCAGTTAAGAAAGGTAGAAGATACGAAAAATGATGAGGTCGTCGATTCGACAGCTAAAATACCCGCTGTTGTGGCGAAGGCAGGGAAGGAAGAGCCTTTAAAAGTAGATATAGAACCTACAAAGGAAGGTCTGAAAGTGAGCATTGAGGAGAATGTTGAAGGGGACGCTGTAGGGGTTATAGAAGAGAGTACTGAGAAGGGGACTGAGGGGCCCGCTGAAGGAGGCGCTGAAGGTAACATTGAAGTCAGCATTGAAGGTAACATCGAAAATCCCGAACCCTTAGTAAAAATACCCGCACCCCGAACCGGAAAAAACGCAGCTCCCAAGCAAAAACACAAAGACGCCGATGATCATTCCGAGCTCAACGCCGATGCTGAGGCAACAAAACCCACCAAAGTGCGCAAGCCCCGAAAACGACCGCCCCGTCCGCCGTTTGAAAAGTGGGTAGACCCCGATCCCTACATCCCCCGGACCACGATTTCGAAGCACGCAAGACAGCCTGTGCCTGTTTCGTTTCCATCACCGTCTACACACGTTTTGGAAAGCCGGCCCACACAGAACGGTTGCTTGTGGTGTAGGTGGAACCATAAGTGTAATCCAGACAAATTCAAGATCAGGAAGTCGACTATCGGGTGCAAGGAGTGTAACATACCGCTCTGTCGGGAATGCTTTGTTTCTTTTCATGCTGGGCAGGGGCCGGGGGCAAAGACTGGGTCTTTTTGATAATTTGGTATCTCTCGGGGGAGGTGTTGTTCCGTTTTTTTGTTTTTTATTATTGGGGGGCTTGGTTTTGCGATTGGGTTATGGGTGTATTGCCTGGTTTGAGCCTTTTGGAATTTTTCTTTTATTACTTCTTCTCCCCCGTTAACTCTGAGCTGCGCGGCACACAAGAGGTTAATAAAACTTTTTGTAATATCCTAAACTGACGGAGGGGTTCCTCTTCCTCGTGTATTCCCCTCCTCCCTCCTTGCTTATGGTGAGACTCCTCCACCCACTAGGTAAAATGGTCGACATTTCTTTGGCCATCCCCTTCCTTACGAGCACTGGACGGGGAATAGGATGAAAAGCTGTCGGAGGGATCAACTTCTACTATACGCAGTTCGCCCCTACCTGTCATATCAAAAGCCTCAAAGTTATCCCTTTCACCTCTCTCCAAGAATGAGATTATGACACAAGTTATGAGACTTATGGATTGTTAATTAGTGCTATGAATCCGAATTCAATTTTAAGGCCGATTTCCCGCGATGTATCCCTTCGTCTGTCGATTGCTGCCCCCCTATAATAGGGAAATTAAATTTGTATAAGAGATCTGTTATTTGATAATTGTAAGGGGGGTAACGAGGTCTGTTAGTAAAGCCACACCGGATTTGCTTTTTCTTGGGGGCCAGGATTTTGTCGACAGGTGGAGGGATAGGTTGATAGCAAGATGTGCGGGCAGCGCTGAGTGACAGCTCCGGAAATCGTGATGTCTCTTAGCCTTGTCTCGCTGATGGATGTGACCCGGAAACCACCATCGATTGATACAAGTAGCTGGGCCGCAATGCGATGTGAATAAAGCAGCCGCCTTAAACACGCGAACCATGTTGAAGTAGACCAATCTTCCACCCCAATGGTAGAACAGAGATTTTGAACTGTGTGTGGACGTGGTCAGTTGGCGAAGTATGAAAGATGTGTGTGTTGTGTTGATGGTGGATGTCCTCCCCAGAAAGTTTGCCCTGCGCTGGGTCCTGCAGCGGCTACGCTAGTGTGGGCCGAGCCGAGACTAAGCTTTGTCTTGTCTTATGGGGGGAAAGCTTGGCTACTCAAGCTTTTTCCATCCGGTCTGACCTGGGATTGGGGCTTGGATTTACTTTTTTTGGTGGGGTGAGGTGTGGGCGGCCGCGGCCAGCAAGAGGTGCATGTGTGAATAAAAAAAAAACACGACATTTCTTCTCGTTCCCCCCCCCACCTTCTTTTTTTCTACGATATAAGTACATGTATATAGTGCTTCAGCACAAACCTATTTCACCCCATCTATAGACAAATTACGTTTACTTACCCCCACCCGCACAGCTACTAATCCTCCGAGAAGAATATGTTGCATTTCCGATCATTGACCGATGCCCAAGAGCCAAGGGTCAGAACCACGTACCTTTTTAGAGCACCAACAAACTTCCTAAACTCCCATATATAAGACAGCATTGCTCAATGGAGATAGCATAGTACTCCCTGCCCTAGAGGGATTACGAGGCTTTGTAAATAGATGAGTACTCAGCGGCCAGGGCTTTGTGGGAAGATGGGGAGTATCTGTAATGGGATTGCGGCTGTGGAGTGGCTATACCAGCACTCTCCTAAACCTCCTCTCCTGTTCGCCTCGAAAATGGGGTGGATGCGCCATAAAAATGGGGCTTGGGGATTTTTAGAGGAATACCACCGTGAATATTTTCCTGCGCGAGAACGTCCGATTATGAACTGGGGATTGACAGGTTAATGCAGGGTGTGATAGTAAGAAACCAGAACGGCAGATTGTTCTTATGGTTATTGTAGCTCCTGGTTTTGTCGAGTGTGTCAGTGCAGTTGGCAGGTGTTCCGGCGAAAGAGAGTGCCATGACCCGCCACGTGACCTAGTCCAGTTAGTCATAGAGTATCACTCGCAGAAATAAGCAGGAACTCGGGGCGGCGTTTTTTTTTTTTTTTTTTTTAATTCCCCGCTAACTCGGGGCGACATAGCTAAGGTATCTTTTGTTTAATTCATTAACCACTCGACCACGCAACGATATTTCAGGATGGGTATGTGGAGTAAACAATAATCTAGCTACTAAGGTGCTAGTCAGTTCCCAAAGTCGGGCAGAGAGGTTCACCATCATCTTGTTCTGGTTCGCTCGAGTTTTTGCTGCCGGATTGGGCCTTTGGCCCATTGGCTGCTCCCAGTACCTGACGACGGGGAAACGTATCCGATTGCTCATCCCTCCACCCAGGTTAGGCTATATACGATACTGGGCCCCCAGTCTCTTGCTCCCAGTGCTTCTTCTACTCTCCCTCTAGGTTTCTAGGCCCTGGGTCTTCCCCCTCTCCCTCTTGATCCCCTGGTTCTGACCATGCAGACCGAAAGGGGCCCAACACCATCGCTGATATCTTTTGTGTAGCCACATATAAGTAGCCGTAGGCTCCTGACTGTAGTTCTCCTTGCCATAGATCCCGAGCTTCGGCAGAGGCGCCCAGGTACCACCCTACAGCGGTCGCTGCGTAAGAATAGGCGAACGATATAGTCAGCCTGTTGGTCTTGAGTAGCGGGAGTCTCGGTTCCTGGCGTATGCAGAGTCAATAGTTGAAAGTTGGAGTTATCATGTCTCTGAGGCGTTGCGCGCGATAGTTCTTTTCGCAGAAGTTCAGGTTTGGCTCTATTCGTTGGGCGACTTTTGGCCTCCTCCCCTTTGCATTAACGCCGTAACTGCATTAACCAGAGTGGGGGTTGGATAGAAACTTTGTGGCCTCGGATTTTTCGCCTCGTAGCTTAGTTTTAGACGTAAGCACATACATATACTACAATAAGCGAATTTAGTTCACCATCGATCACTCGACATCTTAACGTGTCGGTAACGGGTTCAATGACTTGTATTTTCGGCCCGAACACCTCCGAAATTTCGGATCGCCATTTTTGTTTTTATTATCACTACTTCTACTACCGCCCTCGCGATTTCAGGGTAGGGGAAAACTCCATATAGGTACACATTGTAATATATGGCATACAACTCCCCCGAGACCCCTCTCCAACCAGGCAGTCAATCCCCTATGCATGTTTACATCCGCCATCTTCACAAAAGATGTCACAAAAAGTACCTAAATATCCCATACCACTACATACCAGTAGCAGCGGCACCCATGCAAAAATAAAAGTTAAAACATAAAAACTGAAAAGAAAAGACCAACCAGCCAGCTAAAGAAAACCCAGGGAGAAAACTTTAAGGAAATGAAAAATAACCCGCTCCTCGGGTCTTTGTCTACAACTCTATACTTGCCTGTCTGGGGCAACTATTCAAACAACCACACACTATTCCAACCTGTACCGTCCTTTCTAGCGTATACCCAGGGTCTCTAATCTATCACTCCAGAAGTTTCCAGAACAGTTAAAAAGACGTAAAGAGAAGATTAGTTCAGTCACCACAGAAGTGGAAGCCGAAATCCCTATTTCCCTCATGAAGTCTTCTTTGTCTCGATCTTGGCCGCCGAGAGCCCCTTCAACTCAACCAACATCTCCTCCCTGGTCTTTGTGACGAGCTTGTCCACATCCGCGCCAGTAAGGCCCTCCGTGTTTATCGGTTCCATAACCTAACCTTCATTAGCCTACGAAATCCTTCGCTATTTCCTCCTGGGTGAAACAAACCTTGACTTTGATGGTACCAGGCTCGAAAGTTCTGTCCTGCAAGTGCAACACATGGCTGTAGTTCTGTACGACAACGGGAACGACCGGGACTCCCGCCTGGATCGCAAGATGGAAAGCGCCCTTCTTGAATGGAAGCAAATCGGCCTGCGAGAAGTATGATCGGGTACCTTCAGGGAAGATCCAGACGCTCTGTTTGTTGTCCCTAATCTCCTTGACGGCACCGTCGAATGCGGCTCTGGCTGATTTGGAGTTGGCACGGTCGATGAAGACAGTTCCGGAAAGGGCCACTATGGGAGCGATTAGTACTGTAGGCTTGGGGGTCGCCGGGAAAGAGCACATACTGAACCAGCCGAGGAAAGGAATGTATTTGAGCGAGCGCTTTGCAGTGACGCTGCAGTGCTTAGGAAAGATTCGTCCTAAAAAGAGAATGTCAAGTTCCCTACCAAAATTACAGTTAGCACCTAACTATCCCCAGCACCAACCCCTGACAGGTTTAACCACCCACCCCACCACGAGAAAAAAAAGTAAAAAAAAAAGAGCGGGATTCAGGTAAAAGGCGAAAACTCACGATTGATGATTCGAGATGAACACCGCCGGCCTAACACCCAACGCCTCCTCATTCTCCACGTCAAACTCAATTCCAATGAGTGGACAGGCCAGGTTCTTGAAGGCCCTCCCGGTAGTCCACTGAGCAATGGACACCTTTCCCACAATCCTCAACGAGACACTCGCAACCACTCCGTACGCTGCACAACTCAGCAGCAGGAAGTAGCACGACATGATTCGAGCGTAGAACCTCCCCTGCTTGAAGAACCGGCCTAACAGTGACAGGACCATAATTGCGCCCGCGTAGAACAAAAGGAAGTTTGTGATGAGGTGAAGCATAATACCGTGACCGCGGTCCTTGAGGAGACGGAGGTGTGGTATGTGGGAAACAAGACGGACGAGAAGAGGGGGTGGGTGGGAGAAAAGAAGGTGGAGGACTAGTTGTGGGAGAGCTGGTGGTTGATAGCCGGGCTGGGGACGGAACGGTAAGGTCGCCGGAGACTGAATTGTGGTGAATTTTCCTTAGGATGCAGGTGCTTATAATAATTAAGTGTTAAGACGGGTGGGGGCGTGAAGGAAACAGGGGAAAGGGCAGTCTATAAAGTAACAGGTAAAAATACTAAAAGAGCAGAGTACGACGGTAAAGTGATGTATCGGCCTATATAGGTATGGTTCTGTATGGATGGATTTGTGGGGGTTATGTGGAGTTTCGTCTCAAGGCCATGTGGTTTCTCCCGCTACTGCAGTCAGTTCCCGTGGTCAGGTCTCTCCCTTCTTCCTTTGACTTGAGATCGATCTCCCTATTTCGAAGCAGGCCCGTGTTGGAGCTGAGTTTTGATCGTATTTCTCGTTTATATCGTCTATGTTCGTATCGATTATACAGCAGGCGTCACAAGTGGTACATAAAGAGCGAAAAACAGAATACTGAAAGACTCTACTAAAAAGGAGAGGAAACGATTTAAGGGAAAGAGAGAAGGAGAGAAGGAATTCCTGCAATTCAAGGACGACGTGCGCAAGTCTTGGCGCATATGTGTGTGCACTTTTGCGAAGAAACACCCACCATTCTGTCACAGGATCTCCCAACAAATCTATTTTATGCCCCATAGCTCGAGAAGCTATGGGGGGTAGGTGTGTAAACTTCGGCGTTTTTTTTAAAGAATCGGCCAATCAAACTTATAGAAATTGGCCATAATGGTACTAGCGCCTAGACTAACCCTGGCATTTTCTCAGATTCCCATACAAACGAAATTCCTCTGAAGTTGACACACCCGCCCTCTAGGCCTTCTCGCGCCATAGTTGATTTGATGGCAACCACTGAGGTCCGTAAACACAAATTGCAACCCCGTAGAACAAAACAAGTAAACACACTAACCACTTTCAGCTCTGATATAATTATTACAGTATCATCATCACAACTCCTCATCTTTCGCAGCAGTCAAATTTCCATGGTGACGGCCATTCGATCGGTTGGGAGCAGATTCACCCCTCAGCTGAACATCGTGATCTATTACCGGTATCAATGGTATCAACACGGCTAGATACTCTGCAACACACCTCGGCCTGAGACAGCAAGATCACACCCCAGGTGCATGGATCATGTCTGAGCATGTGAATATCACACATAACTACACCAGCAACCCATTTCTGGTAGACGAGTGATTCTGTATGCCGGACTTTAATTTCAGCGTCTTCGGGTCAGCGTCAACAACTGGTAAAAGAAATAAGAAAATCGCTACGGAAGGGCCCAAACCTCCGTGGCAGGATCACAAGCCATCATCCTTGACACTCATCTCTATCGATGGTTCACATGCCACTATCCCCCTTGGCATGTCAGAAGAGCCGCTTGTCCGCTTTTTTAATAGCCTGTGCGACCAGCCAAGCTGTAGCTACAAAATTTCCGAGGTCAATGATATCACTACACTAAAAGTCAAGACGGGGATTTCAATCTCGGCATTTAAGGAGCCGAGTGAGCGAATGAGTAGAACGGAGCCTTTGCGATTGTATGCTTTTACAGAAATTCCAAAATCCTAAGAAAATCTTAAGACTGGATTGGAATGAAGTATGTATTTACTATCACTAGAGAAGCAGCTCATAAGAAGATCTAGATACTGGCGTTCGGTTGTAGTTTACTCGATTTCCAGTTCAGAGCATCTTCAACAGAATCACCAGGTATCACTCATTACCAAGCTTCCAGAAGCTTCCGCAACCAACTATCTCAACTTCAACCTTAACCTTACTCAACCTTTACCTTATATCTTCCTCCCCACTGCACTCAACAAACCACAAAAACTGAGCCAATACAGGAAGTAAAAAAAAAAAAAAATACGAAAAATAGAAAGATATCCCACTGTACATACAAATACACACACGCATACAAGACAAAAGAAATAGTAATTCAATAACCGGCCCTGCTGCATTCATATCAATCAATCAATTCGCATTACCATAACTATTTTCATACCGCCCAAAAAGAAAGGGGAAAGAAAGGACAATAATAAATAAGAGAAAAATCTAGGTTAGGCGGTAACAAATTATGGTTTCTGGCCTTCTATGAAACGGAGCGCTTCCTCTTTGGATACCGAGTCCACACTCGAGGTTTTGTTTTTATAGAGCACGCCGTACATTTTGTCTGCGACTTGGACTAGTTCTGGACGGAAGGTTGTGCACTGATTGGTTACCAATTAGTAAGTGGGTTACAAACACTGGGGGTTGGGAGTTCTTTACAATAAATTGGCCATTGTCAGCTCGGGATGATAAGTTCTTGACCATTTGTGCTACCGCGGTTCGGTATTGTGCTACACTCTCCTGTTAGCAGGCGCAATCAAAAACAAACAAAATAGAATATAAATACCATCCAGGTTTGCGTCCACCTCATCGAACAGATAAAACGGCGCAGGATCACACTGCTGAATCGCAAAGATAAGGGCTAGTGCACACAAACTCTTCTGTCCACCACTCAACTGCTGGATCCTCTGCTGCTCGTCATGCCTTGAGTTAAAACTGACACTAATACCAACACCGGTATAGTTCTCTACGCCGCCACCCCTTTTCGCGGCCTCTTCCTCATCACTGCCTTCATCCTCTGCCTCCTGGTTCTTATCAACCTTCCGCTGAATAACTAGTCTACCGCGCCCGGCTGGCACAAGCTTTTCAAAGATCTCGGCAAAGTCTTTCGATACCTGCCTAAATGTACGCTCGATAGCTTCGTCCTTACGTTGATCCAGTACCTGGATAAGCTCTTCAATCGAAACCTGACTGGAGTCAAGCTCCTCTCGGCGCTTCATGAGAGTGTCGCGCTGCTTGGTGAAGTTGTTGTACTGCTCAAAGGCCTTCTTGTTGACGTGGGAGTACTTCTTAAGGGCCTCGTTGACTTTGTGTAGGCGCTTCACGACCTGGTTGGAATTGGCACGCTCGTACTTCTCGAATGCTTCTTCAGGGAGTACTCCAAGGTCGCGGATGTTTCTACTGCACTCTTGTGCTTTCTCCATCAGGAGTGCGCGCTTGGCCATGCTGCGCTCGATCTTCTTCTTTTGACGCTCAATGTTCTTGGCCTCGTCTTGCTGCTTGGTTTGGAGCTCAAGTTTTCTGGCTTCGTAGATATCGAGCTGCTTCTTGGTCTCTTCAAGTTCGGCTTCTACCTCCGCCAGCTTCTCCTCAACCCGATGGATCGATTTACCAACTCTCTTGAGCTCCCGCTGGACCTCTTTGAGGTCACCGCGTCGCCCTCCAGGGCCAGATCCGGTTCCCTCCAGATTGTCCATGCTCTGCCCCTTCAACTGGTCCAAGCGCATCCTCAAGTTCTCCCTCAGTTCAACCTCAAGGATCGCTTTACGGCCCTCCCGATCCGTCCTCTCCATCGACACCTCGCCCAGCTGCTTCCTGAGATCCTGCACACTCGCCGTCAGCTCCTCCAGTCTTCGCTCCTCATCTGCAGTAAGCGACTTCTTAAACTCGCTGTTGACTTCTCCTTGATACGCCTCTAGCTGCTCCGTCAGACTCTTTATCGACGCCTCTACATTCTCTCTGCTCCGCATCTTGCGCTCTAGATTATCCTTGAGCTGCCCAACAGTGCCGACCATACCCTGCAGCGACGCCCGCAGCGGGCCAAAGCTACTCTCCGTCTGGCTACGCCGCGCCTCAGCTTTCTGGAGCTCTCCCACTGCCGTTGTAATCACCTGGTCCTTGCGCTCAATCTTGCGCTTGATGTCTGCCGCAAGGGCGCGCTGCTCCTCGTACACCGCGCGCCACTTCTTGACGGCCTTGACGGCCTCGAGACGGCTGCGCCGTGGGTCGTGGTAACCTCCGGTCAGGGCACCCTTCTTGTCTGCACGGTCACCGGCAAGTGTGATGGCGCTGAGGCCGTGTGAGCGGGCGTACTGGGAGGCGACGTTGAGGTCGGGGCAGATGATTGTCTTGCCAAAGACCTGCTCAAAGGCCTTCTTGTATCTTTCATCAAACTCGATATAGTCGAGCATAGGCAGGGCATCCTTTGTATTCGGGAAGTTTCCAAGTCTTGGCTTGAGTCGGTTGAGCGGCATAAAGGTGATTCTACCTGCACGTTCCTTCTGGAGTTGCTGCAGAACTATGGTGGCAGTGTCATCATTGTCAACAACGTAGTGGAAGAGACTTTGGCCGGCGGTGACTTCGACGGCTGTGCGGAAATTCTCCTCAACGTCCATGAGTTCTACAAGAGTACCGTAGCACCCCTCGAGGTTCATGCGCTCCTTAATTCTACGGACGGCGGCGAGACCCCGAGAGGTGTTCTGGTCCATGGTGTGGGAGAGATTGCGCTCGGCCTTATCGAGCTCCTGGCGCGCAGACTCAACGACAGAATCTAGCTTGGCGTCTTCGCGCCAGAGCTCCTTTCGCTCGTCGAGAAGTTTGTTCCTCTCCTCCTTTTTGGCGGCGACCTCCTCCGCAAGCTCCTCAACAATGCTAGCGCGCCCGTCGAGCCGCTCCCGGACACTCTCGATCTCTGCTTCGACTTGGGACACTTCGCCTTCCATCTCGCTAATGTCTGCTTCCAAGGAGCCCTGAATTGCGCGCCGTTTCCCAAGCGTGGTTTGACACTCGTTAATCTCTCGCTTGAGCCAGTCGTCGCGCTCGCGCTTGTTACGGAATTGGGTGTTACGGCCTTGTTTAGCGTAGAGGCGCTGTCGCGCAGCTTCGGCATCCTCGAGCTGGGATTTAAAAGCAACTTCTTGTTCCTTCTTTGCATTGTACTCCGGGAGAAGAGCCTCGAGTTCAGCTTCGCGATCGGCAATGGCGGAGGTGAGGTCTGCAAGCTCGGATTCGTAGTGCTCTTTGGCGGCGAGGAGGTGCGCGGCATCGGCAGTGAGCGCTTTGACGTCGAGTTCAATTTGGGCGCGGTGGCGCACGTGGTCCCGGTGCTCTTCTTCGAGCTGGACTTTGTCAACTTGGAGGAGATCTGACTTTTGCTTGTTTTGTGTGATTTTGTGTTCGAGTTCCTGTAGGGGTTAGTCATTTGTAGTTGATGAGGGGAGAGGGTGATGAACTTGAATTCTTGTTTCCTGCTCTACGAAGGCCTCTCTACTGTCCTCATTAATCTCGATTCCTCGCTGTCTTGTCTCCTCAATTCCATCAATCGCATTATTAATTTCCACCTGTTCTCTGTGGTAGATGGTGTACTCCAAGCATCGCCTTTCCCTATCCTTCTCTTGGAAGCCTCTCAGCTCCTCCTTCTCCTCTTCTAGTTCCGATAGCCGCTCTTCAATATACTTGAGCAGCTCATCGATCTTTGACCTCTTGCTTTCTGTCTCTTCCATAATCTTCAGCGACTCTGCTCGTCGCTGTTCATACACCTGTGTACCCGCCACTTCCTTCAGCAGATTCAGCCTTTCCGAATCCTTCATATTCGTAAGCGTCGTGACTCTCCCTTGTGGGACGATATAGTACGGATTACTCCTCGAGAACCCGCGCTCTCGAGGAGATTCATCACATCCGCCTTTGTGGCATTCTTCCTGTCCAAACTATACTCGTCCTTCTTGAGCCCGATGGTACGTCGGAGCACCACCTCGTCTCTTCCCGTCGGGAAGCGCTCATCGCTGTTGTCGAAGATGATCTCAACGTAAGCGCTCATGACCGCTGAGCCGGAACCCTCGTGCAGCAGCGCCTGCCGCTCCTCACGCCCCATCTGAGTGTACGCGTCGCTGAGGACGAAACGGATCGCGGCGAAGAAGTTTGATTTGCCGGAGCCATTACGGCCGACGATGACATTGTGTTTGGGAGAGAAGGGCTCGATGACGGTTTGTTCTTTGTATCTATAGGGCGGGGGGGGGATGGGGGTTGTTAGTATCGATATCTGGCTAGTGGGGGTCGACCTATGACGCAAGCGGAGGGGAATGGGGAGTGGGGGGAGGATGAGGGGAGGGGGGGGGGGGGGGAGGGGGGGAGGGGGGGAGACGGACGATTTGAACCCTTGGATGATAATCTGTTTGATGTGCATGATTGCGGGGTTTCCTTGCGCGCTCCGGCGACAGGATTGGGGGGGGGGTGGGGGTTTTTGTTTTAACGGATCGTGGGGCTGCGAGTGGATGGTGGTGGTGGTTGGGTTCTTATGTTCGGGTGTTTCTGGAGGTGGGAAAGGTATGTATCTCCAGTATGTATTTACGTAGTCGCGGTGGGTTGACTTGAGCGACGCGTTGAGGACTCAACATGTGGCGGTGACGGTCACGGATCTTGGCAGTGGCTAGGGTCAGCCTCATGACGTGCGGACTTGGTGCTTGCTTTTGCCATCGCATCTGAGAGAATGGGAAAGAAGGGGGCCGAGGGTTTGTATACTGCTTATGAATACACAAATGTATACATGTATGCATGCGATGACTCTTGTTATATCGATGTTGCTACCGTGGGTATCGTCGTTGGAGGTCAATGATGCTGCTGTCAATGATGGCTTCCACACTTCTTGGCAGGTACCTTTTGACAGGTGTAACTCATTTCATTTGAGTCTTCAGCCGAAAGACTCAACATCTAAGACACAGGTGAGTGTGTCTGCCTACTCCTCCTAGTCTGTCATCTACAGGACTCTCACAGGAGCTGGAATCATGCAGAGTCACTCGATGCTACATTAGCCTCGAGCAACCTACATGTAACGTCCAATCATCTTATATTCCCCTGCGTAAAGAAAGAAAGAACGTCAAAAATATTCTTGATGCTTCCCAACGCTTTACCCCTTAACAAGAAGCACTAAGAGACAAATTTTTAGGCAAAAGCGCCCCCCCCTACTAGTAAAATAACAATGTTCAGGAAGAAAAACTTCAGCTTAGATACGTAGGAAGATTGAGCAAGGGTTACGGGGTGAGCAGGGAAGCGTGTAAACGCTCCTTTGACTCCTGTTCGCTGGTGGTTGCCATCGCAACGCGCGTGCAGGGGCTGCTACACAACGGCTTTGTCGACATTTGCAAGGAATAACACGCATCGCGCAGGGGATGTTCGGGCCATGGCATACATTCAACCATACACACGCTCCCTCTTTCCTTCTCTGCTTTGTTACCCGCCCAACCTCTGGCAGGCCCATCCCACCCTTCCTGCGCTGCTGCTGCCCCATCAACACACTCGGCCCATAAACAACTAACTCTGTCAGTGCAGAGCGAGTGAGCAGAGAGTGACTGAGTGAGTGAGTGAGAGTGTGAGTAGTGAGTGAATGCGTGAATGAATGGGAGAGTGCCATCACATATACCCGGCCCCGTCACCTATTGCCTACTCTACAGGCTGATCCCCGTCAGTCATCTACACTTTTATTCCTGCCCCCCAAACCAAACCAAACCAAACCATATCATACCAATACACAAAACACTCCCATACATACAACTACAACAGACTGCAACAGCCTCACTTGAAGAAACTATAACAACTGCAATTACCACTAACAACCTTCCTTTATACCACAGTTTATCAACAGAAAAAATCACTCACTGCACTTATAATCAGCCTTGTTTTTAAAGAATACTCATCCCATCCCCCCATCTCCATTCTCATCCTCGTCCCAGTATTCACCCTGGCTTCACCACCGTATACATCACGCTATCACGTTATCCGCTCGCTGCAGTCTTAATCATCATCAAAAACCAAAACAACACAACGACAACGAAACAACAAAAGACAAAGAACAGCACCTACTCCGGTGGTATCATCATCACCGCCAGCAACATCAGCGGAGTCAACGGTGGTCTTCTCGTCGCTCCCCTGAAGCCTGTTACTGATCTTCTCCCCCTCCCCCCCCCCCCAATCGACCTCTCCTCCCTCTCCCTCTCTCCCCCTCCACTCACCTCCCAAGTATCCCAGTAAGCCCTCACCCTGGATCTCTTCTCATCCCTCCTTTCTCCTCTTAGACGTCCTACTACAACCACTACTACCGCTGTTCCAGAACTCCCCCAATCATCTGCGAAATCGCTCCATGGTCATTTCGGGTTTGGTTCCTTCAGACGAGCTTTCCTCCCCCCACAACCCCGTCCCGTTGCCACCATCCTACCCCCGAGAAACAGCAGCGAGCAGAGGCCCGAGTCTGTGTCCGCCGCTTTCGTGCCGCCCGATAATATGTCGCCCGCTATACAGCAGCCCCATGTCATCGCGCAATTCCGCCAACTGATCTGGCAGGCCCTGGACACAGAGTCTTTGCCGACAGCCTTGTTTGTGGCCGAGCGACTGCTTGCCTACGACCCCAAAAGCGCCGATTCGGTACACATACACGCAGTGTGTTTGTACAGGGACGGCCAGTACCAGGCTGCGCTGCACGTGGCGAAGAATTGGTCAAAGCATGTGGGGTGTGCTTATGTTTACGCGCAGTGTTGTTTGAAGCTCGGTGGCGGGAAAGAGAGTGAAGGGGTTAGTGTGTTGGAGGGCTGTAGACGGCAATGGACTGGGACTAGTTCATGGAGTGAGTTTTCCCGCTCCATGGTTCGTGTGGTAATTGCGACGGTTATTGACGCCCTGTGTTTCTTGTAGGTCAACATTCAGACACGGAGAGAAGGGCAGTCCCAGATGCTGCCTCAATAACTTTCTTAATTGGAAAACTGTGGCACGCACTCGGTGATATAAAAAAGGCAGTGGAAGCATATGTAGTAGCTGTAAAGATTAACCCGTTTCTCTGGGAGGCATTCATTGGGCTGTGCGAAACTGGTTTGTTACCCCTCCGGTGACTCCCTTGTGAGTGCTAATTCGGATCTTCTACTTAGGCGTAAACCTCCGAGTCAATAATATCTTTAAACCTACAGCGGAGATGCTGGAATCGCTTAAACTTCCCTCAGCAAGTTCACTAAGTGTTTCGGGCACAATACCTGAAGAAAACGCTTCGGTAAACGGCCTACGAAACGCCTCAGAAAACCTTCAAAACGATCCCTTCTCCTCCTCAAACGGGGGCGCGAGAGACCGCGACCTCGCTTTCAACAACCACCCATCATTCTTTAATAGGTTAAATGAGGGCTTGGGAAACATTGGGGAGGTTGAAACTCCAACAGCGCAGTCCTCAAATCCCTCGTCGCACGAAATGCTTGGTGGGGGCAACATGAATGCCATTCCGGAAAAGCCCCCACCAGTTCGCAAGACCCGCGCGACGACTACTGAAATCACGGCAAGGAAGCTCTCAAGTAGAAACACTCGTGAAATCTCCGACAACTCGAAGCGCTCAACGACGACGACGACAATATCACAGGAATCTACAACTACCGCCGCGCCAGCACGCAGGAGTACACGGCTGACAAGCAAGTTCACGAGTAAGCTCGGCGTGGGCGCAGAGCGGGAAACGAGACTAGCAACCAAAGAACGGGAGAGAGAAGCCAAAAAGATAAAGTCGACCGGAAGCCGTAGCAGAAGCTTGCACATCAGCAGTGGGACTGGCGCCGCGGCAAAGGAGCGGGAGAAGGAGAGAGACAAAGGAGGGAACAGCGAAGATGTTAATGTTCGTAACGGCTCCTCCACCACTACTACTGTCTCAATTGAATTCACAGAGTCTCCTGAGTCCAAGCGGGCTACAAGAGCTACCACCGCAACAATTGCCTCAAAAAGGAAACAAATGGCATCAGCGGATCCGTCACTAACGAGAATACGCAAAAAACAGATGACCGATGCCGCGGCCGCGCAGAAACCAATTGCCGCCGCCCCGACGGTGACGTTAAAACCGTTGACTGACTCGAAGAAGGAGGAGGCGATGTATTATGTGTTGGATTTGTTCAAGAAGTTGGGGACTGGCTATTTCAGCCTCAGCAGATTCCATTGTAAAGATGCGCTGCAGATTTTGAGTACACTGCCGACGAGCCAGAAGGAGACGCCTTGGGTACAGAGTGCAATTGGAAGAGCTCAATATGAGATGGCTAATTACGCCGATGTTTGTGCCCCCCGAAACGAGTGCGGAGATGCCAGTGACTAACAACAGAAATAGGCCGAACGAAGTTTCTTGAAAGTACGACAACTCGACCCTGTGCGGACGAAGGATATGGAGGTGTTTTCCACGATCCTTTGGCACCAGCGGAAAGATGTCGAGCTATCATACCTTGCCCACGAATTAGTTGAGCTTGACCGGCTCTCTCCCGAGTCATGGTGCGCACTTGGAAACTGCTTTTCCTTACAACGGGATCACGATCAAGCTTTAAAATGTTTCAAACGCGCTACACAACTCAACCCCAAACTTGCATACGCTTTTACCCTCCAAGGGCACGAACATGTCTCAAATGAAGAATATGAGAAGGCGCTCTCATCTTACCGCTCTGCCATTGCCGCCGACTCGCGTCACTACAACGCCTGGTATGGTCTTGGCAAGGTATTTGAGAAGATGGGCAAGTACGATATCGCGGAAAAGCATTTCCGCACCGCGACCAAGATAAACCCTACCAACGCCGTCCTAGTATGTTGCGTCGGTATGGTTCTTGAGAAGACTAAGGATTATACGGGGGCATTGGGCCAGTATAAGATTGCGTGCGAGATGGCACCCGGGAGTGCCCTGAGTAGATTCAAGAAGGCGCGAACGCTCATGAGCCTCAAGATGTACCCTTCGGCTCTGAACGAACTGAAGATATTGAAGGATATTGCGCCCGATGAGGCGAATGTGCACTTTTTGTTGGGAAAGCTGTATAAGCTGTTGAAGGATAAAAAGAATGCAATTAAGCACTTTACAGATGCAATGAATTTAGATCCTAAGGTAATTTTCTCCTTGTATGGTCCTATAGGGGAGAATGCTAATAAAGGGTGGTTATAGGCTGGGCATCTTATTAAAGACGCGATCGAAAACCTCGACGATGACGATGACTCTTATTCAGCTGAGGATCCAGAGGTCAACCGGTTCCTTGATCATTAATAGATACCATTCAATGGCAGAACTGTGTTTTACAAGCGCGTTTTTATTTAAATGGCATTGATGATCTGACGAAACGAATGACGAAGCGGCATCCGGAGAGAAAAAGTATTTATTATAGTTGCCGGTATAGAAAATAATTGGATTGTTGGGCTTGTGTGGTGTACAGGTTCTTCTTGTGGGTAAAAAAAAAAAAAAAGGAGGCAGGCGGTGGTGGTTGTTTTTTTGCATGCCCTTTTTATTTTGTGAGTGGGCTACTTACTGTACCTACCGCTAACGGGAAATTCGGCGTTCTTTTCTCGGGTTGAGGAAAAAGGGACTTTTTTTATATATTTCTTGCTGTATAGTTTTTTTTTTAAGACCTTTCTTCCTTTGAGGAAGGGAGAGGAGACGAGTGGTGGGGTTGTTTATTGCATTGATGATTGTGTGCTGGCTTTATTTTCCTTCTTCACCCCACCCTCCACTCTACTCTGCTCATGAGGGATGCGCTTACTCTTCTTGTTTTTTTTTCTTCTTACTCCGATGAGACTATTAACTTACCCTTTTTACTTTTTTCTTCTCATTATACCTCACTTCACCACTACTCCTTTCTTTTCATGTTTTACTGCAAGCGGTTCTTTTCTTTTCTTTTTATTATTATGGGCATGGGTGTGTTTTGGGCGCTTCTTCTTGAATATGGGGGTTCTTATTATTCTTTTTTAGTTTTTTCTTTCTTTTTTTCTTACTACCGTGCTGTTGTGGGTCAAGAACTGGGGGACGGTTATTAGTATTGTATTGGTAGGTTGGGTAGGATAGGATAGGATAGGATAGGATAGGATAGGATAGGATAGGATAGGAAAGGATAGGACTACACAGCAGATCACAATCATACAATATACGGTTTAAGGTAGACTTTTGGTTTTGTGTGCTTGAAAAGTATGGGGTTTCTGCATGTACGAGTTCCGTAGTAGCTATAGAGGTTTCTCTGTCTGTTGTGCTTCCGGATCCCATTGGGCTGTAAAAGAAAGCCAAGGGAGGTGGGGAAGGTAATGATAGCCACGTCCACATCAACAGATATAGAGAGATTGATGCACATTTTGATACGGCCTTGTCCTACTTGTAGATCGATAGTTATATTATAGGAAGCACCTCTTTCTCTGCATGTTTTCAAGGCTATTCGGGGTGTTTGCCACAAACTCTCAGCGGCCTGGAAAATATTCCTCTCAGAGGATGGAAACGCACTAGATGCGGAAATTGTGATATAAAAGGCTATAGGAATGCATAGTTCCTCATTATTTTACACTACACGTAGTAGGTTGATCTTATCATCTAATCCACCTATAAGCCATGGTTATTTTCTACAATGTACATGTTTCCCTATCGGGTTTGAGAAACACAATTGAGATCAGGCCTGGCGGGCTAAGTGATGGTTGCGAGCCTAAAAGCCGCGAACTGGTGGGACAGATCATATATATATATTAAGGGATCGAATATGCATATGGTAGAAAACAAGATCGATTCTTACTCAGGTAGCCTTCCCATTTGGGTGTTGCCAAGGCGCGAGTGAGATCTTATGACTAAAACGATAATTCTACACATTGTAAATGCTATCTAAGTATTTTGCATCTACTGCATAAACCTGATAGTGATGGGAAGAATATAGAGGTTGATAGCAGATTTAGCGTGTTTGTTCTTAGGGACAATCAATTTGCGCTACGGGGTTTTTTTTGAATATAGCACTGGCGGCCACCTGGCTTTTTTCTCTGGTGTATTATACTGGGTCATAGGAATCTTTATTGCTACTACTTCACTCACCGGCTTTGTATATGCTTTCAACTATATTCTACCAATTCACCTATATACCCCTGAGATAAATTCAATATAAAACACCTTTTCCCATCTGCCATCCGCCATCGATTCATGATCAAAGGCGTTCGGGTGCGAAACTCTTTAGTAACTTGCCATGAAGATATATATGGATGTCACGTATTCTACTATCAAGATCATTTCAGACCTTCCCTCCAGTTGTTTCCCTGTTGTGGCTACCTGGGCGAAAGAGAGTCTGATTTAAACTGTAGTGCGAAAGAAACGAAATGAAATAATTGCAATACGGATATATTACTAGCACTTATGCGCTTATGAGTGGGGGATGAGGCCAATGCAACACGATGGGGAACAGATTTCAGTTTATGACTCAAGTTAAGATTCACTCACTGAAGAGTAATGAATTGTCTCAAAGGACATTAGACCTGACATATTAATATTAGTTTGCGGGAAAGTTCTAGAATACCCCTCAAGTGACGGCGTTCGATCTAAAATGCCATAGTGTTAACTTGTAAAGTGTCCCCATAAACTGAGCATGGGATTAACGACCCGTTGAGGTTTGTATTATTCACTCAAAAATATAATAATGGACTCTGTATTATAGCTACCTCAGAGCGGCCTCCTTGTTTTTTTAATTTTGGGGGTGGATACTGCAACATTAGAAAGACTTTGATGATCGATATAGATACGTCCGCTAGAACCCATATATAACGTGGATGAAAGAAAGTAAAGTCTAGGCAAGAGTAGGTAGCTGTAGACGGAAAGAAAAGACTGCATGTGAATGAAGCATGCTCCTCAGGTAGTTAAGAAATAAAGGGCGGATCTACTAACGCATCGGTTCTGTTGAATAAATACATATCTAGTAGAGCGGTGGGCATGGGGTGAGGAGCACTTTGCAGCATGAGGGCATTCAGATCGAACAGGTTCACTTAAGGGGCATTCTGCAACTGCTGCGTTAAGTTTGATATACTTGGTACCGCTTTCGGTTGAGGTGATGATGTCCGAGATAAGTCTACGCTTTGTGTTTGGCTGGCGCCCCGTTATAATCACACCGATTTTACGATATTTTACTGATCAAGAACACCTAAGTACTATTCAGCGATAAATATCTATCAAACTCATGTTTGAGAGGAAAGGCTGTGTACCACCTATTCGATTCGATACTATCCCATCAACCGTAGCAACCGAGTTGAGGACCCGATTGGGTCCCACTTGAAATAAAGTGACCTTTCTTAAATTCACAGCAACACCAGCTTCGTGAGTACTATATTAGGAGCTCTTATTGGGATCGGTTGATAAACTTTCCCGCTTCTTTGTTATTAGTGAACAGGGCTGGATTATATCGTTTTTGTGTTTTTATCTAGGTTAGAGTTGCAAAGTACCCAATTGGGACCTCAGGCTTCTACGGTTCATGGGATAGCTGGCCTTTTATATACTTCAGTTTCCCATCTTTCGTAAAACATGTAGAATGTATCATTAATAGGTGCGAGCTCAAGAGTAGCGGTGATATCACGTATCAACAAACCCAGAAATCTATGGCTCGAGAAGCTATGGGGGGTAGGTGTGTAAACTTCGGCGTTTTTTTAAAGAATCGGCCAATCAAACTTATAGAAATTGGCCATAATGGTACTAGCGCCTAGACTAACCCTGGCATTTTCTCAGATTCCCATACAAACGAAGTTGACACACCCGCCCTCTAGGCCTTCTCGCGCCATAGGCGATCCATAAAACCATACGACCCAATAACCCTCGAGCTCACCCAAGGTCTGCTTCACACCGTACGCTTACAACAACACCACAACAGCACTTTGAGCGCTTCCAGATAATGTTAGCTCACCCCGCGTGATCCTCTACAGAAACAATCGGCAGTCATACGCGTGCGCAACGAGCGTTATATATTCTCTGTAATCCATCGGATCTGTTTCCAATACCAGCTCTACACTCCAACCTTGGCACGTTTGCCAAGAACACCACTACTCTACCGATTATGCATGGATGCTAACGTCATGATCGTACCTGACTAGAGAGTAGACAGGCTGACTGTCAAAGGACCTGAAAAAGGAGCATTCCCTGCATAAGGAGCTGAGGTTACTAGCGATCTCCTGCAGTTGTCGTTTCTATATGGATGTTGCTTGTTATGCGCTGTGTTATGAGCCCAAGGATAGGGGGTCAACGGCGTAGTACAGCGAAATCTAGAGTACTCTACGATCACTAGCACTGCAGGATTCAGCTACCGAAGAATGCGGTGGGCGATCTGTACACGGCGTCAAGTCGGCCGTACGGAGCTTGGCCTTCGACTTCACGAATATCAATAGGACAAGTGCAATAAGGGGCTTAATATGTGGTCACGTGTACGTGCTGGGATTCAGGTGTAATATTTGTTTACTTTCTCCAATAACCGTTAGACGCCTTCTCTTCCCGCAGTCATGTCCTCTGCCGGAACAATTGTTGATTGGTCGGTATTTGGTGGAGAAACCCTGCCTAGGAGGTAAAGAATCCAGCCAGATATTACAACATCGATATGGTCCTCTATCGATTTATTGGTTCGTGAGAGGTGTCTACGCCAACTGATGATTTCGATTCGGACTTCTAGTTTTGAAAACGCGCCCATCGTAGGGTTGGGTAACTATCTCTTCGGGCAAATTCCCGGTGAATTTTAGTATGATTATACACGCAAAAGAAACGTAATTATACGCCAACTGTGCTACTTGGAAACACCCATTCAGATGAGCACACACCAATATGTCTTCAAAGTTAGAAACGTTGGCATATTAGGGGGCGACTCCGGACCTCGATTGGATAGGATTCGAATTTGAGTGGTTTCCCAAAATCCTCAAAAAGGATCGTACAAGCTAGGTCTCGATGAGACGTTAACAATCGACAATCAGTACTTCACTTTGTCACATCTCTGTCACATAGCAAGGATGAGGGTAGGTAGAGCACTTGTTCCTGTAACCTCAAGATATTTCTTTTTCATAACATTTAAATCCCTCTCGCGACCTGCAATACCTGAATACTAATCATGCTTCGGCGGTTCCTCCCGGCTCTTTTAGGTGCAGTATCACCCAGCCATGAATCAACCTAGACTCGAGTGTAACTGGCTGTAGCCAGCTTGGTCAGGATATGATATCTTGCGGGAATTTTTAGCCATTTATGTAGGCACTCGGAACGGACAGAAGGGAAGCCCAAAGGAGGTGGCAATGGCTTTCCCATTGTCCTGATTTGAGAAGCACATCCCTGTCTCGAGACTCTTTGGGGCCAAAATCTATATATGTAAGTTTCGGCAGAGTCTAGTACCTCCAGACGTCGCAGCTTTTTATGGCCGTGCGCAGCAGTAGGGAACCTTGGGGGATGGGGCCAGGTCTGGAGACCTGTTATTATTGTTGCGCGGAGCTGAATCTCGAGGTTGGTTACACCCGAATCGTGAACTTCGGTTATTCTTGGTTCGGCACCGTGGCCAGCGCGAACATCAGATACATAGTGGCACAGAACTAATAAATTTATTGATTCTAAATATTTAGCTAGGCCCAATAGAGAAAACATCTTAATTTTTAAAGTTCGCCATATCCAAATATCAACCAGGTAACTATTTGGTTTTTAACTTTTCCAAGTTCGCCACATCCAAATATCAAACAGGTGACAAACTATTTGGCTTTTATTTCAGGCCACGGCTGCATCTAGATCTGATGTCCGGTAGCAGTCATGTCATATCACTCGATTACTTACCACCCATTATTAGACAACCCCGTCTATACATGTGGTACTGTGTACAGTACTAGCAAAACAACTCGAAAAGTATAACAAAATCTCGTGCGAATCGGTTCCGGCAATGGCTGTCAAGTATTTGTGTCTAGATCCCTTCACCCGGGAAGCTTTGAGCTTGATCCCGTTGCAGGGGACTTGGTATAAGTTCCATAAATACCCCTTGATATTAAAGAATGATGCCTAAGCAATTAACCACACCACACAATTCGAAGCCCTAACCTCATCCGATACCTACATGTACTTTGCCACCAAAACCTCCTGGAGCAACTCGGGTCTCAACCAAGGTTTACTGATCAAGTAAAAAATGTCTGCTTACAAATAAATATTTGACTACCGGTTAGTTAGTACCATCACGACCTGCAAGTAACCGCAGGTAAACCAGTCGCATGAACACAAGACTGCGAGAAATGCCTTGTCCACTAACAATAAGAGATGATTCATGCTCGAAGTTACACGGGGACAACCAGTTTACTAAAGCCCTCTGGGCCCTTGATAGATGAAAATGTTGTTATTAGGAAACTTATTTTTCGATTCGTCTTCCTTTGGCGAGTACATTCATATTACATCACTCGCAAGGTATACGTAGATCTAACCTTCTCGCCTGCCAAAGTGGTGACAAAGGTGTTTATAGATCAACTTCGACGCCCTCCTTCTTTCTCGGCCTGGTGGTGATATTTTCCTAGTGCTCATGTTACGTGGTACAATCAATATACCACCTCCACTAGAGTCTACTTTGAGATTTGACAAAAACGGTGATTCTCTTGATATATCACGTTAGTTACCTCAATATTATTTTCGTGGGGCAACTCGCCTAAGGAGAGGGAAAAAAACACCAACTCGAGTATCGACTGTGACACACATTCACGTGTCATCTGTAGCTCTCTCGGATTTTCATGTAAAGCAACACCTATTGCGTTCAGAGCATGCTCCCGTCACCAGCCCTATCCACTTTTTGAAATCCGGCAGTTCGCTTGGAAGAATATGCCTCATGGGAACATCCAGCCACTGAGTTCGGATGAACTACCCCAGCCACTATATTTCCATCGATAACCAAGATCCCATTTAGGTGTCCATATTAACTTCCATACACCCAGGATTTACGTTGTGTTATATTGATGGCGGCTAGACTTCCAGTCCCATAGGTATCTGTACTTTAAAACCTTGATTGTGATGCGCATAAGCGAGTTTAAGCTTCAAGCCTTAGATCTTCCAGCAGGTATCCATACCAAATTAAATGATCATCGTAGACTACATGTAAATATTCGATCAAGGGACACTTTTATATCCCTAGCGACCCATTTGGGCCATATGACCTTTAGAAGCCGAGGAAAACTTGATAAGAGATCCCTAGTCCCACATGACACCTGCAACTGACACCTACCAACTTGATGCTCGAGGATCCTCAGTCAACAACATGGCCACGATTGGCTGGCTCCCTGTGGAACCATTCTCTTGTGATGCCTGAGGCCTTGGGGTAAACCTTCAAACCCTGTTGACACCATATTGGAGGCTTTAATGGTGTTGCCCAATGACTGTTCTAGAGCCTACTGACCGCAAATCGATCTTAACCTAAAGCCACGATCTGCGCAGGTCCCATATGTGAATGAATCTGGATCATTGTATTGGTAGAGTTGGTCGCCTCCTCCAAATCGTGGGATTAACGTTTTTCACATGAACCGTCCACTTAGTAATAATTGAACTACAGGCGATTGACAGCGGATAAAAGAGCCTGTATCCTAGTTACAGCCAATCTGTGCCATTTTGCTGTTCTCGAAGGGTGGAGACCAGAAGTCGGTCAGCTTTGTGTGTTTGGTTGAGTGTCCAAGGGCCAGAGTGAAGTCCCTTAGTAGACCCTGCACCTGATAGTCCTGGTAAGTACATTTCTGTAGCCCCGTCAAAAAAAAAAAAAAAAAAAAAAAAAAACCTGCACGGTCTGTGTAGTTGTCCCCGAAATGGCATTTGTAACATGTATTGAGATAGGTGCCCTTCATTAATAGATGCATATTGTATAGGAAACCTGGGGACGAAAAAACTTGCAGCAGATTCGACACGTACTAGCGCACAAGCTCTCGAAACCTAGAAGACTTGGAGTGTGTATCTCCAAACACCGGGACGGTTTTTCCAGGAAAATATGTGACAGTGGTCGTTTCTTAAAGGATTCGTGACCACCAAAGCCCGCTTATGCCTAATGAACCCGAAACCTGTCGGTATCCCTTCATGTAACCTGTTGTAATGTAATCCGGACAAACCCCCTTTCGGGCCACCCGGAGTGAAACCCCTGCCGATACCGATATTGTTATTGGGCAGTTTGCGAAGCCTACTTGGTCCCCAAACCCGTCAAAAACACAGAAAGGTGCCTTTAAATAGTTGACTTGCCCAGAAATCTTATAAATGTGATAACTGGATACTTCTGTCAGATGTCAAAGCTCGGATCCAAGTTTTCAAGTGGGGCCTGATAAATATAGTATCCCCATAGCCGTTGCGTTTGCTAGCTGACGTTCCCGGTTAATAACACCATTTTGTGGAATGGGTCAGTGCTTCGGCAAACACAGCCGTGACGTTTCTGCTGTCAAAATTGTTGCCATGCTAGATCCCGTGTCGTGATAAGCGAAGCTGTTGTCTAGGCCTCTTGCTGATTCTGGGTTTCAGGGAACCATAAGAAGCCCGTTCCCGTATATTTAAAGTCGAATCTGTTGGAAATTCTACCAAGATGGAAGGAACAGGGTAGATATTGTACAGGTAAGTCGAGGGGTACAAGGGGCAAAATTCGAAGTGGCGTGACCCATCTGTATTGTATGTAATACTGACCTTGGTACAATTTATTGCTCCGCAGCCAGCGTCTCAACGGTCAAACGTTCCCACCTTCTTTCCTCTTTCCCGCTTTCTCAACACCTTGGCCGGCCACAGCTCTCATTTTCGTTTCTCACATATGAAGTGAGGTTTTCCATATACACAGCTTCGAAAACATTTGATCGATAGAATCATCCCAATCCGAAGAGAGCCTTGGTGGCCTGGGGTAATATTTGTGGTCTGTCGCTGATTGAGAGGTTAGTTACTGCCAGCTGATCCCAGACGAACTTGTCAACTAACAATACAGAAACTTCAAACACAACAAAATACCAATAATCGAACTATCAAAACAAAGGGGGAAAGAGACAGATGAAGGAGAATTATTGAATTTCGACACGGGAGTACCATGGTTGTTAACCATCCACCGCAAGGATAACCTGGCCAAATTATACCCAACAAAACCAAAGGAATGCGACCTGAACCTTGGAATAAAACAACAAAATACATGTGATGCGTGCTATCGAAGGCCACAACCGTTGGATGGAAATATTGGTTGATTAAGTCAATTCTGTTCCGATATAAGTATCGGAAATCCAATCTTCATAGTCACGACACGTCAAGTCTGTGTAACTAAGACGATAACCCACAACGAAAAGGCACAGAGGAAGGGAACTAGAAGGCTAAAGCTTCCACATGTCTTTATCGATTTTTCGAATAAATTGTAACCCGTTGATACTGATAAACAGCATGGCCCAATAACATACTATATTGAATACAGATGACTCCGCTAGATCAAGCTCTCGGCGGCGTCACGTGATTCGCATAATATTGCGTCCGCATTTGCTGCTGCAACTAGCACTGGTAGTAATTCGACTTTTCATGTTTGCATGCATGACCGCCTCCGACACAACTATTGGCCACTCTTGTGCTGACTTTCTTATAACGCAGAGAGAGTCTAATTATTTATCTGCTCGGGCACATGGATAATTCTGCATATCATAGAGGTGGACCACGTCTTTAGGGGTAACTTCTGGCTATCTGGCTGAGCACTGGCACTGAGTAACGTCGTAAGCGTCTCACAAACATTTTAATTTTAGTTCCAAAAAACAATTAAAGAACCTGGAGCCAAAATAGAAATGTTTTCGATACCATATCGTCTTCGAGAAAAGAAAATCAACTGGAGTGGCTCGAATACAACCTAGTTCAAATGGAATATCCAAAGTGCGTTAAATGGCTATCTTGCGCAAACCATATCGCCAAACGTCGAGTAACGTGTTCAGTCTCTGAGTTTCGCGATCATCATAAGGTGTTCGTGCTGTGTCTTCGTCCGAACTTTGGCCGAAGATTGGATAGAAGCATCCAGGGGTTTTTTGTGTAGAGGGCCAGCGCATGTTTTCTCGATGTCTGAGAAATCAACAGAGTATGACTAGATGTCATTACACCTCGTTTCAAAGGTTTATCTAATTTGGCAGGTCAAATTTGATATCTGTGTGTGGATGATTCTGATAGCTGTAAGGGCCATGGCCACGGCTTCCGAGCAAAAAGCGAGGAGCTCGAGTTGCATTCAATAGCAGGCCTCTTTGCTTTTGATTATAGGAGATGTATGGGTCTGAATAGCTGATGGGGACCTTTTGGTGTAGGGGGGGGGGTATGTGTTGGACAGCGACACAGCATTTGCAAATATCGATAGAAACCGGTGGATTGATGTAATCCCAAGCGATTCGATTAAACTTTGCTTTCAGTTCCTGATGGGAAAATCGATATCGATATGTTCCATCGATCCTGTCAAGGTAATACGGAGATACCAACCTCCGTATTGATCCGTTCAGAATTAATATGTGCCAGGGGACTACGATTACAGGATGGGTGGACGTCGCCTATGAGCACATCTTTCATATTCGGGCTGAGACTATTACTCACACTAAACTAAACCAAACTAACCTTGGCCAACCCACTACCGTCGAGGCTAGTCATGTCATGTCGGGCTTCTCATGTCTCACTGAAACACATGGCAACCAGCACCTCTCTCAGAAACTTGGTGGCCCCAGAGAAACAAAACAAACTTCATGAGGCATCAAAAGACAAAGACGAGACAATACGCTGACGTGTGGGAATACTTCCAGAAGATGCGGGGGTAAGCCTGTAAAGCTGGTCTATCACGCCGGAGTTCGGATGCTGCCAATGCCAAAGCTAGGGCCGCATCTTTGTCTTTCCACTGCTCGTGTCTGTTGTTGCACGTAATGTATATCACGCTACTTTAGGTCCTCCGATGCGGTTTCCCAACTCTGGCTATGATAACGGATTCTTAACATGTCGGATGGACTTCCACTAAGCAGAGCCAATAAAACGAGTAATAACATCATTTTACTGTGGGAGATAATGAGACACCGCCATAAGAGGTGCCGAAGCTCCGATGTTTGGGAACCATTGAGCTGTGACTAGTCATTCTCTCTTAAATGAACTAATCGATATATAGTTCCTCCGAGCCTAGTGGAGTCCAGACTCTTTCCCAACTTTCCCACTGAAATTTGAGGTCAGTGGCTTTCAAAGTCCAGAACATTGAAAAGAAATAACTGAGTTGAGTTTTGGGAACACGCTGGATGAACTCCCGATGAACTGAGAGCTTCTAGCGCATGGAACTGAGCCTAGTACACCAATGCGCTCCCGAAGATCGGCAATAAACAAAAGAAAACATACCAGGGTAAAAACGACCTGGGATATCGTTTCCCCATCCACAGAAGGGGATTGGTTTGTGGGCGCCTATCAGCTTTGATAGAAAATGTCTAGTTGCGGACACAACATGGGCATCACATACTTTAGAGTATTTATGTCGGCCGGCTGGGATCGTACATCCTGACAGCATGAAGAGAAAAAATATGGCTTGCATTTGGCACTATCGATGAGGCGCAGACGGGTCAAGATTGAGGGGCGTGGGGCCCTTGTTGCCTGTCAGGTTGCCAGTGATCAGCGATACAAAGGCGCCCAAGGTGGGTATCGGCGACATGCAAGCAAGTGCGCGACATTTCTTCGGACGTCCTTCTCTTAGTCGTAGATGGAGAATTTGAGTTCTGGAAGAACCCTGAGTCGGAGTCGTCGCAGCTGCTACTTCCAACGGTGACGCAAATTCTTTGTTAAGCCAAATGACTCTCAAGAAGATGCCTCTCACGACGGGAATAAGTTGTTAAGATGCCGCCAAGGAACTCCGCCGTCTGACACCGGCTACCAGCATATGTTACATCCACTCAAGAGAGAAAAAGGAATTAGAATTCTCATGGTTATGGCATTGCTGCGCTTTCTACCATGCTTGCATGTAGCTGGGATCTCATAATCGAGAGGTGTGCCTTACCGTCCCGCACAAACACAAATCAGCCAAACATGACCCTTTTCGACTTTTTGTGTTTACTGATTATTGTTGGTAAAAATCAAAGTTACATATGGGATTAAGTCTACTAAGATTGCATGTAACTGTAAAGGAGACTCGATGTCTGTCGGCTGTCGGTAACGAAAGTCAATAACATGCCGATCCTTTCTTTTGTTCTTTTGCTGCGATCTAGTATGCACAGAGCTCTTCCGCAATCAAAAATGCCTGACAGGATTCTCGGCAATCACGTACACATAGTGCGGGGGTTCACGAAAAAGAAATCAGGGAAACTGCTGAGCAGGAAAAAAAGTAAAACCTGTATTTCAGGAGTACCTAGAAGTAGCTAAGTGGGTGGTGGGTGGGAGGTAGTGGGACGAAAGGCAGGTCAAGATTTCCCTTTGGAACTACTCTAACACGGGGTTGAATTCTGATGATGAGGCTGGTTCCGGGCATCTTTCATTGATCTGGGGGGGGGGGGGGCCAGTTGTACGGACCCTGGCTGTCAATCCTTTGAACCAGGGTCACAAAGCTAACATTGCATCACACCAAGCACCAAGGAAAGATGTGCGGTCATCGGTTTACTGTACTCTACAGAAATAAGGGGTTTAGGTACTGCATGTGAGTGGCAGGAGGTTCATGTGAATAGGAGGCCAAAGCACCTGGGGGAAAGAAGTCTCAGCCAGACTGGTTTGGATAATATTTCTGCCTGGTCTGACAGCTGGCAAGGAACGTCGAACACGGCTGCTGCTGTTTTGCGGAGGCACGAAAACAGGAAGCTGTAGCCCGGTCTTAGCGGTAGTCCACATGGTGTCTAACGGCCGAGGTGTGTTCTTTGATAGTACTTTTAGGTTTTGGGGGAACTCTGCAAGTTCCTCGGGGAGTTTTTCTGATGGGTGAAAAGATTCCCGATTTAACACGAAGTGGATGAACATCAGGGTCCAGGCTACGCAGAGTACATGGATTTCTGGAAAAGTGGCGGCACTAGCGTGCTAAATCTACTCGCTAAACTCTCCTCGATTGACGAGGGAATACGCCGGAGATTGGCAGATACAAGTAAACGCAGAGCGATTTTGCGATTACCTACTATTTGTTACAGATATTCCCTTTATGGAATTTTTAATCATTTGATTTTAGCTAATGATCGACATTTATATGAAATGATTTACAAATAAGCAAGGTGTACTAAGCCAATGTCTACCACATTCTTCGATTTGAACTAGCATTCGGCCAGATGGTTCCGAAACCCTAACGAAATGACAATTTTCCAAATAGCCGTGCGCACCTTGGGAGCACATACTAGATCCTAAAGAAGAACCAATATCAAGGTGGCTTTTTCGGCAGGTTTCGGCCGACTGAGGCCTACGATGATGCTCCCGCTGTCCATCACATTGGAGACCGTGGGTCAGAGGATGGCGCGGCTACTACTCCGGACTTTTGTTCTGGACTATCAAGGATCCAGGACATTAACGCGGGTGTCCTCTTTTGTCCGGGGCTACACCATAGCAATACCGTTTTGAGCTTGTCTCATAATCATTAGAAACGTTCTGCTTTACGGGAAGCATTCGCGAGAAGCATTCGCGAGAAATCCACAATGGGGTAAATGAAATGCCAAGCTAAATAGTCGTCTCAAACCGACGTTCCCCATAGTGTATGTTCCCCAGAGTATCCGCCGATGGCTCTACTACCATGCGCGTCTCTCAGGCACGCAGGCGCCTTTGTCCTTTTTAGTGAATATAACTCGTAGTTGTCTTATAATCACTTCAAATTTTGGCAGCTGACAACACACAGGATACCTGGTTGGTGGCAGGTTACTTAGAATGTTTAACCAAGGTGACTTGCCGAGGTCATCTTTTAGTATTTAGCGTCGGATTTCGTTATTACTTTGTTGGTTTTATAGGGGAGATTGATATGAAGCGGCAAACTTTACAAGATATTATTAGCTCAATTTGATAATGATTTATAATGAAAGAGCAGCAGGCTTGGGTCAACGTCAAGGGCGGATAACAGCAGTCCGTGATAATGATCTGGGGGGAGGTACATACTTAGGGGGTGGAAGGGGGGGGGGGGGGCAAATCTTTACTTGGAGTCAAGTGATAGTTCGTGCACCTAACCAGAATTTTGAATGAGGTTCGTCTCCTCCCGTCGCTCCTACTGCAGTTTAACCATGAGACTCATGGCTGACACAGAGACAAGGATGGGTGTTGATACTCCCCCTTGGTGAAATCTCTTCGGTGTCCAGCACAGATTTGCCGTGCGTGGTAACCTTTTTTTTCTGTTCAGGGAGTTTCTGCACTTCAAATATGTTAACTTTTCTTTTTTCTTCCCCGTTTCCAGATCCGGTGTGGTGTAGTTGAAAAAAGAGATCTTGTTCGTATCGCGTTCTCGGTACTAGGAATAGGTGGGGTCCCCCTTGCAAGTGGTAGACAATTGCCAGTGCCAACCATGTCAACACACCCTTGTCCCGCTCCTCCATCCCTGTCGGAATTCTCTCGGTTCGCTACCCCCTTCTCAGCTGGCATCATCTGGCCCCTGCTGCCCGGTTATGTGCATGATAGTCAAATAAGCCAGCTAGTTTCTCATTTTTTGTCAGTCGCTGTCGGTGTCAGATCTCAGTGAGTTCAGCATCTTTTTGATTCACATTTGGTGGTGGTGGTGGTTGTGATGGTGTTACTTTCCCACATGTTTACCATGCAAAGCCTTAAAGGACAATTTCTCAATGACGTGCTATCTGCACTGCGCGCCATTATGAGTGAGCAAGGGAGCCTAGACCTTATTTTCTTTTTCCAGAGAGAGTAACTGTCAGCGATCATTGACTGAGAATTGGTACCGAAAGCAGGACAAAGGCCCGGGTGGTGGTTGTGAACTCATGGTTATGGTGGTGGTGGTGGCATACTCTACATGCCTAAATTCCCCATTCTTGAAAAAAATTGGTGGGAAATTTCGAAGCTATTGATAACGCCAGAAGGAATTTGCGCTAGGGAGGTAAGGTAAGGAACAGCGACATACGCCAGTCTCCGCCTCAAACCGCAACGTACATAGGGTTCCCTTGTCCACAGCAGCTGTCAAGTTACTTTTTTCCTTATTCTACTTAATTTGACCCTGGTTTGTTTTCTTTCCGGCCCTGTCCCAGATGGCCCCCCGGGGGGGGGGGGTGATCATTCTCCTTTTTTGCCATGCCCGTCCTGGGTTCGACGATCATATCCGGCAATCATGGAGGCATCATTTGAGAGCCGATCGATCAAGCCTCAAAGTGCCTGGTAAATCCAGTAACCAGTCCAGTACGGTTTCAGGTGTGGGCTGTAGGCCGCTTGTTATTTGGACAGCCAGGAAACTGTGGCCAGACCGAGGTGAAGAGGAAGGGGGAGGAGAAGAAGAATAGTAGAAGAATAAGAAGAATGGAAAGTGGAGGGAGGTTTGTTCCTTTTGGAACCAGGATAGGATGAAGAAACCTGCCGCGCATCTGCGCATACTCCCCAAAGGCCTTGTCAATCCAGCTAGCCAGCCATCCGTCCATCTTTCATCCATTCGTCCATGCCATTCATCCTGCCCCTCATCCCTGGTTTATTATTTTCTGTGATCCGTCTGGATGTATGGTCAGGGTCTTGCTTGCTGGGGTATTCGAGTCTGGTCGTTCCGTACTTTATTTCGATTTTATGTACAAACTAGTAGCCAATTCATTATAGGATTCACTAACCAACTTGCCTGTAAGATCGAGCGTCCCAGCTGTGCGTCAGCAGCTCGACTGACAGACGGCGAGAAGCAGGCACCCCTCCTTACATATACACAGACCTCCTGGGGTCTCCCTCTGGGTGGTATTCCGCCGAGTAGCCCGAGACAAGACAAGCGATAAACTTGACAGGCCCAGGTGCGTGTGGCGATCGACATCGGCTCCACGCAAGGCGTCTGGCGGCTGGAACTCTGGATGTAAATGCTCGGTGGTGGTTGGACATCGAGGGGATAGCGGTACATACTCTACAGCTGTTCTGCGCGACATGACGCCGTCCTGCTCCGACAGTGGTCTTCTGTGTTTGCTCTTCTTTCTCCCCAGCCCTCTTTTGTTTCTTTTCCTCCCACGCTTTCCCCTCCTGCTCTTCACAGACACATTTCTGTTGGCCCTAGGGCGTTCTTTAAGCACGCAAGCAAGCAAGTGAGGTCGTCTCTCAACGTTACAATTTTAATCGTTCTTGATTGCCTTGAACCTGTGCTGACTTGCTTCTGCTTGTTACTTGCTTACTTTCTCTTTACCCTATCAGGTACAGACGGTACATACCCTGTCCGTGAACCGTTCTCTGTCACCATCGCTGCCTGCTTCTGCTTCTGCTGGTTGCTGCTGCCACTTCCTGTTGCTGTTGTGTGTTGCTGCGTGTGTGCGTGTGTGCGTGTGTGTGTGCTTGGGGCATCACAATTCACCTTTCGTGTCAGAACTTCATCCAGCTGAGGGGGTACTGACTGACTGACTGCATTGTCGCCATCTGCCAAACTCTCGGTATCGCAATCAATCGGGAAATTTCCGACATTCCATCTCAAGCGAACACCATATATTCCCAAAGTGAACAAGATCCTGTCTTCCCTTTCCTCACACCCCCCCTTCCTTCCTACCCCCAGAGATTTAATCCTTAGTCTCTATAAGGCTTAAGTCAAAGCCATTGCGTCGATTCGTCCACGCCTGACAGCCGGCTTTTTTTAAACACTCATCGGTGCTTCCTTTGTTTTGTCCCCGAATATAAAGCACCTGCCCCCCCCCCCCTACCATATCTTGATCCCCACATAAATTTCTTCCAAGGTGGGTGCCAATCCTTTTCATTTCGTATATCCTTTTGCGTTATAAATATTCCGATCCCATCTTTCTGGAAGTCTTGAGTTCTGCCCCCTTGTTACGGATTGTTTCACCACTGCAGGTGTTCTGTCCGATTGTTTCTTGTGCCCCGCCTTCCGTCTCGCAACGATAGCTTCTCAAGGGTAGCCTTACTCGTCTGAACACCATATATCCTGTCGTGTGTACTGGGGTTTTGTGCATTTTCCTGTTTTGACTGTAATTCCCCATGTATTGCTGTTGATGAGCTCCACGGTTCACCTCGGGCTGTGGGGCTAGCTCGTTTTCTTTGACAGGGGGATCCAGGACTACATCGACAGTTATCGCGCTGTGGGCATCACATTCAGTGTTTGACTAACTGTGGTTGTTGGTTAGGGACAATAATAGAACCACAGCAGATAAAATCTGTTAAATATCCACGTCTTCGAATCTTCCTATAGCCTTGAAAACGATACCTACATCTTTGGATTCCCCATATGAACACATCCCCACTCGATCGAGGTCACAGAAGTGAAATGGCAAGCACTATGACAATGGGTCCTTCATCTACTTTCCACGGCACTGACCAGTCCCTCCCACCTTTGCATCAGGTAAATACTTTCTTCATTATATGGGGGCTCGTCATCATGACATTCTCTAACATACCTTCTGGCGGGATAAGGCTATTCCAGAGTTCCATTCACACCCTTCACGAGAAAGACATGCCTCAAATGCTATGCCACGGAGGATGGTTGAACGGGGTTCTCCTACGTTTTCAGTACACAGAAGGGTTTCTCAAAGCCCTTCCAGCGCTGTGTCGGATTCCTCAAGTATGCCTGCTCTATCATCACCGAGCTTCCATCATCGCAGGGCGGCTTCAACAACATGTTCAATACCCAACATGCCTCTGACAGGTCGGACAGTTTCGAGTGATCCTATCACCGATTCTCGTTACGATGGACCAAGTTATACCTCGTCCTCCGGAGACCAGAGACGAATCAGCATGGTCTCGTCAACCTCGTCAAACTACGCAAACGATAATAGAGCGAGCCCATTCTTGCCCCCCGTTGCATCGTTAACATCATCACGTGGGTCATCTTTCGATGTAGACCCGTTAGAGAGGCCGCAGCTACCCGTAACATTGCCATCATTGTTTGCGCATACACAACAGCTCCCACAGAGTAACCAACAATCCTACACATCACCCGTAGACAGTGAGATGCGATATCAATCCCCCCAGGAGTATCACCGATACTCTACGTCTAGTACACCCCCATACCAGAGCTCTTCTCCAGGCCAGTTATATTCTCCATACTATTCACACCCCACGTATTCTCAGCCACCACGGAACCCAGGCTACTCATCTACACAACCAATGATGATGGATAACCGATCACCGTTTTCTACTGGTGGACATTCTGTAGATATGACCATGGATCATTTTGATCATGGCAGACCTGGAAAGCGAAGAAGAGGAAACTTGCCTAAGCATGTCACCGATTTGCTTCGGGGCTGGTTGAATGACCATTTACACCACCCATACCCAACCGAAGACGAGAAACAGATGTTGATGGCTCAGACCGGCTTGAACATAAACCAGGTATGTGTCAATTATTACCCTCAGCTTTCATGATCATAGTTAACTGACTCGGATTCATCAGGTATCAAACTGGTTCATCAATGCTCGCCGACGAAGACTACCAAGCATCACGGGAGGTCGGGTTGATACCGACCAAAAACCATCCCACTCAATGGGAAACCCTGGCACCAGCCAGTAACTCCGTTAATACGAACACGTTTTTGCATTTCTGTTACATTGTTTTAGGCGTTTCCCCCGTCATAGACACATCTATATCAACCTAGACTTAAGTATGCTAGGAAAATCGGTTATTTTAATATCGAACAAACCTCTTTTGTTTTGTTTTTACATCTCTCTTGGAATACCAAAGTCATCTTTCGGACCTTTTTCTTGTCTCAATACCTTCATCGGTTACTTATCTGGGGAATTGGGTGGAAGGGGGGGGGGGGGGGGTTGGTGCATATTGGATCACGCATAACGGCAGGACAAAGTCCTTTGAGGGCACAAGGACTTTATCACGGCTTTGTATAGGTAGCGGAATCGGTGCTCGGCTTGATATGAGCAGATCCGCCCGGTTTTAGTTCTTTTGTTTTCTTTTATGTCTATACATAGGGTTCAGTGGAGTTCTATCTTGCACTCGAGCAAAATTCTTATTTCCTTTATTCATTTTCCTTTTTATCTCAAGGAGTATAGCTGTAACTGTTAACGTTTCATGGGGGCTAGAGCCTTTTCCCTTTTTTTCTTTTTCTATACATTATTTGGGAGAAATATGGGTTTTTGTGATGCGGATAATTGCATTTTTAGGTTTTTGGGATGTTGAAAGGGCGAGAGAAAAAAAAACATAAGTTTTTAAATTATATTTTTGGCCTTTCTGTTTATTTATACTCTCCATACACTTACACAAATGTAGACTTTCCGCGGGAAGAATTTCCGTGATCACAAGTTTTTTTTATTTTTTCAACTCACATTGTGCGGCCGACAAAAATTCAAGTTCAAGCATGTACGCACGCAGATGTTGCATCGTCGGAAGCAACAGTAACAGTGGCAGCAGAGTAACATGTAGATGTATGTACGTAGCTGGTACTGTTGCCATAACGAGTTCTCGCCCCATGCAGTGCAGATAGCATCCAAATCATTCAACCCAACAACAGCAACGACAACGACAACAACGCCCATGTGAGAGCTAGGAAGAGCAACGCTATTTTGAGTTTTGATTAATTAATTTAAGGAGTTGGCCCCCTTCGAGAAAAAGGTTCTCGGCCTCCCCACCCCCTCATAAATGGATCTAATATAACTGTCACTGTCGATCTTGAATCTGATGATGTGATGCGTGTTACCATGGTCCGGTACTCGGCAACCACGGTTATGGCAGTGATGAAATCTTCCGAGAAACAGTTAGGGACTAGGCAACTGATTAGATTGCCGAGAATGCCAAGCAACGTCAAAAATCTGATTTGGGCCCCCTACCCAGCTTAGTCCCAGCCTCCTCCTTCCATCATCCACATCCCGTCAGTTTGACAGGGCCCATGCCGCGGGACGGAAGCATGTACGGACGACACACGATGGCTGTGGTTTTGCTCCACGAGGAAAAAAAATACACTCAACAAAGGCAGATTTTTCGACTGAAATTGCCTAAGCGAGTAATCGTGTTGACAGCGCTGGGCGCAGCTCCTGCATTCTAAAAACTTATTCTTTTGCATTTCACAGGTCGGGCACGTGAACGGATGTCTGAAATTTTCAACGCTTGGAGCTTTGGTTGGCTAGGAATAACTCCGATCCTCTTTCTGGAAATCCGCTCGCGTTCCCAAAGTTATAAGCGCCGAAAGTGACAGGCGGGTCTGTGGGGAAAGTTATTGTGCAGTTTAGATTGCAATCAATAGCTGATTGTCACTGGCTGCCCTTTATGGGATCTTATCCTTTCGTTGACGTAACTACATGTCCGATCACTCGCCCGCGTGCGCGCGTACATGTGTTGGCAAGAATCCAGAAATTTATGAAGGAAAGCCCAAAAGACGTCTCCAATACATGATACATGCCCTAAAAGTATTTGGAACTAAGATGCATATGCACCCTACTGTTAACAAGCCGCCACCGAGGGCGATTGGGTAAAAATCACTGAATCTTTGCAGGGCGCAGATGGATATAGTGATTTGACATGCCACGAGGTGGGCTGAAAGAAAATAACATCATAGTACGGAGTCAACAACATCGACATGTGGTCAAAACCATAATATCGTGTGTTTTGCTCTCTATGTCTTGCGAAGTTGTCAAAACCCGGCTTATATTTCCTTTGTGGCCTTGTCCTTCCGACCCCAGGATATACCTGCGTGCGGATTTCCCGCTGCAGCTAACGCAAGGGTATGTTCAATGGGATCTGCTAGATCTACTCTAGGCTCGCTATTTCCTTCAAATAAAGTACATCCGCAGCTACCACCGGTAGGTTCTCTAGAATTCATGGACTATTGCATATCGTGATCGCATGCATGGCCGAAAATCTGCCGCTCTTCGGAAACAGTCAACGTTTCAGGGAATATCGCATCTTTTTGTCGGCATCTTAATGGTTATCCTCGGGCCTGACGACTTCCGACTCCAAAATTAAACCATTCATAGGATGGATCACGATCGAACTAGGAGAATGCCTACCTCCGTCCCATACACCCCCCGCAGTCACTGCATTAGGGTGTATTTCTTCCCATGCCAGGCTAGAGTGTAGGGTTGCGTACGCTGAACCCTTTCCGGATTCGCCTTGCATGGTAATTAGAAAAACAGACAAGGCCCCCTACCTTGTCACGATGCTCACTATTCACCACCATCAATCATTGCTTGCCCATCACCCGTGCCTCATGCCTTTGGGTGTTGAGGCTTTGGGAGTCGAAATTTCCCATGTACTGTTCAGTACCATATTCCCTAGCTACAAGCCTGTAGACGCAAATCTGATTTGGCAAGTGCTGTGTGGCGGCGACCATCATTAAATATCAGGCCGCAGAACGCCCCGGTCTCGATCGCTCTCTTTTCACGCCCCAAGGGAAGGTCAGACTGTCAATCTTCCAAAAAGAAACCATTGGACTCTGGCTGAGGCGGCAGTTTTCTGCATTCTCGTCGTCGTCCCAAGATAAGCACGGCCTGCATAATTACTCGTCTATTCCTGCTTCGTATTTATTCTTTTTCCAAGAAAAATCCCATGATCTTTATCCAAGCAAGGAATAAAATGTCAGCCTAGCTGCCCTTATAATATTAAAGATGATTTGCGGCGTGGGTGTTAAAACTTTGACGGGACCTCAGGCCATTGGCTTGTAGCTTATTGTTGAGCATGTTCCCACACTGCACTAGCACTAGTCCACAAAGGAACCTTATATGCTGCATACTAGAACGCTATTGACACGGATCAAGAATCGAAAACCAACCTCCGGGTCCCACATGCAGAACATTTCAAACCGCAATCCGTGTCTCCACTCGCAATTCGCAGTATCAATTCGCAATATCGTTACCATAGGCTATGTTGCCGCGAGAACGTTTTTCCGCAAGTACAACCTCATATCCATCAGAAATCTATTTCCAGAGGTGTATAATAAATCAGCGAGGTTTACTTACAAGGATAAAAACCATTGTTTCAGAAGGCGACTGAATTCCGATGGTAGTACAGATAGATCTATGTGTAATTGCTTTTTCGCAAGCTCGATTCCTACGCACATAGGAATTCGTTTGATATCGTGGTGGCAGATCTCTGCTTAGATTGATTGGGCAAAGACCAATGGCGTCTCATGCAACAAAGGGGGACGCACACAGCTTTTACTAATAAGGTGTGTCTATCCGTCTATTAAGAAAATAATCCCCGCAACCATAGAGTAGGATGGGCCTGTCAAGATCATGTTTCAACCCACTCAAATAGTGCATTAGACGAACTTATCTTAGCCTGTTGTGCAACATGGAGTAACGTCTCAGGAGTGAGTGATATCCTATGATGATCACCGATGGGTATACCATGAACCTCGTTGCGAACATGGATGGAACATTTAGATAAGCGGGCGGGCCTAAACCTGCGGGTATGAATGTGACGAATTTTGCCATGCTTACACGGCTCGGATTTTTTTCCGGTACCGTGTGACTTCAAAGTATGCGCAGCCTTTGGGAGAACTCCATAGCATGCTGGCCATCAACGGCTGTTTCCTGTCAATATCTTGATGGAGAAATTTCAATGTAAACTGCATGAGACAAACTGACTAAATCTTTAGTAAGGGTATTGGTATCCGGCGAAGGCCTAGAGCTTCTCTCTGTTTAGTGGAATATCACCGTCTTTAAGACGTGACTAGCATTAACTCGATAAACCGGATGTACAGCATGCATGTCTTGGAAACTTCGGAGTAGACCTTGAGAGCTCTTGAGGCCGGGTGAAAGTATTCCCCAGAGAACTGAAGCCTGAGGTATAACATCTGGTAAGATTTGACGATTGGGCTGTTATGTCCCACGGTACTGATAACGATAAACGTGATGTTGGCTACGATGGAGGTAGCTTTGAGGTGACTCAGATGTAAGACGGTGGAAAATTAAGGCTAGGTTGATGACGTTGCTGGAACTCAAACCCAACCGCACGGGCAGCTGCCGCCGCGCAGAGTTCTCAACCACCACCTAACAATGTCTTGAATTTTCTTTTTCTCACTGCGCACACAAATAATATCTTTTAAGTACAGTTTCTTTCAATATCAGAATATTTTTTTTTTGCCAACGACTAAGTCCCAAACCATGGTATGGTGTATGCAGGTTGCATATCATATATCAGTTTTTCACAATACACCCCAGAAGATATGGTAAAATTGTTCTCTCTGAACTGTGTTTTCTTCGACTAAATATATGCAGGAAACTAAGTCCCTCTAACGCATGCACGATGGTCCCGAGACTTTATAGTGTTAGGACTAGAACTTACATGTACTTACTAAAGAAAGAGGAGGCCTGTAACGATAGCCCCTGCTTATCTTGTATACCCTACCTGTCATCTTAGTACGGGAGATCACTGTCCCATTCTCCCCATACCACGAGCTCTTCCGTTTAATTTCTGGAGTACATACATGTACATTACATAGGGTACTGTCGTTCACGGGATATTGGCGGATCCTGGGTGTTGGCGGATTGAAGCCAAAAATTGGCTTGGCTGTCTCTTTTTAGGCTTATCCTCCAACACCCAGTACCCGCCAATACCCCGTGAACGACAGTACATATACGCACGTAGACAATGGAAAATACTAAGCTACATACATACATACATGTACTGTACGTCTATCTATCAGCCTAATTGCCATTACTGGCGTACCTCCAGGAGGTAAAGCAGACGTAAGAAACTACCGGCGAAGGGCATTAAGTTGTGATACTCGCGGGTTTTACTCCGATAGTTCAGCCAAAATGTCATCGACCTATCAATAAACTACATTTACTTACTCGATTGAAGTCAATACGGAGAAAAAGCACCATGGGGATACATGTAGTCATTTGTCTTACATTAACATATATTGCACTCTGAGATAAATACTCAGCGCCGGCACCGAACTCAGTTTCGCACACGCCCAGCTGACTTGATCCTGATCATTTTTATTTACATTAAGATCGAACACGAGTCTATATTTTGATTCCAAATCTATACAAAAACTGAACGTTGATCAACGTGCTATGTTTGCAACCGCTTTTATGTTTGTTCGGCATGATGCATTGCATCGCAAGGACTTAATCAGTTAAGAGTTGAGGTCCTAGCCTATTACAGGACTTGCAATACCTCATCCATGCAAATAAGTGTGTTTAGGTCTGTGCACAATAAATACATGGGGTAACGTTTGTGGAGTAGTACAATTATTACTGCAGGTAACCAGGAACCAGGTTGATCATTGCGGTTATATTAGGCGCACATATAGATACATGTACTTCTTAGGTGTCAACCTAGGTTTTAATTAGTAAAGACTTTTTGGACGTGCATGAGTGGTACTCATAGTTCAAGGGAAAATTACTTACATGTAGTATATATAAGACATGGGGTTTCTTCTTGGATATATCCTCCATATGGCCATGTGTGGTCTATAATTGGACCATTAACCCGGAATCCTTCCCATTACTTCTTAGTGACCAACATACTAATAATTATATACTCATATCGGTATGGTATTATTGTCTTTAGGTATAATCTGATATATATCGGTCGGTGAAGTTCAATGCGTTTTGCGAGTGACGCCTTATGATCAGTAATGTGAAACAAATCAAATCATAACAGGAAACTGCTAGGGAAGGTAAAATGCCGGAATTTAAATGCCACTGATTTATGAACAGGCGAGCGCATCAATGATTGTTTAATTTACTAGGTAATTGAGAATGGTACGTTCTCGCTAATTAGTCTCAATTAGAATTAATATATATTCTCGAACCACACATATCGGTGACTTGAGGCTGAATTTCCGGTCAGCTATGAATCTAGACACCAGGACAGTTTACCTTATACTAGGGTTAGTGTTCATTGTTTAACCTATATATGTATGTACCTGTACTGCTGTATGTAGGGCAAAGGTTGGTTCTATAGTGACACGCAATCATGTTCGTAGAGGATGCTATTCATGTACTGTGTACGTATAGATGGCCCCAGTGTCCTAGAACCCCTAGACTGTTAGTCTCTGGGTTATAATTAGAAACGGGAAGGAAAACATTGAGAACTTATCTTGCAGCTTGCTTCGCTCTAGACCGCAAAGCGTACTAAATAGCTCGTATTATCCCGTTATCACAGCTGTACAGCTGTAGTTACAGCTTTGCATCGATGCACCCCACCTGAACCCCACCGTGGCAACCGAAATCTTTAAACGCCATGTATATAGAGGCCATTATATTACTATGGAGACTAGCTAGCCGCGGCACAGAATTCCTCGGGAAGGACCCTGGGTGTCTGAACGTCGTACTCCCACAGTTTCAAGCTCCCCACAATTAACAAGATGCGACCAGCTAAGGTAACACGAATGCCTACCAGTACGGGAGAGCCGGTCCTCCAGTAATATATTGGGCACATACTTCTACCAGGCTTGAGTACTTAATCCCGGAATTAGGTACCATAGATTAGGGCCCATGGGTCGGCCGGATAATCTTATTCAGGGTTTGGCTTTCCCTTGCCAATCGATATATTGCGACGTATATTCAATTTTATTATGCAGATAATTTGGCCTTAGTTTCTACAACATCAGGGTGTTTTTTTTCAGTTGAGGTGATTTGCTCCGTATTTGATCGGTGCGCAAAGTGTTCGTGTCATGAGATATCACCCACGACTGAATTGGCCAGCTGAGCTCTTGAGAAAGCGGGGAAACGAAATTGATGTGCAAGGAGACGCCGGCCAAGGGGGAGGAAAGGATACGATGTACGTAATATCTCCACAATCGGATATGCTTCTTTCATTCTTTTTACCCACATCACCATTTATCCCAACCTTCATCCGCCGATCATTTAGGTTTGATTCTCATCAATTTAAACTTGATATTTTACATAGTGGATCTTCGGTAATAGGTGATATATACTGATTGTAATATACTCTTGGGAGCAATGCACGGGCTGACCGTCCACCCTGCCTCTTCGAAGTCTATCTCGATACGAGCACGTAGTGCACTATTTTCTAGCACATAGCCAAATACTATACTACTGGGCTCTGTGTTTCCTAGGTCTTCCCTGAGTTCGGAATCAATGCCGCCCTCGGCGCAAAGGGCAGTTCGCGGTCGACCTTATGTCATAGGAAAATCCTCTCTGTATTAGATTATCGGATAGTGCGATTACCTCGTATAATCAAGATCTGCGAGAGTTTTCTGGGACATCCCGTTCCAGGTCCTAAGAAGGGAAGTTCCGTTCCAAACGTTCGTGATTCCTAGAGGGATCCTGTAATTAAAATCGGACCAGAGGGTCACAGAAAGAGGAACTTTAATGGCGATCTTCATGATTCCCGATAGTGGCAATAATTACTTTCATAGCCTATCACTCGAGTCATAACATTGTTTAAAATGGGGGCCTACCAAGGAATAAAACACTAAAATTAGTTTTCGTCTCCACTGGTTTTAAAAATTAAAAGCATTTCTCAAAACCATTGATGTACATACAACATCCTCCCCACATGAGCCGTGTTAGAGATTCCTGCACACCGATAATACAACAAACCCTACCCACACATAACCCTATCTTATCTCCGCGGTTCATTCGCAGTTTGTTTCAAGGGGTCTCACGGTGCGCGCAGAGTCTAATTGCCTCCAAGTTGAGATCAAAATCATCGTGGAATCTCAGAGACGTATACTTGCCCCGCCGAAGTTGTCTGGAGATCGAGCTAAAGAGGCTACCAGGTACATACATCGTCGGCTTCTTTCTCCATTCTCGTTACCCGATTGAACTCACATCTGAGATATGAATTAATATAATTACGGCCACATATCACCAAAAATAGAAAAGAGGACCAACCACATCCCTCTCCATGCCCTAGCTATAGCACAAGAAATATGAGAGGCAACCCACATGAAAGGGCATTCAAACCCGGTCCAGCCTAGCTGGCTAGGAGCTCCAGCATCTAAAGCTATATCAGGATATATGCTATAGTAATATAGAGCATTTTTATCCCAATCAAGATCTGTGATGACAGGTTTTTGGTGGCGTACGTACGAGTGGTGGAAAGAAGGGTAAGAAAAAAGGGGGAGGGGGAAACGAAGGACGTACTGTTTTGATTCTGGGACCGATCAATGGAAATCGTCTTTTCAAAGTTAAACTTCACTTCCAGCGCCTTTCGCCAGTACTCGCTTGATCTTACAGTACGTTCCACCGTTTTCCCAGTCCCAAGGTCCAATTTGTGTCACTATGAATCGGCTCGCCAAAAGGTTACATACTAGGCCGTTGTTATCATAACCTGCAATACGCGACGGGGGACCAGTTGAGTGGTATCTGTGTGTCACAACAGCCCGTGATCTTGAGATTTCCCCATAATCTTACCAGCCACGTGCTCCCAGTGGCTCTCGGCGTTAGGGCTAGCCATGATGATTGTCCGTTGATCAGTGATCTAAGTACTCACAAACTTCGCAACCATATATAAAGGAATAACCACTAAATTCGTAAGAATACTAGAGAATGGATTAATACTTTTGTAACAGCTAGCCGCATTAATTACTCCTTGAACACAGTATTTTTTTGAGTCACATCTTGTAGCGTCCCGTTATTTTTGTCAATTTGAAATATATGTAATGAAATCATAGCCTATCACTCGCTACACGAAGCACCAAACACCATCCCAAAATTGATCGTTTGATTGATATGCAATTCATTACTTATATACACCGCCTTACAATCAGTTTTGGGAATTTCGGGAATATATCATAGATCGTTGTGAAGTTACCAGATTTTTTTGGGGGGAGGGGGTTCCCAAACATATTCAATTTGTAGAAAGCCAAAATGAAATTCTTCTAGCACTTTGGGAAGGATATCATCAATACATGTAACCGCACGCACCAGGCCAGATTCTTCGGCTGAAAATCCAAGTAATTAACTCCACCATTTCCTTAATTTCCACCTTCACCGTACTATCGCTAATTCACAATCAAGAACTTTTGGATTGAAAGGAGAAAACAAAGGGAAGAGGTCCTTTTTCACAAAAACATAAAAGTATCCCCACCACTACTATAATAAAGAGAAATAATACTGAAATTTTCATGAAGAACCCCAACCGGAACTTTATCCCAACCCAACTAATACTTTATAAATAATTTTTTCTATCTTCTACTCAGCCTTCTCCTCTCTGACCTCAACATCGGCCTTCTTTGGAGTGGAGCTACCGCTAGCTTCCTCGCCATCCTCTTTGGCGGCTTCGGCCTCGAGGCGATCAATCTCCTTCTGGGCCTTGGCAATGTTCTGTTTCCAAAATGTATTTATGTCAGTCATTTATTGTTGAGGAAATGATGAGGAGTTATCACTAACCTCTTTAGTTTTGATTTCTTGGTTCTCCTTGTACCAGGCCAACTTCTCCCTGAGCTTCTCCAGGGTTTTGGGAACATCGTCCTTACCCATAGGGACCTCAACATCAACCTTTGCCAATTCTTCGAGAACACCGACATTCAAGTTGAATTTTGCAGCCGGAGACTCGGCAGCTGGAGACTCGGCATCAGGTGAGGTGATAGTAGTAGCACCCGCATCCTTTCTGCCCTTCTTTCCCTTCTTCTTTCCATTACCACCGATGAAGTAATCGTCCTCGCGATCTTCCTTCTTGGCGAGCTTCTTACCGGTGATAGCCGAGGCGTCGACAGAGCGAGTAGGCTGCGCAGCAAGTGCGCGGGGGCCAGATTCAAGCTTGGCCTTACGGGCAGCTTCGGCGGAAGAGGGATCGAAGAACCCGATAAGACTTTCGCAAGTAATGATCTCGGAGGTGTAGGCCTTCTCCGATGCCTGCTCTGTATTTCCCAAGTGTCATGTAAGCCACCATTCCTATGTTTAATGATTGGGCCCCAAAGCTGAGTCCGGAATCATAAAACAACATACCCATCTTCTCCTGAGCAATCTGTCGTCTATAAGCAATCTTGGCTTCCCTCTCCTGCTTGGCCCTCTTCTCTCTCTTGATCTTCCAGGCCTCCTGCTCGTACGCCCTGTATGCATTCTTTGCACTGAAGTATTCATCTCTGAGCGTCTGAATTGCCTGCCACTTTTCCTGCTGTTCCTCCTGCAACTGGGTACGCTCATCGCGGAGTTGGTTCAGGTTGGAGAAACTAAATTTGCGAATTCGTTAGTATAGCTAACGAGGCAGGGGCGAGTCGGTACTTACGCAGCGTCCTGCTCAAGCTTGAGATCGTCAAGCTCCTTCTTAACGGCCTCGTATTTGTCGCTCAATTCCTGGACTTCGGGGTCTTTCCTCTGTTGCCTTAGTTCATCCAACTTGGCCTTGTCGGCGTCAATGGTTTTCTGAACCTCGCTGAAAGCCCCAAAGTTCTTCTTGACCTTATTCAAAGACGCTAGCATCCCCCAGAATTAGTAGTTGAATCACTATATGGAAAGTATGGTGAGCATACAAATCTCCGCAAGCGCCTTCCTCTCGTCAACAATCATCATTTTACCGCTGTCGACGCTAGCGCTCAAGCGCTTAATGGCGTCCTCAAGCTCATCGAGTGTCCTGTAGGGCATCTTCTGCATTGAAGTATTCTGCTCCTTGATCCTGGCCTTGATTGAGGTGTCAAGAGCCTTGATCTGCTCATCGATCTGGGCCCTTCCACCCTTCTTAGCCTGCTGCGCAGCGCGGAGTTCATTGAGTTGGTCTCGGAGCTCTTGCTGGCGGGGAGACTTTCCGGGCGACTTGATAAATTCAAGCTTTTGCTTCACGGAGTTCTATAGTAATAAACAATAATTAGTTCACTAAAGCTCAAATTGACGTTTGAACCTGTATGCCGATTCAAGACAATATTGAGAAATGAGGGGATAACCTACCAGCTTTTCCCGTACCGCGGCATGATCGTCGTTCGCCTTCTGTAAGTTCGTTTCGAACTCTGCCTGGTCCGGCTTCTCTGGCTTCTGGACGAAGTTCTTTTTTGGTTCCTCGGTAGTGGCCATTATGTGTAATGAAGCTTTCTGGAATTATACAACTCTGGTGGGGTAACAGATTGGTTAGTCTAGAAGTAAGAAAAGAAAAGACAGTAAGAAAAGGCGCTTGATCTAGAAGTAATTCAATGTTGAAGGGAGGTATATGTATGCAGGGCACTCACCAGAATTGAGGTCGGAAAAATATGGTTGTGGGATGGGACAGATAGCACACACAACAGCAGTGAAAGACAGGTGGTCCCTTTTTTTTGGGCCAGACTTTTTTTTCCCTTTGGGTTTATCTGTCCTCGGCGACTATGGCACAGTGACTTGACCACAGCGTGCTACTCCTGCTATGGTAGCAGGGATCTCAACTACCTTCCTGAACGAGCAGTCACAGGGGCGCTGTCGTGTGAGGGTAACCAACCGCGGGTTAGGTTTGGACAAATTGGTTTCGAGAATTTTCGAAGAGGAGTCTATGATCTTGGAGTTGGAGTGCGGGGTGAGTGGTCGGAGGGGGTTGAGCTGCTGCCGCGCTAGTCTTTGAGCTGTGGCCCAACCGGAGCAGAAATTGGCATTTAGTTACTTGATGAATTGATACGATGGAAGCATTGTGGTTTTTTGTTTTTCACACGATATAGCGATACCTGCTGGAAGAACGATGCTATTGATGATGTGTTCAAGAGTTTCTATCGGAGCTATTACGAAACGTTAACACCAAGTGGTAACATAGAATTTGAGTACCTTCACTGTGTGACACGTGACACTAATACTAACGCGATATGTACGAGAAGGGCTACGGAATTTTATATCAATCCGAAAGTAGTACAATTCTAGCTCAATTAGGCGTTTACCTACTAAGTTTCACAGTGCTATCGTGTGGCTACAAATGGAAACAAATCACTTAAGAGAGGACTCATCAAATCTTACGAATATAGCACTTAACCCCTGAAATGCTACAATGATTTGGTGCTATCGTATTGATCTCATCTCACCTCATTTATGTACTATTATGTATTGACTGTAAAGCGCTTGGGCTTGGGCCGGGAGCTTTTGAGTACACTCTGCAGTGATCGTAAGCATGTGATAAGCAGATGGGAACTTATGTATGTTATTGTAGTGAGCCTATTACGGGCCATGCAAAGTCAGATTTGATTGCAGATCCCCTCAAAATCCTTCGAAACAACCGCTCAATTGTTGAGTTCTAAGGGAAGTATGACCGAAAGTGCTGCACCCATGGTATGAAAGAAGCACATTTATGAGTCCTCCTTTAACCCATACAAGAAATAATTCTGATTCTAATCCCGGTTTGTATTAATTTAAGCCAAGCTAGCTCAATCCTTGGCCAATTAAAACCACCCAGATCAAACCTTCGCACCCAGCTTCAGCTTTCATAACAGGGTTACGAAACCTATAGGTTATAGAGGAAACACAAAAACCTCCATCTCCTCTAAAATTCTAGTTAAAACCCTTTCGTCTGCTCAGTACTGCATGCTGGTGTTTCCCATACTCCCGGCCCTAATTCACCATTGGCGTAAAACGCTGTCCACCTGGTCACAATATTATATTAGTACAAAGATTGTAGCTAGGTCACTATCATGAATAAGGGGTCTCCCTGGAGCTCTATTACAAAGTGAGCAACATCGTCACACTATATAAGGGATATTTGGAAGAAGAATAACCTGTCTCCCCGATCATTGACTCCTATGACTCTTCCCGTCCCCCAAGGCACTAATTCCCCGGATCTCTAGAATTTCTTCCCACTCGGACCCCTGAACCCTAACCCTTACAGACGTAACATCCGTCTCTAACCAGACCAAGTACACACTACCTAGCTCAAAGATTTGTTGCATGTCCAATCATTGACCCACATCCATATAGGTACACCATGTCAAACTTTACACGGCCAAGCTACATGTAGCTTATGACCCGACACGGCTTATCACTCGACGCGGCATATGACTCGATACGGCTTTGGACAAGCGCACAAGGGAGTTTGTGTAATCACAACCATGGAGGTGCGCCGTCACTAGCTGTTCGTTAGCTAACTATTCATCAGCCAGATATATGTAGCTACATGTACAGTTACCCAGAGCTTCAAACACCAACCTCTACCAAGGCCTGTATAACTACACGTAGGAGGGAAAATCTACATAAACGACAACCCTAGTGATGGGCACGAGAAGTTGTCCCGAGACTAAGTCTCGAGACTTTCAGCAAGACAAGACGAGACCTGAGGGTTGACAAGACAAAACAAGACAAGACTAGGTCTGAAAGTCTCGAGACAAGTCTCGAGACTTTTTTGACTTTATTTCCACACCTAAATATGCTTCTCAGCCACGGTTCCAAGAAAGGTTGAACTTTTCATTGAGTTCCAAAAAAGAAAATCAACTTTTAATTTGATGATTATAGAGGTTCCCCAGAAACGAAGTCACATGACCAAAAGTCTCGAGACTTTGACGAGACTAGACCATTGTCTCGAGATTTTCAAGACCTAGTCCAAATAATACAAGACAAGACGAGACTTCCCCAGGTCTTGACTCGTCTCGTCTCGTGCCCATCATTAGACAACCCCCCGGGCAACCTCGGTCGGCAATGCCACCATTCTATCCATCAGCTATTGGGAGCACATATCTTCAACATCATATCGCCGAACCCAAGGGCTATCTAATATATTGCATGGGAGCTATATGTCAATGGCACCAGCAGTGGAGACAGTGTACTCATACAGTATGCTTGCGGAAGGACAGCCCGACAGCCGGTCATAATCTAAGTTGTTAGTTATTCGGGAGCCGGAGCTGCAGAGAGCATTTGGGCTGGCTTATGCATGGTCGAGCTTGCCTACATGTATTTATAGATATCGAGTAGCTATATATATGATTAGCAAGTCGGCCAGCTGGATGCGTCATTATGGCCTTGTTTGCAATCGGATTGGGCTCGGGTAGCTATGGGGGATTCCGGTTGGAGGTATAGAGTAGCAATTATAAGTTGAGCTTTAGATTTCGCTGTTTATGGGATTTAGCTCCGATATCACTATCTGCATACTGACAAACCCCCACCAACAATCACAGCCAACATCACAAAAATACTAATAGTCAGTAAAGAACTTTACGGCCGAACAATCTCAACCATTTCTGAGCAGAGCTGGAGCTACATGTATATACATTAAATACTACTCCCTCGAAACACCCCCCCAGCAAACACGAATCCACCCCCACTTGTTTATTTCGCCCACAACATCCCCACCCCACCTACAACATCCCCGCCCTCCACACCTTCCCACTCAACCTCTCAATCTCACCCACATCCACCACCCCACTCACACCCTCCTCCGCAATCGCCTCCACCGCCGCATCCGCCACTACATCCACCCTCAACGGCTTATACGCAGCCGCGCCCAACATCCCCTTCAGCCGTCCGCCCACGAGCCCATCCACCGCCGACGTCACGCCCATCAGCCCCGCCAGCGGCATCGTCACCGTCCGGGACGAGTCATACAAAAACCCGGGCCGCAAAAACAAGGGACGGAACTTCTGGCCGTTCTCCGACAGCTTCTGGATGCCCGCTTCGGCTTCGCGCTTGGTCGAGATGTAGCGCGAGGGGAGGGCGAAGGAGCCCGCGGCGGCAGAGACGTAGAGGAGGGTTTTAACGGTGTTGGTTGCGGAGAGCGCTTCTTCGGCGAGTGTGATTGCTGTTGCGCACGATACCGTCAGTATCATCATCCCCAATCTCCTAGTAGTAACACCTCATAACCGGAGGGGAGGGGGGGGGTATACCAGAATCCCGATTCATCGTCTCATAACTCAACTGCGCGCTATCGCCCTCCTCACGTAGGTTATGCGCCCTGCCAACTGAGGGATCAAACGCCTTGCGCAACCCCGTGATCGGCGACTCCTTCCCACTGATAACGCCCTTGTAGTCGGCCTCGAGCAGGATGCCCATGCTGTGAACGACGGCGGTCGCGCCGACGAGGTGCTGGCGGTAGCTGGACGGGATGAGGATGTTGCCCTTGGCCCAGGTGACCTTAGCGGCCCATTCGGGTGGTGTAGGGGTGCCCGTGGCGAGTATCCAGTCGGGGGTGCCTGAGCGGCTGATGGACGTTACGGTCCAGCCACGAGAGACGGCGGATTTGCAGATACGGGAGCCTGTGGGGGTTAGTGGTGCGGGTATGGGGAATGGAGAATGAAGGGGAGGGGGTACCAAGAAAGCCGTTGCCGCCGCAGACGACAAGGCGGGGAGCGGTGGTGGTGGTGGCCATTGTGCGGGGAGGTGAGGTAAGGTGAGGAGGTGAGATAGGGTGGAGATGTCTCAGATTATGGAGATTGTGGTTGTGTTGCTGATGAGCGCTATGCCTACATCTTATAAGGTCAATGGCATGCCAGCAGATATATATATGAAGCTACTGGATCTCAACAATCAAAACTGGAGTGATAGATGTCTTGAGGTATTTGACTATGCAAGATTAAGCAGGAAAGAACGGACCCCCAATGCTGTATATAATTATCTCTCTGCCAAGAATTCAAGAATTCAATCCCGATGCACCTTCTGCACTCTCGTCACGACTCGCAAAGGCTATCGATATGCAGAGTTGTCGATGTGTGGTGGGTGGAGTGGTGTGAGCAGTGTGCATGTGTGAAGATGCATCAAGGTGACGGACGGGCTCTGTCTGGTTGCAGTCTCTCTGCCCAAGAAGCAGACAGCTGCACGTCATCAATGCTTTTGTCTAATTGGATACCAACGACTGATTCTACATGTCTGGATGTTTCAATGTGCTGGCTGCAGCTGTAAAATATCCTCCGTGAATTTCCATATATCATCCCGAGTCCTCTATCTCGTTTTAGTTGCCGGTATGATAGCTCTACAGTCTCTACTGGCTTTAATTAACCCCCACCGGCCCGCCCCGCCTGTGCTTATCGATAAGACAGCGATGGCCCGTAACTCTTTCGTCACACCCCCCACATACACACCCGGGTCGCACAGAATAAAATTTCACAACTCCTCTCTGAGTCTTACGGCCAATATCAAAGACCTCAACAACCACAACTACAAACCACTGTCAAAACCATAGACAAAATCCAACCCGTTAAAATGACAGTAGGCCAAACAGTCACCATTGGCGTCCTCGGTAAGTCATACCCCACCTCCCGCCCTGACTTACAAATACTAACACCGACCCTAGCCCTCCAAGGCGCCTTCAGCGAACACATGCAGCTCCTCCGGGGGGCCTCTATCGGTCTCAAAACCCCTCAACCCCTCAACTTTATACTCGTCAAGACCCCCGCCGAGCTCTCCCAATGCTCCGCGCTCATCATCCCCGGCGGCGAATCCACAGCCATGGCTCTCGTCGCCGAGCGCTCCGGCCTCCTCGAGCCCCTCCGCGAATTTGTCAAGCTCGACCGCCGCCCCACATGGGGTACCTGCGCGGGCATGATCCTACTCAGTGAGGCCGCCAACCGCACCAAAAAGGGCGGGCAGGCGCTCATCGGCGGGTTGGCGGTGCGAGTCAACCGGAACCATTTCGGGCGGCAGGTGGAGAGCTTTGAGGCACCGTTGAGGCTGTCATTTCTTAATGAGGAAGATGCACCGTTTAACGGAGTTTTCATCCGGGCACCGATTGTCGAGGCGATATTGCCGCAGGATGGCGAGGAGGGCGAGGATGATGTTGAGGTACGGGCGCCGAAGAAGGAGCCGAGAGGCGTTGTGGAGAGTGTGTTGGGAGATGAGGGTCATGTGGAGATACTTGCGGAGCTGAGGAGGACGTTGCTGCCGACGGAGGGGTTAAGCAAGGGAGATAGACCGCTCTATGAGACGCATAGCACCGATGTGGACATGGCGCGGGAGAGGGAGAACCGCGGGAGTGTGGCAAGCATTGTAGCCGTGAGGCAGGGGAATGTGGTGGGGACGAGCTTCCATCCAGAGCTCACGAGCGACCTGAGGATGCATAGATGGTGGCTTCAAGAGGTGCTGAAGGACCTGAAGAGGAGGGAGGAGCTGGTAGAGAAGGTGAAGCACGGGGAGAGTGTACAATAGTTAGAGTTCCCTGGGCTTTTTCTTTTGATTGTTAGATGCGGTGGCCATTTTTGTTTATGTCATAGATAAAAATATGTAACTCCAAATGGTAGAAATATATCTCTCTTTGAACGCGTAAAAATAGTCATAACGGAATCTTTAAAACCCGATGCATTCTTGGGGCACGTATAAAAAGGATATGCCCCATCGGAGTAGAATGCAATTCATGAGCCGACGACCAGAAACATGTACAATGAAGAGGGAGAAAAGACTTCTTCTTAATTCTTGGCACACCTAGGTTAAGTATCACTTCCCACGCAGTACCAATAAGGGCGAGCGGTCTAACGGTTTAGACCCCGGCGTCGGGTGAGACACTGTGTGTTCGAACCTTAAAGGAGTGGGGGGTAGTAACGGGCCGCCGTTGCAGTACCTTTTGTTCTTTTTTTTATATAGGTACAGTTTAGAGAACAGAGTGGCTTTAAGACGAGCGGCTTTAAGAAAGTTATAGATATACCTACAAGTATTGTAACTACGAAACGTTGACAACAAGTTAATTGCTAACAACCGTAATGACTTGCCAGCCTGAAATAACAATGGATTAACCAACCAGGCGGTCAGTCTTGTCACAATTGACACCCGTGACTCCCTTCATTCAACCCCCCAACGTCACAACCAATCGCCCGTCATCTCACATTAGCATCACAGCCCATCACCCGTCCATACGCCCACCCGTCTCCCCAACACCAGCCACTACCCAACCATCACACCACCGGATCACAACCCATCACTCGCCCGTTCCCCCCACCATCCCACATCCAAGGATAACCTCGGCCCATGTAGCCTAGCTTAGCCCAGCCGTCCACCCCTGCCTCCCTTCACGCGAGCAACACCCTGAACAGGAAGGGAAGCTGCCAACAGGAACAGGGATCGTTGTGCGACACAATAAAGTATGGATAGGTGGGTGGTACAAGCAGACATGGGACGAAAAATTGAAATTAAGTGTGTGTGTTAATGATATATGATCTTTCTAGCTATCTACGACCTTCTAACTAGCAACCTACACCTACACTACCCACGCACGCACACACAGCTCCAAGAGATACCTGCTTTGATGAAAAAAAGAAAGAGAAAGAAATAAAACTTTTCCCAACCAACCCTAAGAAAAAACCCCAATAGAAATGAATATAGAAATAGAAATGAAGCCCTACCCCGTCCACCCCTCTAGAAAAAGAAAGAAAGAGAAGAGAAGAGAGAAAATATAAATTAGAGAGGAGAAAGAGAAAAGAGAAGAAAAATGCAACTGTATAAGCAGGCGGTATAATCAACGAGTGGAGAGTAACTGCCGGACCAACCATAAGATTGGTACTGCAGAATGATGGCAATAACAAAGGAAAGAGGAGAGGTAAGAAATAGATGTAAAAAATAAAGAATAAAAACTAGGAAACTAGGAAAATACCACAACGACAGGCTTTAGTTATAGATAGAGATGCAACGACAGGCTTTAGTTATAGATAGAGATGCAACGACAAGCTTTAGTTATAGATAGAAATGCAGCAACAGCAGCAGCAGCAGCAGCACAAACCACACAGAAGCCCTAATTACCGCCAACTACATTTCTCAAGCTCAAGCCCGTCGACCAGCGATCTCGACAGCTCTTGTCTGCGTCCCGGCCATGGCTTCAAAAACCAAAAACACAAAAACAGAAACAGAAAAAAAATGCGGCGCTTGCAAAAAGAAAAAAGGGACCAATAAACAAAAGAAAGGGGAGAAAAAAGACCACTCTGGATAAGTCTAATAAAAAATGTTATCCTCCGAGGCTACTACATGCCATAAGCCGGCGGAGCTTCTCTACCAAGCTCCCGCAGCTCCCTCTCAACCTGCCACATATCGGCGCCCTCTCCCCTCCTTTTTCGCTCTTCCTCTAGCCTCCTCTGCATTTCACCTGCCAGCTTCATCAAGAACGCCCTCTCCAAGATCCCACTTCCATGAGCCGCCCCTGCTCTCAACTGCGGCCTTTTCTCGTTCGTGTAGCTCTTCGAAGGACTAGCTTCCGTGGACAGTGACGAGGCCGAGGAGGCAGAAGCGGAGGAGGAGGTCGCGGGATACGTGATGTTCTCCGTCGACACTGAGGACGCCGGCGACGGGGGTGCGACAAGCGTGATAGGAACTGTCTTCGGAGCCTCTGTCGTCGTCACGGGGCGCGCAACAGGGTCAATGAACCTCACGCCGCCTCTTTTCGGCGCCGTGGGTGTCGTGACCTCGTCCTGTGTAGACGGCTCCTTCTCTGTAACAACCGCTGACGCAGTCTCCACCGATAGCGGCGCCGCGGGCTGCGCGCGCAGGTTGACAACTCTGTGCTTTCTCCGCTTGCCCCTTGTTCGGCCCGCTGCGCCTGCGAGCGACGGTGAGCTGTTGGTGTGGTACATACTCGGTCTTGACGACGAGCTGCCCGTCGTGCTTACGGCGTCGCCATTCTCAGAGAATGTGTATGTGCTGCTGTTGCCGCTTACTGGCGTCCCAGGGGGCTCCAGTGACGCCGGCGTCTTATCACCGCCCAATGCCGCGGAGCCATTTCCGGACGCCCAAGCCCTAAATACCACATCCGGGATCGACGGGGTTCCAACTGACAGCGTCTTCTGCGAGCAGCCCAGTTCCTTCAGCGCCGCAAGATTCTTCTGCGAGAACGAGATAGACGGTGAGTCCGACTCCGAGTCCGTGGGCGACAACAATGGATTTGTCCCAAAAGCCGCCGCAGTCTCCTCGTCCTCCTCACTACCACCCGCCGTCTCTTCGTTGTTAGGCGCCGGGGAATCGAGGCCTAGCGACGCCGCATATTCAGGATTCCATAGCCGGAGCGACAACCGGTGCACCGCGACTGGGAGCTCCTCCTGAAACAGGCCGCGGACCTGGCGCTCAATCTCCTTCTGCAGGTAGTCTTTGATGAACGGTATTGAATCGAATGTCGATGAGACCTTTAGTGATTCAAGGGGGTCGTTTCGGAAGACCAGGGTAATCCCTTTCGCCTTTGAGAAGACGAGGATGATGAATCCCGACAGCCGGAAGTCTGAGAGCGTGATTTGTAGCGGTATTGTGAGCGGGGCCGAGGCGGCGAGGGGCATGGGAGAGGTGAAGGACGGTGTTGTGGAGAGGTAGGTATTTAGTGGATTCGCCTGCAGGTAGAAAACGTTTGGTCAGTATCTATCGTGTGGTATTGGCTCGGGCATAATAAATGTGCAGTAGTGCTGCCGTGCGTGACGTATGTAGAAAAGTAAGGAACACCCAATATAGCCGGTTCGCTGGAAGAGTAACAACCCTGTCACGCATCAAGGGCAGAGGTAGAGATAGGTAGGCATAGGTACATATGTAGGTAAGGTAAAGTAGGTAGGCATGCAATCACCACAACAGGAGATTATAGCAGAAGCAGCAGCGGCGGCGGGAGGTATCGGAGGAACCAGAATCAACATACCTGAACCTTCGTCTTGAGAGTCAAAGACGCATCCCCCTCATAGCTCATCCTGAAGATGCCCCTAAATCTATCCTCCGCCAGGTCCCCAATCTCGAGTATCTCCAGATCCGGCGCGCTCTGCCCCAGGTTTAGCTCCTCGACGAAAATGTCATCGACGATGATTGGCGGTTTCTGCGACTTGTTAAGGGCGGCAGTGAGCAGTGACTTAGCATGCGTGTAGAAGGCCGACGATGTCGTCGAGGAGGTAGTAAGCGGCGTCCAGTTGAAGTTGAATGCCATGACTAGTTACTGGCGGGGGTGCATCCAAGGGATCGCGTGTTGTGAAGTGACGTTTTTTTTTTTCCCCTCTATCTTTTTTAGTGTGTTTGATAGTTTCGGTGATGGCGAGTACAATGAGAAAGGACCCGCTGCTGTAGGGTAATTATTCTATCCAGGTACTAGTACCTAGTGAGAGGATGGATCGATGAGAAACAAAAAAAGGTGGAGTGTTTTTTTTTTCTACTGTTCTCTGGTCGTATGTCTGTCTGACTGACGGTCGTGTGGGGGGAGAGTGGGATGGGACGATGATGGTGACGGGATCTCGTGCTCCGTTTTTTTTCTTTCACTTTTGAAAGCGGGAACTAAACTATTCTTCCCGGGATGGATGGATGGGTGGAGAACGAAGCTGAAAGAGAGCACAAGAGCAAAATCACAACAATGATAGAGATAGATAAGTGAGGGAAGAGGAAGGGATAGGAATGTTGTATAGAAGGTGCTATAGCAACATTGTATCCTTTCTAATATTATTTTCTTTTCCCAGCTCTGGATAAAATACCTACACTTTCGCACAAGGGAACATGGTGGTTCGGTTCCTGTTCAGGCACTTATCCTGACTTTCCCATGGCCACACTTGCGGGCACTGCCTTGTGCCTGTGTGTTTTTTCGCAATGTCTGGAAGGAAAAGAAAAAAACCGGAAAAAATCGCTTCGTGGGATGACGGCAAATTGACTAAGCGAGGTTGTCCCGAACCCGAGTTCCGACGATCTCCCCTAATTCCCTAATTCCAACCACAAAAACAAAAACAGAAGTCCACACAAAAGCCCTCTCACAGTAGTTTTTCCGGGCCAGAGTAGAGCACATACGAGAAAGAAAAAGAACCCCGCGCAAATCATGCAATACTCCAGAGGTACATACAGTTACCTACATACTTTGCTTGTGGGGAATACATATTTTCGATACTTAGCTACCTACCCCGCAAAAAAAATAAAAAATAAAAATACAAAACAGAAAAAAACACCCAGCAGCAGCAGCAGCTAGACCTGGTACTACCGGAATAAAGACCGAAGGAACCCCCCCTCTCCTCCGCTCCCCCGTGCACAGACAAAAGTTACATATGAGTACTTTCAGAACGACATCCAACTCGCTGGTGACAGAATTGAGCCATTCCCTCCTTGCTCATTTGCGGGCCTGTGCGTGTGCCCGGCTGCTCTTAGTGGTCTAGTCAGTCCTGTCTAGCCCTCTGCCTATCTCCCTCCCACGCTTTCTTTCTTGGTTCTTGAGGTTGCAAGGGGCCATGTCAATCACTCATGTCTATCAAATTAATCATCAGCTCTGCCCTACAGTCAGACTCAGCGCCTAGAGTCGAGCAGCGACAACCAACTCCTCTGCACTAGATCGCTACATGTGATTTCGCTCCTCCCCCTTCCACTCTCTCCGCCCCCTCCCCCCATAGAGTACCTCCGGTACATAGTGCAAACCCCAGATCATCCAGCCATCGCGACCAACCGATCACATACCAAGATCTCTCCAGTCCAGTTTAGTTCTCCCTGTGCCCAATCGCAGCGCGCCCCCTAACCCTCAAGCTCTCTTCTCTCTCTCCTGCCAACACACCGTTTGAGATCATGATGGGGTGGCGAAAAGACCGATCTGTGATGCCGTTTTTGACGGAGTGCTTTTTTTTTCTTTCGCTTTCTTTTTCCCCTCCCTTCCCACATCGTCGGCGCGCAGCGGGCGGGTTGAGAATCGCGGCTGACGAGTGATTGCGTGTGGAAAAAATTATAAAGATATGGAGCCCCAGTCACGAGACATCACTCGGTGTGGATGCGTGTGGCATGTGATTTTTCGCTTTCCCCCCCCCCCCCGGATCTGCGTGTGTGCAGATGCTGGAAAGTGCAAGATCTGGGCTGATCTGCAGGATATTGTTTGTTTTGTGGGTGATGTCGCCGTTTATGAGCTGCCATGGAGGGGAATGGACTGGCTTCATAGGGTTAGGTTGTTAGGATAGCTGCGGGCCCGTTGTTGGTATCATCACAACTTATGAAAATTTCCTCCCCACATATACGGGCACCGCCCCCACTAGGTCTATCCGTGGGATCATCTCTTCTCTGCTGGACTCATCGCGCTGTTTGCTGGGCATAGTTTTGCGACTCCGGGCAGTGGTAGTTAGATTACCGAGTGACATTTTATGACTGTATAGACACCACACGCCATATATATATTTTTCTCCCCATACCCATAGTACCTATATGTACTCTAGTCGATAAAATACAAGTCCCAGATGACCAGCTCCGCTCCTCAAGGCTGTTCCTGGTAAGGCCCCAAGAATATTATGCAATAATGGGGTATGCGTGCGTGCTTGCGTGCGTGCGGTGCTCTATCAAAGTCTAGACTACACTGCAACGACGAAGCTACCTAGTGCACCCCTCTCAGAACCTCACTTCACCGGCGTGGAAATAGGTATAGTAGAGCATAGAGTAGATGCGTGACTTTGCACCCTGTCCAGTGCTGCACACCAAATCTTGTACCCTGTCCGTTCGATACCTACCCCATTCCTCAGGAGCCCATCTCCGTTTCATACATGTACATACCCACCTCCTACCTCCAACTCTCATTACCACTCACCACCCACCCCTCTTCCACCCACACCAGACATTTCCCATCAACTTATCACACCATCACGCCAACACGAACCCCCCACGCATCGTTACACCACCGACACCCATTCTGCCTGATAATAACTAGCCGCATCCAGCTAGATCACAAGACCTTTGCTACTATAATTAGTAGCAATAGTTATGTCCAAATCCAGATATTCTACTATTTCATCATCACGGATTGGCTTATCACTGCTAAGGATATTAGACCATGGTACTAATAGAAATATTCATACTACCTACAGGAAAACAAAGGAAATAGGGGGATGCTATCCACATAGTTATAGTTATACAAAGCACCAAACTGGCGGAAGAAAATGAGTTAAGTGTAGAAAGGAAAAAAAACCGAGAGGCAGAACCGCCCGTTTAGGTCCCCCCATTAATCCTATATTCGCACACACAAGAAGGGTGAAAGTGCAGCATAAAAACAGAAACAAAAGAAATCCGTGTTAAAAGAAGACAAGAAAATAAAGAGAAAGACAACACAAAATACAAATGAGAAACAAAAGCCCCACCGGATTCCATTATCCATCATAAACATCGTATCAGCATAAACGCCATTTTTTACCTCGGAAATTCCCATTATCATCTGACGCTACTCATAGCTCATCTCTGATGGTTGAGTATGCATCCTTGACCTTCTCCGTCGCCGCACTGGCAGCAGAAGACACAGAACTGGCAGCCTGTTCGGCGTACCCCGTTTGTGTCCCATAGACCGCTTCCGAGAGCGAGCTGGCAGCCTGTTCAACATATCCCGTCTGTGTTCCATAGACGACCTCCGATAAAGAGCTCTTCGCACTCTCGACCGCCTCAGAGATCCTGCTCTGCGCGCTCTCGATGACTCCTTGTTGCGGGCCGTAGATGGCAGCCGAGATCCTTGCTTGAGCCTGCTCGTAACTCTCCCCGATTGATGATCCCACAGCGTCAATACCTTCAGCGACGGCTTCCGTCGCAGCAGCAAGATTCTCGCCCAAGACTGAAGTGGCAGTATCGACGCTCTCAGCAAAGGCGCTGGTAGCAGATTCGAAAGTTCCTTTCGAAGTTCCGTAGACTGCCTCGGAAATGGCTCGTTGTGCTGATTCGGCGGCTTCCTGCATCCTTAGAGTGGCCGACTCGAAAGCTCCAGTTTGGCGGCCGTAGATGGCCTCTGATATTTGTGATGCTGCACTTCCATAAGCCTCTCCAATGACGCTTGTTACGCTTTCTGCGGTGCCTTGAGGGGTGCCGTAGACTTGTTCACTTGCCATAGTAATGGCAGCTTGAACTTGTTCGTTTGCTGCGGAAATGATACTTTCTAACGCGGGGGGTGGGGTCATCATGCTCCCGACCGCACTGGTTGCGGATTCAAAGTTGTCCGAGACCATGCTGGAAGCAGATTCGTAGGCTTCGCCAGCGGCAGACGTAGCTCGGGAGAATATAGGGGCATCAGTTCCGTACATGAGGGATGAGAATCTACTCATTACACTCTCAGTGTATGCTGGTTCTTTCCCCGAAACGAGTTCAGAAACAAAGGCTTTGACTGATTCCAAGCGCTCTTCAGCCGAATCAGTGACGGCCGAAGCATACTCTCCGGCGACTGATGCAACTGATTCAGTGAAAAGTTGCGGGGTACCGTATACCACTGAAGAAGCGGCACTGGCTATGCTCTCGGCACTTTGAGAGAGTCGGGATGAAATGATTTCAAATGTTGGAGTGGGGGGAGCTGTGTAATTAATGTCAGTCACAATGAATCATCCTATATAAAATGACATGAACATACGTAGAACCGCCGTAGAAGCAACGCTATACCAACTATCATATGTAATTTGAGCCTCGTTCAAAGCTTGCTGATACTTTTCTTTGGCAACACTTAAAATGCTCTCAGAGGCCGGCTGTGGTGTTCCATAAATTGCAGTGCTTGCAGCACTAAGAGCGGAATCATAGCTTGCTCGCGCCTCGCTAGCTACGCTGTCATAGCGGCTGTGAACCTTTGATGCTTCCTTGAGTAAACTTGAGTACTGAGCTTCGGCAGATGTTAAAGCTTCGTTATAAGCTTCCTTCGCAGCAGACGCAGCAGAATCCTTGTGCGGCAAATCCTCAGGATAAACCATTGTAGCGGCTTTACGCATTGCCTTACGATATTCATCTTTGGCAACTGTTTGTGATCTTTCATAGGCTGCCTGTGCCTGGGATGCAAACAGTTCTATCCTGGGCGTTGGAGTCCCGTAGATGACACTGCTGGCAGCTGCAACAGCTGCAGAGTACCTGTCCGTCGCAATGCTAACGATTGATTCGCCTGCTGGCTGTGGAGTTCCATAGAGTGCGCCTGAGGCAGCACTGAGAGCAGAGTCATACTTTTCGCTAGCAATAGACGAATATTTCTCTCCAACAGCCTGAGTTGTGGTTGCGCCTGCTAAGGCTTCGGAAACAGCGCGGGAGGCATCGACGAGCTTACCATTGACAGCATCGATGATGCCACTTACTTTTTCACCGAGGGTTTCTTCTTCTTCGGGATCGTACTCATATTCAACTCTGGAAGCTCCGACATAGCCGGCATAAACACCACCGGGAACGTGCGCTTTTACGACACTGGCCAATGGGGTTGATTCTTCCTTCCCAGGGAGCGCGTTTCCGATAGCGGTAGCTGCTTTTTCAAAAGCATTCGGTTGAGTACCATAGATCTGAAAACTTGTTAGAAATAATCCAATCGTAATCCACGCCGATACCCGTACCTTTTCGGAGGCTGCACCTGCAGCACTTCCCATTTTCTCGCTAGCAGCGCCAGCAACGGGCTTTTCCGTGCCAACGACAGCAGCCGAGACTTTATCGGCAGCTTTCTCCAAGGCCCCCTTCTCCTTCGCCTCTGGTATAACTGCCCCCTTCACCTCTTCCACTTTCTTCAGTACCTGCTGCCCCGTCTTTTCTACAATAACCGGCAAAGTTGAAATTTCTGAGAAGTCATCCGACGAGTCAGCCAGCTCAATTTTCCTTTTGCTAACCCTCTTCAATCTCTTCAGCTCTTCAGCAGCATCTTTTGCAATATTAGTCGCCATTCCTTCCCATTCCCCTTCGACCCATCTGGTAACTTCAATAAGTTTTTGATTTTTTTGGGCAGTGGCTACGATTTCTCGCTTGAGGCCCTCAAAATCATCCTTCAATGCATGGTATCGCCTCCAATCTTTGTACGAAACGTGGTCCATCCATGCCCACTTCATCCCGAGTTCTTGCATGGACAGATCCCGAACCGAGTCAAAGGCCTCAAGGTGGTTATCGGCAGCAGCTGCAACATCATCATAAATTGATGCAAGATACTTTTGGGATTCAAGCCGTTGCTCTTGAGCTTTATCACGAATCTTGAGGCCGGCTTCTTTAGTTGTAGTGAGGAGGCTATCCAAAGCTGCTTGTTTCTCCTCCGCGTCGCTCCCCGGGTTCAACCTGGATACGAGTTTAAGAGTCACCTTCTTAATCTTGTTGAATTCCTTCTCCACCAGCTTCTGGAGAGCGTCAATTTCTTTCTCTGCATACGAGGCCTTCTTTCCTTTGCCCTTGGTCGATATTTCATCAATCTGCGTATTAAGATCGTTCGATGCCTTTGCAGCCGAATCCTTGAACTTCTGCGTGTATCGAGCAAGGTCTTCCTCAACCAACTTATGGACTTCCTCAGGAGACGGATTTTTACTGTTATCTGCAGATGCTTGTTCGGCTTGAGATGCACTCGATGCTGCAGATGACCTAGCCGATGCGGCCTTTTCAGATGCGCATAAGATCATTGAGTTCAGGGATGAAGACGCCTCGGCGCCTTTGGCTGCATCAAGATTTGTCAAGGAAGAGAAGGGGGAACCGGGTACGGACACTGCAGGTGTTCTGCAACAAAAATTTTCAAGTTAGCCTTGAAATTCCGAACAACACATACACAGCAAGGATCACATAATTGGAGTAGTAGAGAAAGGTGTTTTTCTTTTCTTTTTAAACCCTCCAAAATCATATATTTCCAGACTCGAACTTTTTTTTTGTGCCAAAAATCGTTACATAAATTCGTCTCTCATATTTTCGTGATACTTACTCCGATCATTTCCAGCTAACATGGTATCATGGTATTCCCCACCCAAAGAGAAGAAAAAGGAAAAAACGCTTTTGACCCCCAAACCTCTAAAACAAAACGAGGAAATATGATAAAAATCCAATTAAGGACTTACCCGTTACCAGTACCACCAAGGCGCTCTCCAATTCTTCCAACCTGTGGACGAACAACGTCGCTCCAAATGCCAATCCCCCAATAAACAGCCTTCTCCCCATTTTCCCTAACTAGAGGAGCCACTCTGGTGAGAACCACATGTTTTGTTTTGTCGTAGGCTAATGCCACGTGTGGAAGCGCTTTCTCATACGCAGGAACAACAGTATTCCTGTAAGCACCCTCCAACTTCGCCCGAGAACTCTCGATGAAAGGCTGGGCAATGCCGTAGAACTTGATGGCCTTGGAAACTTGAGCAGAGAGATATTCGTCGTAATAAAACTTTGACTTCGCGGAGACCTTGCCAACGCGAGGCTTCACCGCACTGTCGTACTTGTTGGCGACAAAGTTTCGGGTAGAAGCGACGTGTGGGGCAGCATATTGTTTGTAGGAATTCGTGACTTTATCGTAGGTGGGAACAAGGTATTTCTCATTGGTTTTCTTAACCCACGGAGAATATTCAGTGACGTAAGGCTCAAGGTATTGGTTATAATAGGGTTCGAGATGTGGCCGTAATGTCGTTGAAACGGTGTGAGAGGTATGACAGATTGTTGGCGAATCGTTTGTTGGTACATCAGGACAGACAAAAAGGACAGTATATAGGAGATACCAAGCAACGATTCTAACGTTTTCACGGTAAGCTTCATGTTGTCTACGCGGACAGAACTGCGAGGGAGATCACTGTGAGGGGCTTACCTAGCAAAGACATTCAGTATGGTAGAACTGCCAGAGCCCGTTCGCAAAGGGGGGGATGAGGGAGCTCGGACGCTCCGCTTAGTGTCCGCTGCACCCATATTTTTCTAGGATCTTTCACGTTATGGGATGTGTAAAGGTCCGTTTTGTCGCTGTTCGTGGGTCGGAGGAGAGAAACCACGAGAAGTGATAAGATTGAGAGGGAAAAAGAAAGAGGGAAGAAGGGGATGGGAAGAAGGGCTTCAAGTAGGAGAGGAACCAAGATTTTCAAGAAAATGCAAAAGATGGCAGATTAATGCCAGAGAGGATAGGTATGATGAAACCCGTTCTCGGAAGGTGCAGCGTGCATGAACAGGACTCTATTCGAGCTTCCTGTAACAGTCGTAACCGGTGAAAGGCAGGGGTTATGGGGCCGAGAGTGAAGCAAAGTTGTGGAAGGGGAAGCAAGCGGAGCAGTCCGTTGTTGAAACGAGTGCATGTGCTTTTATCTACAGCGTGAGGTAAAATTATTGTAGAAGTATGAGAAGAGTCCTATTGGCTTGCCTAGCCATAGAAACCCGTTTTTAGGCCCCTGTTTCTACAATAATTTTCCCTCTCGCTGTATTCTATTCAACTACATGTACCCAGCATGTAACCAAAGATCAACAGTCATCGTTCATAATACCTGGGCTATTACAGGTTTATAAAGCTACAATCATGCTTGAGTTGAGACTGTTTGGGTAGGAGAAAAACCTATCACATGAAAGATCACATAGCAGCTTGCTGGTTCTAAGCGAGTAGATGCGTTTATTGACCAAGGAACATCATGAGATGACGATTTAGGGGAGCAGCAGGTTATGGTTTGTTTATCTTTCCATACACTGCTTTTTCTTTCTCCCAGGAACAACCATTGCTGATACGATGATGTAATATTGTGGCAAAACCTTTAGTTGGGCGCACACTAGACGCTTCTTGGCCCTGATGTTGTTGGTACATGCATGCCTTGATTTACGCGGATAGTGAATTATACAGTCCGTAGGGTATGTGGCGCAAAGAAGACGCCCATACAAGGTTCGTGTAAGTGAGACATTAGCTGGTCAAAATCCCAACGACCAGCGTTGTGAGAGTGCCCACCGCGTGTCTGCATCCCTTCCCTTACCCTCCACGCATAACATTTTTCTTTTCTTTAGAGCTCCCGTTCCTGGTGCACACTCCACACAACCCCCTCCAACTCCCCCACGGTTCCCGTAAAGATCTGGCCAGCTCGCGTCTTCCCCGGAAACCCTATCACCACCGGCTAAGTGGCAGCTGTAGTATCGCCCGCCTGAAAGCCTGCTGTCTCTCTTTGCCTTCCCGCTGATTTACTTAACTGTACTGGCTACTCATTGACTTCGTGAACTTCGACATCTCCACTATCTCCTACTCAGTCACGAACCGTCACCATGGATCCGGTGCCGGATCCGCAGGTCGACGTCATGAATGACCCCGCCTACAACACGAACCCCCCCAACGATGGAACACAAGAAGGCGTCGGAGAACCAGACCATTGCCGTATATGTCGTTCGGAAGGAACCTCAGATGAACCGTTATTTCACCCCTGCAAATGTAGTGGTTCTATCAAATTCGTTCATCAAGAATGGTATGTTAAGCTGTTGCCTTGTCCATTAAAGATAATCCCGTTTTTAAAAAAAATATTCTTTTTCCCACCCTTCTAACCTTGGATCTTGCAAAAAGTTTGATGGAATGGCTTCAACATTCCCAAAAGAAACATTGCGAGCTATGCAAAACGCCTTTCCAGTTTACAAAGCTATACGACCCTGAAATGCCCTCCACAATTCCCACGCCACTATTTCTAAAGCGGCTATTCAGGCACCTTGTTCAAAACGTCATACTCTGGGCTAGAGGTGCTTTGGTAGGCTTCGTTTGGCTGGGATGGCTACCGTGGTGTGTGCGGTGGATGTGGAGAGGTTGGTTTTGGATTGGCGATGGTGGTTGGCAAGGATTCTACACGAGAAACGCTCCCCGGGGGTCTAGTAGTTTGACTGGCTCATTATCAGCAAAAACACCATCTATCGGGAATGGGACCAGCCCGGCTATTGGTCAAGGGATTATCCAATTTCTCTCGTCCCCTGGCTTGACAGCCGGCAAGATGAGCCCAGTAAATGGAGGCGCAGTTAATGATAGTGTCTTAGGCAATACCACAACCTCGAGGATATATCCAAATGGCCTTTTCTTTGACTCAAATCCATTTTCGAACCTTACTCGATACCAGGCGGTTAATAACGTCATTATTGATACCCTCGAAGGCCAATTACTTACGGCACTTATTGTTGTTTCTTTCATACTTATATTTCTAATTCGCGAGTGGGTAGTTCAGCAACAACCAGCTTTGGCCGGAGGCGTGGCTGCAGTAATGCTACCTCAAATGGAAGTCAGAGAAGAAAACCAACAGCCAGCAGCTGAGGAGGAGGAAGAAGATGATGACGAGGATGACGAGGATGACGATGACCAGGACTTTCCGCCCCTTGGGACAGTTCAAGAGGAGGTAGAAGAAGAAGGGCGGTACCATCGTCATTACCATGAAGTAGAAGACTACGACGATGAAGAGCCTGCAAGACCTAGGCCTAGAGCCATCGCACCCGTTCGAAGACGACGTTTCCTGCCTTATGATCAACCTACGCCTGTTGAGAACGGAGACTCTGGCTTCGAGAGTACAGAGAGGCCAGGTCAAGGACATGTCCTTGGTAGTGGTAGCAGAGATATTCCCGTGGATAACATTCGTGAAACCTCCTCTGAAAGCTCGAACCATCCTACAAGACCACACATTAATCGTGAAGTCATTGCGCGGGCTGCCGAGGTGAGAAGGGCAACGGAAGAAAAGTTGAGTTTTTTAGAAAACGCAGCGAGTCGACACGAGTTTGGTCAATCTACATCCAGCGATCTGTCATTCAAATTTAGAGCTTCCCCCGGAAATGATCATACACCGGAAAGTGGCAGCTCGAGCGGAAGTAGAATATCAGAAAGAGATGGGGTCAAATTTCCAAGCACAATTCCAAAGTACAATGAAGATTATCCAGAACCCTAGATGGCAGGGATATGCAGGCGGTGGGCAGTCACAGAAACAACTGGAAGCCTCCCAGGAGGGAATCTATTGGTAGTGATGCTGATGTTAACTTCGGCCTCCAGTCAAATAATCGTGATAGCCCAACAAAGCAAGAGGGCTATAGCGACAGACCTTTTGCATCATATTTAGGCTCGGGGGCCACGGGGGGCTCTTCTTCCCACCATGCCCCTGATGGCTCAATTGATCGATGGGATATGCGCCAATTTACACTCGAACAAGGAATTCGTTCAAACTATGATAATGAAAAGCAGGAAGTGGAGGAGAAGCCCAGAGATAAAGGGAAAGGGAAAGAAATCGACTTATCCGATGATATGGAGGATGCTGGTTTCGGTTCTGATGATTTCTCGATAGGATACCTGGCCGCATCAGATGATGAAGATATTGAAACAGAAGAGAATAAGTCTAGAGAGCAAGCGATATCGGAATTTTTTAGTGGCGAAATTTCTGTGTCGGCCGCTGAAGTCGAAAATAGCGACTCTTCTACTCAACCTTCTACCCCCACCACCAGCGATTCACAAGCAGCACTGGTGGACCAACAGCCCGAAGCAGCATTGAACTTTAACATTGACGATGGGCAGCTGCAGAGACGACAACTTGTAAATGCGGGGCATGGTCACGATCCAGCTAGGATGCAAGAGCTTATCAGGCAGTTTGAAGCCGGGCGCATACAGCAACCGGCAGCCCAAGCTGATCCCGCAGTGGCAAGAGGAAGGGGAGCTGGTTTGTGGGATTGGATAGTTGGTGATCAACCAAATCGAGCTCTTGATAATCTTCCTGGTAATGCGCAAGATTTGGACGATATGAATTCAGATGACGATGAAGACCAAGATGAAGACGATGGGGATATAGACGATATACCCCTTCGTGATGCCCCAGTTATTCCACAGGATGTACAGCAAGCCATTGCCGATGAAGATGCGGCTGATGATTTTGATGGTATTATGGAATTGATTGGGATGCGGGGACCAATGGCTGGGCTCGTGCAGAATGCAGCAATTAGCAGTGTATTAATTACAGCTACTGTGGCGCTCGGCGTGGCTTTCCCGTATGTTACAGGAAAAATCTGCATGATTATCTTGGTAAGATGGCTTAAAGATGAACCTTTGTTACCGGTCGCTACTAACTTCACGGTTTAGGCACATCCTATAATGTTCTTATTCATTATTCCAGTCACCGTTGTCTCGTTTTCTGCAGAATTCGTCGTGGACTCTGCCACATGCCTCCTTTTCTCGTTTCTTCTGATGTTGGACCAATTTGGACGATTCGCCATGAGGTTCATAGGGTATGTCATACCAGCAATGTCAGAAATGTCTCAAAGTACAGCGATCACAAGGCATTTCAGAGACTGGGCCATGGACGGTAAGAACAGGGTTATACACAAGCTTGCTATACTCGAATCGAATTATTCTACAATCAGGAAATTCCCATCATCTGGAGTCCCACCACTCTCTTGGGTAACGAGGCAGAGCTGGTCAAAAGTTTCTGTAGGTCTGGCATGGGGCGCAGAAAAAATGGGCCTGAGTCAATCCAACGAAACATACAGTGTGCCCTATCTGCAAGACTTAGAAGTGCGGGCTGTTAATATTTCATCACCGGCTGCTTTCATCAATTCCAAGTTTGAGAAGGTCATTAATCTTATTCAGCGTAATGCCACGGCACTACTCCACCCCAAAGTATCCGTATTCAACCATGGTGAACCTTACCCTCTATACGAATGGTCTGTATGGGATCGAGTCGCAGCAGTGCTATTAGGGTACGCCTTTTTCACTATGCTTGGAGCGATTTATCTGCAGAACGCAAGGAAAAGGAACGGGGGGCCTAGGGGCGTAGAGAAACTTGCCGTTGAACTTTTACAACAGGCTGGTGGGGTCATGAAGGTCGTTCTTATCATCGGAATTGAAATGTTTGTGTTCCCGCTATACTGCGGGCTATTACTTGGTAAGTATCAAACAGATCTGTTTGTGATGATGGGCATTCAACGAATCCTAACAATTGGCAGATGTGGCACTTTTACCATTGTTTGAAGACGCAACCATTTTATCCAGGATACAGTTTTTTGTAGATTTTCCGTTGACTAGCATTTTTGTGCACTGGTTCGTAGGAACTTGTTACATGTTTCATTTTGCCTTGTTTGTTTCGATGTGCAGAAAGATCATGAGAACAGGTGTTCTTTGTGAGTACTATGTCCCCTATACCTCGTAGGATATATATAAAAAAATGCTGATTGAATTATTTAGACTTTATTCGGGATCCCGATGACCCGAGCTTCCATCCAGTGAAAGATGTGCTCGATCGACCAGTTATGATGCAACTGCGGAAAATAGGGTTTAGCGCCCTTATATATGGCGTCCTAGTCCTTGTTTGTCTTGGAGGAGTGGTTTGGAGTCTCTGGCTTGCCACAAATGCGGTTCTTCCCATTCACTGGTCTTCAAACGAGCCTGTATTGGAATTTCCGGTCGACCTCTTGTTTTACAACTTTTTCATGCCCATTGCAGTCAAATTCTTCAAGCCCTCGGATGGACTACAGAACATGTATGACTGGTGGTTTAAGAAATGCGCTAGAATGCTCAGGTTGACTAGCTTCATGTTTGGGGAGAGAAAGCCGGACGAGGAGGGGCACCAAGTAAGGCGTACCTGGTCCGCCGTTTTTTTGAGGAAGTGTGGTGATGTCGATAATCCGGTCAAGTCAGAAGCTATGTTGAAGGAGGTCCAGGAAAGTGGAGTCGAGGCGTATTTCCAGAGAGATGGTGGGTTTGTTCGAGCACCAGCTTCAGACTCTGTTAGGAGGCCCAAAGGATCTACAGTATTTATTCCGGTATCAGAAGACAATATCCGTCTTGATCAAAAACACGATCCGGTCGACGGGCCAACTGGACCAAACTCACGGGAACTTCAACTTGTGTATATTCCGCCTTGGTTCAGGACTCGAATCGGGCTTGTTGTTCTGGGCATCTGGGTATTTGCTGCAGTAACGGGAATTGCAGTGACAATTGGGCCCTTGTTGCTTGGAAGACTTTTCTTGAAACATCTTGTGCCTAACCATGTCAAGCTGAATGATATCTACGCTTTCAGTGTAGGTGTGTACATCCTAGGCGGTATGGTCTATGCTGGAACCAAATGGAAACTTGCCCGCAAATGGATTCGCCGCGGAGTTCGGAACGCTAAAGATAGCGAGCATTTCCGTAAGGCAACACTATCATGGGCCATCCGTGCGGCAAAGATCTCATATGTTCTCACTGCCTTCGCTATCGTCCTCCCTACCTTATTTGCTCTTATGATTGAGTTTTATGTCATCATTCCAATCCACACATATTTTTCGAGTGGCGAGCAGCATGTTATACACTTCATCCAAGATTGGACCCTAGGTGTTCTCTATGTTAAGATGATGGGTAGGATGCTACTACTAGATGCGGAAAGTCCTTGGGCTAGAGCACTCAGAGGTGTTGTGGCGAGGGGCTATCTGGACCCCGATGTGAAATTGGCTACAAAGTGCTTTATTGCCCCGGCTGGTGGGTTCATGCTGGCGGCGTTGTTATTACCATTGGTTCTGGGCTTTGTAGCTGTCAACACTATCTGTAAGATCACACACTCTCTCTCTACTCCTAGTGTAATGGAACTAATATATAATAAAGTACAAAACGCCTCTTCAACAACCATCAGTCAAATATATAGATACAGCTATCCTGTTGTATTCGCAATTTTCTTAATTGTTGCTGGGGGTTATGCTCTTAAGTTACTCGTAGATTCGTGGAAACAGAGTATTAGAGATGAGGTGTACTTGACAGGCGAACGGTTACACAACCACGGAGAGGTCGGAACGGCAACACCCCCGGCAATAACTGGCGTTTCTCCAATAGCTGGTCCTGCAATGGCTGGGGATATTGATCTACCCTTCGCCGAGGTTGCTGGCATTAACGCTAGATTAGCGGAGGAGCTGGCAGCACGTAATTTGCGTGGTTTGTAATTTCTTTTCTTCTCATCTTCTTCCGAATTCAATTGGTATGTTGGCTTTTATCTCGGGATTGGGTGGTTGATTGGTTTGGTCGAGTGCAACTGCCTTGTTACATGTATATTTTATCTCTGCTCTTCTTTCTTATTAACTGTCTGGCGCATTCTTGTTGAGAACTACTATTTGTATTACTTAGGGACTGGGGCGTGTTGTGGAAATATCGCTGTACTTTTCCGTACGAGAAAGAGGATTTCCTTATTAGAATCTGTTTTCAAATAATATTATTCTAGGTCTTTTGTGGCGGTATCTTATTTTTTCGAGGCAAGATGAAGCCATAACGATACAATAGACTGGTTTCCTCATTTGCCTTTCTTGATAAGATATTTGAGCTAGGCCCTCCTTTTGTCTGTTAGCATAATCATGTAAAGATATTTCTAGTTTAAGGGCAAGGATAGATAAATAATTATGACAAGCTTTTAAATGTGCGCAGACCAAAAAAAGAAGTCAGATTCACGTGAATACTCATAGGCCATCACTCGCGCGCTGGCTATGTAGCCTGTGATGATACTATACTGCTATGCTGCGGTTGAGTGGCCGCCTGAAAAAACTTTTAGCATACCCACGAGCTTGTGCAATAAGAACCGCTTTTCTCAGGGAACACCTCCGGAGAGATTAAAACGGTTATTATCTAGTTCTGCTAGATCTAGACGATGGCTTGCACATATTAATCACAACTAACGCTATCTCCTGATGAAACAAATATAATACAAAGAGATATCTGTGCTACGTCTCTCGCAGAGGTCTCCTCCCCGAGGCTCCGAAAAGTATGTAATATATGTACCAGGTACGTACTCATTCACCTTCATAAGCAACGGTACTTAGCAAGTAGAATTGGGAATATATTATGACTAAATTAGAGGTACAGTTACTCACGGAGCGAAGTCTAATACGGGGTTTTGTCGAACAGGGGATTTGGGCTAGTACAGATCAGTAGAAACAGGCCTAGGCCGATTTCGTAGCTTAACTGTTTTTAGACATATGAATAATCCCTGTTTATTAAATGCAAGTGTTCGTCTTCACCCCATGGAAAACTACATGTACTTGCTATCGCATCTATTGCTAATCTAGAGTACCCACAATAGTTTGGAGTGACGTAACTTGTTACTTTCTCCAAATTCCAGGACCCAGTTCAAGGGGAATGTACTACGGATACGCCATCCTAGCTGTCTGGGGGAACGCTCGAGCCAAGCCCCTCCAAGAGAAGCCTGTAAACCCGTGGCGGCGGCGGTGGTAGTAGTAGTTGTTGGTGCGACCATCATAATCTATATATCAGAATCGGAGATTCATCAGAGATTTGAGATTTAACTTCCCCCAAAGACGCGTAATTACGGCAATAACAAGGAGTCAAAGATTATCGCTGGGACTTGGGATATTTCCTTAATTGGGGATGTGAGATCCGTCGTTTTGCGGGAATGCATATGGCGGGTTGCAATTACAAGGATGCCGGCATATTCTCACATATATGGTTTCATTACTCTAAACCAGCCTGGTAGGGCAGGTAGCCGCTCTAACGTTACGCTGCACTCTTGGAGGAAAACACCAACGAACAACACCAGCGGCCACAAACCCGAAAGATGAGACCAAACGGGTGATATCATGATCTGCGCCGTATGAGCACATTTCACAGCAGAATAATTTATGGGCGTTTCAAGAGAACTATATATACGCGAGTCGAGTGTCACTTTGATCTGGAACTGCGAAATATTGACAGTCATGTCACTTTCTTTGCTGGTTAGCTTAGTAATAGTTACCAATACCGAGGCTAGAGGTAACAAACTATTTAGCCTGAATCTTTTGAGCTTGAGCCTTGAAGTGGGGGAAGCTGACAATGGATTGAATATTAGAAACCTGGCGATCAGGAGCACCACGTGGGGCACGTCCGTGATGAAGTATGGAGCAAGGGGAGTTGGGAACCGTCGCAACTTAAGCCATTGGCCTCAAATTGGTTAGAACAGAGATATGCAGTGGGGTCCAGTTAAGCCGTGTCTGTGGAGTGCATGTCTCGCAGATGCCCATTGCTCCTGGTGACGATCGCGGGGGCTAGAGAAAAAGAGTAAGGGTCCGCTATAAATGTGGAGGCCTCCGGTAAGTGGAAGGAGAATCTCATAATTGAGGGTGGTTGTGCAACAATTTCCCCGAGTGATAAAGCGTGATCATATCGGCATGCTGCACAATAGTGGCGCGTGGATGAGATGAGGATGTAGCACTCTTGACCAACATATTAAAAAACGATTTCTAGCTTTAGGTACTAGGGGGAGGGCTATTGGATAAATTGATCCTCATGAACTTTGTACGTGATAATCTATACATTCAGAGTCTAGATCCCAAAATCGCGTTAAGGTAATCGAGTGCATGTAGGTACTGTAGGTACATGTAGGTACTACATAGCTCTGTAACAAGGACATGCGTTGCAATATGGTCTTATTTTCTGGGCTGGTTTATGTAACCCGGCTACTCAATGTCGCACAATTTGCTCTCGTACCTATCAGAACCGTCTTCTATGTGCCCAATTTTCACCCTTTAACATCATTATAATAATTATCTTCATTATCACCAGCGCGCCATTATCGGAATTGTCATCACTGTATACGTACTTGTCTTACCATGGCTACTCCCTTGAGAGACAGTGCTGGAGTATGCGGTTAACCCGCTGAATTGTAGCAATTACTCTATCCATACCAAGAGATCAAGGATCCTGACTCATAACACTCATTACACATGATTCATCCCGGGGCCGGGTCTCTTGTTTCTTCACATCCCGTAATTGTTCGGTGGGTAAACATTGGGAAAGGGGCTAGGAACTGGTGAGCCGTTCTGGAACGACGCCTCAAAGAATGTGGCCATTCTGGATACCAAGCACTGGATTTAGCATGAATCCGGCCTTGGAAACATTAACCATTATAATTTTGGGACTTAGATTGTGACGATGTTCGAGCTCACGCCCACATGCCAAAAATTTGGTCGCAACGCCTGGAAGTACTACGTTCCACTCATATTGAATTATTGCTACAGATTGTGTTAATCAAATAGTGCAACTTTGTGCTTTCAGAGCCTTATGAATCTTGTGTCGGGCATAAAACATCGCAAATAGTCAATACCTCATGACAAGTCGATCAATCAATTCGACACATGGCTATTGGCGCTATTCCTTAATCTGTAGCTGTAGGGCCCGAACATATGGGCCCATATGTCCCCACTCTGCCACAACCATGACCAGATAAGGAATATAAAATAGGCAAAAAAATATAGTGAAGAGCTTCATGATAAAGGCAAGGTAAAATATCCAAGATATTCGTCTGGAATGTGATGGTTGATATTTACCTAATATTTAACGGTTGTGAAGATATTTCGATTCATTCACGGCAATCCACGCTTCCGAGCGAGACTCCGTCATATTAATGATACGAGATACATATAGCTATACAGAGGCGGCAGGTAATATATACGATACATATCACTGTTAGTGCTGATATTCGGAAATAGTGTGGATTTCGAAGCTCACTCTAGATCTCTCTTTCGTCTAGGCCTTGGCACAGACCTCCACACCCTTTATAATGATTTATTATATAAATCTATGTAGCACATCGATGTGCATTATTTTGGTACCTAATCGTGGCTAGCTGAATGTCTCATTATATTGAGCTGGGTCTCGAGACGAACCATGAGCGCAAGCATATGGCTTCTCTACTTACGCTTTCGGCCATATATCATAAGGGGACACGTGGATATACAAACTTTTATCGTGGAGAGGCCAATCTGGACCGTAGTAATAAGGAGATGTGATATGGTCTTGTGGTAGCCAACTGGCTCGGAGGTAATATGCACTATATTGGCCATGAACAGACCAGTAAAGAATGTGTGAAATATTGACAACTGAAAGACCTGCATCATCAATTCTGTTGTTTAGTCCTACCAACTATAGTAGACTCACCGTCGGCTATATTCCGACAATATGAACGAAATGATAGGCGTTTATCATCAGATTTCCACCTTGAATTAATGCCACTCTGGCTGCGCGATCCGATACAGAATGCCAACTATCGCCTTCTCATATGTTAGACAACTTCATATGTTAGGTAACTAGGATCTTTACACTCTACGTACTTCCTCTCCATTTCACGGATCAGTCGGCACCCACAGTATCCGTAATTCCGGCGTCGCTCTCTGCTAGTCAGTTAACAATTATTTAGGATACTTGATAGTCTTCATGTTGTTTAGAAGATTATGATGGTGAGCTCCTGGTTCACTTTGATACTTACTTAGCTGACGTTTGACAGGTCTCCAAGGCCGTATTGTCGGGACCTTTCCAAAACAGTGGGGTTTTGCCAGGATCTTGGATAGATATGGACACATTAAGAAAGTCCTTGCCAGAGAGGTGGGGGTCCGAAACTAGCTCTTTCGGAAACGAGGGCTAAGCCACTATCTAATCCTTGATTCTGGTGTTGCACTGATTCTATATTGGTGCACTTAATTGGACTCCAGTCTCAAACAATTCTTAAAGCACTACATACATATATGATGCACTCATATTGGTGGCACCAAATAGTAAGCTAAAAAGATGATATGCGTGCTTCTGCGTGCACATCACTAAGTCTACCTCAGTTTTTTGATAGCATCCTCGACATCCACGTCCTAACAGCCAGAAGTACAATCGGCGGATATCATGGCTTGGTCGGAATTGGTTTCCGCAAGCGACTGAGGGGCTCAGGCCTAGAGTTTGGCCAATGTGAGACGGCCCGCTGATGTACATACATACATCCTCGTTTCGGAATTTTTCTTCACCCGCAAGGAACCGCTAGGTAATTGCTTCAAGTTTTCTGGCCCAAAGTCAGTAGGAAATGTGTTGCATAGACATTCCTTTCTGCGATAGAGGTTTAGATGCTTCATAACGATCTCTGGAGTACCAAATCAATCATTATAAAGGCGGGATAAACCCCATTCAAGTAATGTGTCAC